ACATTTTTTTTTTTCATCATCGGAAAGTAGAGAGTTCAACGAACAGAAAACATACCAACTTTTTGAAAAAAGCTGATATTTTGACGGGTGAATTTTCGATTGAAAATGAGGTTGCTTTTTCGATATTAATTCAAAATAAGGCGAAAAATAAATATTATTAATCAAATAAATTACAGCGTATTTGGGACATAAAAAGGTAAGTTTTCACCAAATTTCGTTAAATTTTTTTTTTGTAAAAGAAAAATAACAAACCATAAAGTTGGTTTTTTGATTTTTTCACATAAATTTTGAGGTTATGTGAAAAAAGTGTAAATACAAAAGTTTTAGATCTTTTTATTACCTACAACTTTGCCATATGACTTTTTTCGATAGGACTTTTAGTTTTGCCGGAAATCGAGAAAAACCGGTTTTTACCCTTAAAAACTGACCCCCATCCCCTTCCCGACCTCAGATCGCCCGTAAATTATTTTTCCTTTCATTTTTATAATATTCCCCTCCTTTTCTAATGGGTTTCATCCTACTATTACTTTTTTTGGTTTTAAAAATTATCGACCCTGGTCTAATTATATAACATGAATTTTGACTATTACTCTCTGATTTGGTGCCCGATAAAGGTAAATCACTATATAAAAACTAATATAATTTCATATTTTCAGGTGTTTGTAACATATTTCAATAGTTTTTTAATATAAATTATGTTAGTTAGTTCTTTGCTTTAATGGCTTTAATGCGTGCCAGTTGAGCACAAATTATTTCGCCAATGTCACATTGAATGGAGGAGTCATGTTCGAGATTGGCCGGTGATATTTTGAGTTATTCCACTAAGAGAGTGGATTAACAGTATTAAATAGAAGGATTTAAATGTTATACCTCCACCTAAAAAATAGAAAAAACAACACAAAAAATTAATTAAATTATATGATGTAAAAATAATATGTTAGTAGGTTGACTTAAAGAGATGTTAGTTCTAAAGCTTAATTTTATTAAATTTAATATATTTACACAAAAATCTACATAGGGGACTAAACACAAACATCAATAAACATTGAACATTAAGGGGACGGGAGACTTTAAAAGGAAGAACATCGTAAAGGGGACGAAGAAGTTTGGGGCAGTTGAAAAGGATGTGGGAAGCTGAACCTTCATCCAAACCGCATTCGCATAATAAGTGGTCCCTGACCCTGATCTTAGCCAGATGAACAGGAGTGCTTGCATGTCCAAAGCGTAGGCGACTAATAGTAGTAATAATCCACCGTTCTGCATGTTTCTGACGATAAAACCATGGTCGCTTTGGTATCTCCGCCTGAATAGAAGCATAATTCTTTCCCTTAGAAGATTTTGATGAGTTCCAGTAGCTGATCCAGGATTTGTCCAGATCCCGGGGGAGAAGCCAACTCCTACCGGGCGCGTCCCCAGGTGGCGGATAGGGGAATGCCACCCGCATAGGGCGGCGGGTGGTACCGGAGAAATCCGGCGCGGACCAAATGGCTTGGGTGGGGCCGCTCGTCTAGGCCTCGAGCCGAAGACGTTGCGGCCACCGGTGGTGGGACCGCTTGGTCCCACAACCGGATGATGGGTGCCGGTTGCGGGACTGTGGTCGCAGGCCCGCATCCGGCGGAGGGGTAGGCCGCGGCGGGAGAGGAGTGCCGGTATTTCGGTGCGCCGTTCTCCCTACCTTCCGCGGCCTTGACGGGGCCGCCACCGTTTGATGGCGGACGCGGTGGGGCTGCAGGGGAAGAGGAGTGTCGGTGTTTCGTTGCCGCTCTCCCTGTCCTCTGCAGCCGATTGGAGGTGGCCCACTTCGGTGGGCGGCGTTTGGTTTAATGGGGCTGCTCCGGGTACCTCTCTGGCGTAGCAGAGTTGACTGTGGAGCAGCCCCATTGGTTTGGTGGTCTGCCTAGCGTTTAGGCAGACCTGCCGCCGGGGCGCCGTAGTAGTTATGCGCAAGCGATCCTGCGGCGTCCCACTAAGGCGGGGGGAAGGGATGTCGGGTTTTAGTGGGTAGTACCGGCTCGTTTAGCCGGTGAGCCCCACATCACCACCTGGGGGATCAGGTGGTATGCGTAAATGCATTTCCCGACGATAAAAGGATTTGTCTAGATGAGTTTTTGCCAGTGATAATAATATCTTGAGAAGATATAAATTATGTTTATTTACAAATAATACCTATGAGCTGTCAAATTTGATATATTTGAACTCTCATCAAAGACCAGTTAGACATTGACACATGTCGATATATGCTATCGATAATATCGACATTTTAATATAAATATATGTTGAAAATGTAAGATTGTTTTTTTACTTTTTGTTAGACACAGTGGAGAATAAAATGCAAAATATGGTAAGTTATGTAAGAGCCTAAATACAAAGTCAAACACAATATACGACACTATAATAGGAATACAAAGACGCTCATCTATATAAATAAAAATGAATGGTAGAATGTTGCTAAGCTCAAAACTCTATAACGGCTGTACTAATTAGTCTAATTATTTTTTTCAAATATTCGTCAGAGAAGGTTCTTATGAAGACAAAAATTAGAATAAATTCCCGGAAAAACGTAAATATCACATTTTTCTTTTTCCTTACTACTACATTACAATAATGAACGGAACCTTAAAATTAATGTAAACTACTTGAATGCATTTGTACATTTGACAATCTTTTTCCACGATATACAATTTGACGTTGAATTTATTTGTTTGTTTGTTGGTCTTTCTTTCACATCGAAATGAAATGCCACATTGTTGTGGTTTTTGAATCAAGATAGTTAAAGAGCTGGAGAGTGAAATAGGTTACTTTTTACCATGGAGATTATCTCATTTCTACGGGAAAACAAGTTATATCTATTCCACGCAAGAGCGAAGCGAGGGTAAATCGCTAGTCTGAAATAAAATAAGCTTTCCTTGACTGTCTCGTCGAATTAAAAGTAGTGTAAAAAGCTATTGAAGTAGTGTATATTATTGAGTTGTTCTACTGGGAAATACTCAGTAATAATAGTTTAGGAAAGTGTGTCTACCATTTGATAGGTTTTAAATATTTTACTTATAGTGTTTCTCACATTGTTCAACACTGGAAAAAACTAAAACTATAAGAGCTATATTATTAAAACTCTCATCAATATAAAACTCCATGAAAATAGTGAAAACTAACACCATATTAACGTTATAAATATTTAAATTGAGATTTATATTTCTCTTTTTATGTACTTTTAACGCTAATTATTATTTGAAGAAGATATGCGAGTAATTTTTGAGATATGGTATATTTTTGGCTACGGGCATTTGTTACATACAAAGATTGCCTCTATTTGTCATAGAAATACAATAAAATACAAATTAAGTTATACTACTCATGAAAAGAGTATTGTAGATGAATAAACAATATATTAAGTTATTTTTTTTCGTAATATATTGCATAATGTATTAAAATACATAAATTATTTTTTTCATGCTACGAAAGCTAGCTAACTTGCGTGCCAAAACTTGAACTCTCACATTTATTAGATTTTTTATAAAAATAGTTTTATTTATGTTATAGTTTTATAAAAATGGCACTTCATTTAATGATTTTGAATGTAACTTGTCCAAAAAATTATTATTTTATTGCACCTATTTTGCTTTTTTAAATACTCACTTTTTTATTGTTATAAAAAATATAAAAATTGTAATAGTGTTTATGTGTGTTTAGCCGTTCACAAAAATAATCGATAGTTTTTACTTTTTATTCTTGTGGGGTACATACTACAAGGGTGCATCACTACGCATTTAAATATTATTAGTAAATTATTTTAGTCAACTTCAGATATTTAAATGTTTAGTTTTTTGAATTAAAAGTGTTAAGTTTTCATATATGTGATAATGCTTAGCTTCTTCTTTTATAATTTACGCTAAATTTATTTACAGAAACATTAATTACAATGCAACACGAGTCTGTAAAAAATAACGTCAATTTTTCTCTCTTAATAGAAATCCATCCGAATTTTAATTACAGCGGCTTATTATCAAGAATTATTGGTCCATGTATTTAAAGTAAGGACTATTCTGTATTTTAGTATTATTTTTATTAAGAATCCAAACATTATAACTCGGATGTTTGTTTTGAAAATTGCGCGATGAGCTGCGCAAATAAAACGAACGAGCCGCGAGTGCTATAAAGTTTAGAATTTGATTGTAACTAACAACTAATATAAAGAAATCAAAAAATGGTTTTGTGCGATTACATGTTTATTCATAAAATAGTGTTTCAAATTTAGTGTAAATATAGACCGTGGTATTGTCAGAAACCAATATAATACAACAACTAGTAAATATTCCGCTAACACTCATATATTGTTAGCTTATTTATAATTCATAAATAGTTAAGTGTCTTTTACATATTGTCATAAATGCTCAGATTATTTAAAAACCCAAAACAGCAAAAATATTTTAAATCGGTGCTAAATAATTTGAATTACGAGTGTTTTTTTATGTAATGGTTGTATTGTGGATGGTTGTGGGAAAAATAACGCGCGGGCTCGGTGTTTAACGTTTGTTGGATGTTAAAAAGCGCGGGGTTCGAGTGGTTAACAGTTTTTCTTTAAACCACTTCCAAGCCCTGATTTTATTACCTACAGAAATAGTAATTTTATAACTACTATAATAGTAGTCTCAGTGATTTTCTTTTTTCGAAATGGCTTGATAGCGTTAACAAGCTCAACATAATATTTTGCTAGTGTTTTTCAGATTTCTGTTATTTTATATTTCCATTTTCCACTAATATGGTAAATGTTGACGTACTTTTCTCTTTCCATAGTCTCTGACCATAGATGAAAAAGTCTCTGACAATGACTTTGACATCGTTGACAGCATGGATGATAAATAAAAGTTGACAGCTATGTCCAGTATATATCTATACTCTTTGGCTATGTCGCAGCATGCACATAACCTCTAAATAATTGTTTACTTGTCAAAAAGCAGCTCTGTATTTTTCAGTTTATGTTTGAAAAATAAGTGAAAACAATGGGTAAACGTAAAGGAAAATGTGCTAAAAAAAACACAGCGTCAAAGGAAGCCTTAGAACCTGAAAATTTAGTTAAAGCGCCTCATTCTTTTGTGATACACCGCGGAAAATGTTCCAAAGATCTTATGGACTTAACGAAAGATTTCAGAAAAATTATGGAACCTTTTACTGCTTCACAGCTAAAAGTATGTATGCATTATATTACTTCATTTATATTTAAGACATAAGTAATATTTGAAATAAAACAATGAATAAAGTTATTTAAAAAGTACATAGTTCAAGATCGTTTATTTCAAGCACATTGTAAACTACTATCCTTATTATTTTACAGGAACGGAAAAAGAATACAATAAAAGACTTTCTGTCTGTATCAGGGTATTTACATGTGTCACATATGATGGTGTTTACTGAAACAGAATTGGGTTTGTACATGAGATTAGCTAGAATGCCTAGAGGGCCAACACTTACTTTTCGCATACATAATGTAAGTTTCCATGTTTTTAACGCATAATTGAAAATAATATGTATTCCTTATAATTCCTTGGGCTTTAAATAATTGATTTTAATAAAAATGTTGAGAAGAAAAAATTATAAGTAAATAATAAAATAGTAGGAGGACATTATTTTTATTAATAAAAACAATCCAAAAATATATAATTATGTAAATACATACATTGTCTTTCTAACTTAATTTTAGTTTTTACAGTGTTTATAAGTGTTTATAATGTGATTTTTATTCATAAAGACTAATTTTAATATTTTCTAGCCTTTGCCCAATGCTTGTATTGTTTATTTATGTATGTGTTTTCTCTTAAGGTTAATAGTGGGATAATAGCCTATAACTTTAACACATTCAAATTTTCCTCAATATATTAAATATTTATTACAGTTTATTTTGTTTTTAAATTGGATTGAAACTTCCACAAACAATCACTATAACAATATAATATTAACTAAAGATTATTTTTTTTTTAATTTGCTTTGTAGTAAAGCTATTTTAATGTTATTTAAAGTAGTAATAATTTTATTCCACTTTTTCAGTACAGTCTTGCTAGAGATGTGATATCTTCTTTGAAGAAGCAGTACGTAATATCAAGAGCCTTTCAGAATGCACCTTTAATAGTTCTTAATAGCTTCTCTGGAGAAGGCATGCATATGAAACTTATGGCTACAATGTTCCAAAACATGTTCCCCACTATCAATATTACTACTGTGAGTATTAAGTGCCTACTATAAATTATCAATAATATAAAAATAAGACATAGTCATTCAATAATAGACCTACTTATTGTAAAATAAATACATATAGTACTTTTAGCCATTAAATGTAATTAGAAACCAGTAAAATATTTTTTGAGATATTTTTGCAGTTAATCATTATTATGTATAAATGTTCAGTATTTATTATTATACTTGTATACATTATCATAAATGAATGTTTATATAGGTAAAATTAAAGAATATTCGCCGATGTGTGCTTATGAACTATAATCCCTCCACAAAACTAGTAGATCTGCGACATTATGTTATAAGAGCATCACCAGTGGGACTAAACAAGGGCACAAAGAAGGTAATTTGAAATTTTGTTCTGCTTTTTATTTGACAAAACTCATTTAACAGAAGAAATATTATTCTATTTATTTTTTTCTTTTACTTACAGATGGTGCAAGGGAAGATACCAAATTTAAATAAATGTAAAGATATGTCGGAATTTTTTGACAAGTAAGTTTGGCTTATTTTATTGTAGTCATTCCTTTTTAACGTCCCACTGTTGGGCATCATCTCATTTAAAGGTGCCATCAATGCTAGAAATATTATCTATACATATAATAAAATTATAACTAAGTAGAATCTGTACATTAAATATTTTTTGGAAAATCTTATTGAATGAGACTTTATTATCGATACAGAGGCCGAATATATAGTTTTTAGAATTTTTGTCTATCTGTCTGTTACCGCATCACGGGAAAACCACTGGATAGATTGTGATGAAATTTTGAATGATGATAGCTGGTTATCCTCCAACATATAGGATACATTTTACTGCGGGAAAATATCTCATCTCTGAGAAATCTATACTAAACGTTAAAACCTAACTAGGGACGAACCTCATATGGAGCGAGGGTGAGTCGCTAGTAGTAAATAAATTAGTCCACAACCACAGTAGTACTTACTCTTGAATTAACACATACACAGATGTTAGTTGCTATTGTATCACACGAGAAAAATCGCGTGCAAAATCTAGTATAGTGTTTGTGTAAATATAATAACTATAGTACTAGTTGTTTACACTGTTTCATTCTCAAGGTATAGAGGGTAGAGCGATCGGTGAGTCACTTATGTATACCGTGTGTTGACGAGCTTGTGAAGTGTGATATACGGAGTATACTACATCTAGTATAGCAATATTTTTGGTATAGAACAACAATAGTATCAGCAAGAATAGACCATAGTTAGTGCAAAGCGAGAAATGATCGCCAGTAGCTTAATTAAATCATTTTAAATGAAACATTTTTTTCCGATGCTATCGCGGTTTTGTTTGAGTTTGTGTTCCCAATGTTTCAAATGCTTTATTATAAACACGTTTGCTGTAAAGCATTCGAAACGTAGGGAACAAAAACGCAAAATGAAACCGCGATAAAATCTGAAAAGCCTCTAGTAGTTTCCTATAAAATAATTAAATATGGGCGTAAACCTAAGAAAGTATTAAATTAAATTATATTTTTGATGTGAAACATCTAATGCGGCAGGTCTAACCGGCTGTTGTCAACGTCACGCACTCGTAACTCTAAAAGTAAAGCTATCTTCCCACTCGACTCGGCTATAACCCCCCTCCATCTCTCATTAATATATATCGAAAAACTAATATTTTATTTTTGATTATGCCATATTTACTGCCTTTGTCATGCATATTTTCTATACAATATAGTTTCGATGTTTCACATCTGCCAAGCGTCCCGTGATGGCTTTAATTTTTTATTTTTAGGGCAGCTCTACTGTCCGAGAGCGAGTTTGAAGATGACAACAACCAGGTGGTGCTCCCGCAGTCGCTGGCTTCGCGTGGGGCCTCCGCGCAGACGCGTTCCGCCTTGCGCCTCGTGGAATTGGGCCCGAGGATGTCTTTGCAACTCATCAAGGTATATCTTGTTTTATCGCTAGTACTATATCTATTAGGCATCTTTTAGGTAAAAGTGGTCCAGGTCCAGTGGTAACACGCTTGCTTGGCAAACCAAGAGAAGTGAATTCAAAACCCAGATCCCTCATCTCTGATATTTTCATGTGCGAATAATTTTGAACACGCTTACCAGTTATCACATACATGTCCTACGGTGAAGGAAAACGTCGTGAGGAAACCTGCATTTATGAAAGAATCTGAACCTGACCAACGTGGTGGACTATGGTGTGACCCTCTCGCACTAAGAGGCTCGTGCCAGTAATGAGGCGTTAAAAAGGGCTTAATACAATACTATTTAAGTATTTACTATATCTATTATATGCTACACGCCAACAATGTATAAATTTTTATATTACTTAAAACTTAAAAAAAATGTTTCTTTCCTACTGTAATACTTTATGGTACTATCACAACAAGCAAAATGATCCCAAACTCAAATAATATCTATTGGAGAATTTCCTTATATAGAGCTTTATGATAATCACAACAGTCACCATCATGGGCATTGAAGTAGGTTACCCTAGATTCCAGTAAAATACATGCTTGTTTATCATGTTTTATATTTGTCGCTATCCGCGTCATCGAACCTTAGTCCCTTAATATATTTAAAGCCTAGTATAATAGTCTATTATATTTATAGGTAGAAGATGGTCTAATGGATGGAGAGGTTCTCTTCCATGAGCTCGTTGAAAAAACTGAAGAAGAGAAAGCGTTAATTAAAAAGAAACGAGAAGAAAAGAGGTATCTATACTTATTATAAAAATAAGTCCCCCGGCCGCGTCTTTCTGTCCTCCTGTCTGTCTGTACGCGATAAACTCGAAAACTACTGAACGGATTTTTATACGGTTTTCAACAATAGAAAGAGTAATTCTTGAGGAAGGTTTAGGTATATAATTTATTATGCTTTTATGTAAATTAGCTGAAATACGGCGACAAATGTTGAAGAGGTCGCAAAAAATCTCGCCAAATGGGAACTTTCCACGCGAACGCCGCGTAAACTAGCAAAGATACAGTTAAGTAATGTACTAGAGAATTCAAAATCTATAAAAATGCTACAAAAAAGTCCGCGATAGCATATCTCTATCTCTTACGGTTGACTTACAATAACCACTTTTATGTTAACATTTTTAATTAAAAACATTACGTTATTTTCAAAGTTATTTTCTTTAGTTCGGTATTAATCCTTATCCAAATGAATATTTTAGTTAGCTTAGTCATTTAATGCAGATTAAAATTGCTCTTTACACTAAATCAATCAGATGAATAGTTTTTGAGATATCGTTGTTAGAAGTAATTAGTAGCGAAACATTTTTAATGCTTGGCGAGCATTGAGATGCCTACGGCGAGTCCATCCCCTCTGCCCCGCATCGCTCGACCGCCTGCTCAAGCTATATAAACCGGGCGATGTAGCGCGCGATCCTAGGATACTTTTTACCGCGGGAAAATATCTTATTTCTGAGGAAAAATACAAAAACTGCAATGTAAGAGTATACTAATATGTAACACCTAAGAATTTAGTTTTTGGTCATCTGAACGCGGGCGGAGCCGCGGGCAATGCTAGTTTGTTTATAAATTATTTAAAAACGATAGTAAAATAAATAATAAATATAAAAAAGATGTATTAATTTTATAACTATTTTGCAATCGTTTTTTATAATATATTTAACATTTTAGGCGACTGAAGGAGAAGCGTAAAGCTCAACAAGCGGAGAACGTGAAGCGGAAAGAGAAGGAAAAAGAAGAGTTGAAACAGAAAGCACTAGAAGGTATCAAGAAGAAGAAAGAATTGACAGAAAATCAAAGGTATTCTGTAACATTATTATTTATGTGCATGTTTTTAATCTTCTTTATCTGTTTGTCTTGAAAATGTCTGACTGGCACTGCCTACTAAGCTAATCTTTGCGGTGCGTTCTAACCCGCTTAAATGTCCATGTCCAAAAAACCATGGAACTAAAAAAGTAGGAACGAGTAGTGTTCTATCTTTATAGTTTACTTTTTACGCAGTCGGGTTTTATCATTATATATACATATTTATTTATGAAACTCGGATAAGTTTGAAAGAAAAAAAAATTAAGGCACAAATTGGCTCTTGATATCCGCCATTTTGATTTTTAATAATAACGACATACTCCTTTGGGTTTCGCCGTGATCGGGTAAAAACAATAGGATCGATTGTGTTATTAAATGTTATGTGTAATTTTTTTTTTAGATTAATGGAACTGACAGCAGCTGAAACCCAAAATGCGTCAGACATGGAGCAAGAAGACAACGACGCAGACTACTACAGAGAGGAAGTAGGCGCAGAGCCCGAACATGGTAATATTTTCATTATTTAATAATTTTTAAACGTTCCACTGCTGGGCACGGGCCTGCTTTCAATACGAAGGGGAGCAAACCATACGCCACCACGCTGGCCAAGTGCGGGCTGACTGAGTATGTCTTTCGTAAACTTGCTAGATTCTTTTTAAATAAAACTATCTTTTCGGATTTTGTCGCGGATTTCTTGCATTATTGTTTCTCGACGTTTCGAATGCTTTACAGAATTCATGGTCACGGGAGAGACTGAGGTGTTACATGTCTCGAAGGTATAGTTGTTACAGACAGCCTACCCACAACTAACAAATTGAAAATTTCACCAATTACATTACAATATTTTTTAACTTTAAACATTTTTATAAAAAATATAATTATAAAAATTTTTAAAGTTAAAAATATTGTAATGTAATTGGTGAAATTCTCATTTTGTTATTGTGGGTAGGCTGTCTGTAACAACTATACCTTCGAGACATGTAACATCTCAGTTTCTCCCGTGACTATGAATGCTGTAAAGCATTCGAAACGTCGGGAAACAAAAAATGCAAATAAATCCGCGACAAAATCCGAAAATGATAGTTTTATTTAAAATGTCAAATATTCGCGTAAATCTAAGAAAGTATTATTGCTAGATTCTCTCAGACATGCAAGTTTCCTCACAATGTTTTCCTTCACCGTAAGACAAGTGGTAATCATGTTGGAGATGATTCGCACATAAAACTATCAGAGGTGCGAAACCTGGGATTTGACCCCACTTCACCCGGTTTTCCAAGCGAACGCGTTGGTTTATTGCAATGTAAGGGACTCAAGAAAAGAAACACATGAGAATAACTCAAAAGGTTTTACTAGAAGTCATTGAATTTTCACTATCCTTGCTTCATAATCATATCAGTTCGATCGTGTCAAATAATTGTATTAAACATACTTACAAAGTTAAAAGTAGGTTTAGCTTATAGATATATTTGAGATATGAAATGTCATCTCTAAAACGCTTTTTCAGATCTCTTCAGTCAAAATCCCGCAAGAAAACGGAAAACTGACGAAGATGGCGAAGCGCGAGGTTTCAAGAAGATGAGATTAGACAAGAAATTGCAAAAGAAGTATCAAAAAAGCCAAGATATAGGTTCAAAGGATCACAATAATCAAGGCAAACGAAAGTTCCAGAACAGAAAAGATGGCGGCTTTAATAAAGATGATAAAAGGAAAAGATTTAAAGACCAGGATGAGTTTAAAAATCAAAAAAGGAATCAAAAGCAGTCTGGCAAAAATAAAAAAGTTTTTGGCGGAAAATTAAATAAAATGAACAAAGGCGGCAAAAAGCAAGGAAAAGGTGGGAAAGGGAGGAAATAATGTTTAATGTAGTCAGTTTTTGTAAGTGTAATATAAATATATTTTTAAAATCTATGAATTTCTTTATTTTTCATAAAGCCTTTCAGAATAGAGAGGGACAACTAGTAGTCAGGTTAAAAATGTTGCCAGCAATAAAAAAATACCGTGACTTTAAAGACCTACTTTCAAAAAAAAATCCTAAGATTTTTGATTCAGGACGAAATGAATGCTTAATGGTCACGGGAGAGGCTAAGCTTTTAGACGTATCTAAGATCATTATATACTTGTTACAGACAGCTCATAAGCATATACTGTAAATATATATATATATATATACATACCTTATGGTAATAATTTTTTATTAGTCATTAATTGATTAAAAGTTTTCTAAAATAAATAATTATTGTGACTCAGTGGAGGAGGTTTTTAAAGAACTAATATAATGAGGTGATCAGATATATAGAGTTGGGTGTTCGCGGAAGCTTTTTAAGCAGTATCCAAAATCACACATCGATTTTCCCCTAATCTATACAGACAAAATGGAAGTGTCCGTTTGTAATGTCAAAATAACAGCTTTTTACTAAATGCATATGAAAGTATATATATATGATACTAATAAGAAAAGAAACGTTTTTTTTTATTTCGGTTAATCTTTAAAACGACTGAACCGATTTTGAAGGGGCTGATAGCTGATGTTATCAATAGATAACATATATCGCTATATACATACATATATATATATATGTATATATATATATATGTATATATATGTATATATATATATATGTATATATATATATATATAAAAATCGTTACGCGCAAAAATAAAAAAACTGATATTGTGAACATATTCGTACCTAGCGAAGCAAAGCACTTGAGCGAAGCGAGGGTAAGCCGCTAGTCTATATACATAAAATCGATGTGTATGTATGTTCCATATGGACTCCAAAACGACTGGAGCGATTGTGATGAAATTTTCAGGCAATCTTCAGATTAGCCCAGCGGGAGATCCTGTGAAGTTTGATAGCGATCGGAAGTTTAATCGCAGATAAAGCCGCAGGTAATGGTATTAATCTATAAATATTAAAATAATACGATATGGTATAGAAAAATCACTTTATTCTAAGAATATTGCCTTAAAATCTAATGTTTGTATAAAACTTAACACTAACAAGATAAATCACAATAATCAGAATTTCGATTTACGAATACTTTGTACTTTCATTTAAAGACAAATATTGTTTTAATTCAATTTCAAGTAATCTTTTTGAAGTATCGGAATTTAAAACGCGAGTCGCCTAATATATGTTACTGCGTAACCACTCACTCCATTTGACACATTGCGTTTTCCAATTACAACACTAAAAAGCGCATTATGCGGCATAATGCTCAACTTCGAATGTTTCAATTACAGCAACGCTCCGCATAATCGAGCATTTTTAAAATTACTGCTTTGGCGTTAACAACCAACTCAGTAGCGGAAAAGAAGTATTTTTTCGCGTTGCTCCTGTTTGTGCGCCAAAGTGCGACATTATGCTCTGTAATTGGAAAACAGGGCTAAAATATGTTACAGCGCAGCACTCGCGCTAACTTCTGAGCCTTCAAAAAGAATTGCGCGTACTGTATTATGATATATAAGGCACGTTATGATTTTATTTTAGAAAAAACACTACAATAAATTAATATATCATTGCTTTGAGTCACAAAACGATTTAAGCGGCAATGAAAATATTCAATTATAATGTAATGTGTAAAAAGTAAATCTTATCAAAAACATGATATTTATAACAAAATAATCAACTATTAACTGTCATTAAACCAAGACACGAACAAAATGAAATATTAATACAAAAGAAACCTTCCTTCTGGGGATTCATTCATATTTATATATACACAAGGCATGTAACATGTTACTTATTATCCAACAAAATAATCGATAAAAAAGGCGAAGATTGTATCTCATTTTACGCGTTTTATACATATAATAAAATAAGTAAAATCATGTTTGTATATTTGTTATTTTTACTGTAACACGAACGATGTAACATTTTGCATAGAATACTCTGACTAAAGAAATATATAGACATTCCGCCAAAATACATTTGAAAGTCAAAAATATAGTAGCGTGATTTGCTGTTTTACTATTATTCTCGATTTTGCCATACAGATCGTTTATTTTTCTTTACAATTTTTGAGAATAAAATATGAATAATAAAAAGAATACTAGTTATATTCTTTTGTATTTTTAAAGCATTAGTTCTCTTCCCCTTGAAACAGACATAGTATAATATTAGGTGTTTTCCTTTTAAAAGAAATTCTTTTAAAAGAAATCCTTTATCTATTTTTATTTATTAACATTTATTTACTTATTACTCAGAATACAAATTATCACTTGTTTATTATTTTAAAACATTACTGATTTACTTCATGTTTAGTTCTATGACCCTCTGTATATAATATTCCTTAGTCTGAGTTTTTTTTTATTTTTGATGACAATATAGTACCAAATATCGACCATTTTAATTTTTATAATTTTGATAAACACACACTCTTACAATTAAGACGAATCTAAAGACACATCTCAAGCTAAAATCCATCAAGCCGTTTAGGCTATAGAGCGTGCCAAAGAAATATACATACATACATACACGAAAAAAATAACTCTGCTTCTGGCGCAGTCAAGTAAAAAGTTACTTGAGAATGCGCTTGGATGATGTGAAATGTGGTTAGCATTTAATTAAATAAGGAATACAATATCGTCCGCCATCATGACGTGGTTGTCTTGAGTCATGCGATCCAAAGCCGCCTGAATCTCGCCAGAGTCGAATGTTTCATGCGAATACTTCTCATTTACGTACGCAGTAATACGGTCTAATGGCAAGGAGTTCGCTCGCTCCTCCCTAAAGAATTGCTGTAGCGCTGATTTGAATTGGGTTAATCTGGAAAGAAGTTATAAAAGAAGTTATAATATTTTATAATTTATGAACTATTTAACAAAATAAAAAAAAACAATATGATTCGAAAGTATTTTTTTATTTGATCTAAAGCAAGGGTGATTTTGATATAAAAATTATGTTTATCGCATATATGTATAGATCCTAAAGTCCCTGGTTACATAGATACTACCTTAAATTCCGCCTGTTGCGGGAGAACCATCAATTGAGCAACAGGTTATAATATAATAACATAATATATATTTATACCAGTAGGCTAATACCACAGAGAACTAATATTATACTAGTACAGGTGCCTCATCCCATACAAAGAAATTGGACACCACTAATTCGGGCTAGTAGCATAGACAAATGGGAGATCAGCAACGTTCGCAGACTTGGGATGCCCCCCCCCCCCCCAACGTGCGTTCACCTTGTCGTGGTGGGGGGGCTCAGTAGTGCCCGGCAACCCAACCGGGCGCGAAGCCAAGAAACGCACAGGGAGGTGGCCCACTTCGGTGGGCGGTGGGAGGTGGCCCTCTTAGGGCAGTGTACCATGCGGGTTGCTCCTGGTACTTCTCTGATAGCAGAGTGGACTGTGGAGCAACCCCATGGTTGTGGTGGTCTGCTTCGGCGGACCTGCCGTCGGGGCGTCGTAGTTGAATGCGTAAGCGATCCTGCGACGCCCCATTAAGACGGGGGAAGGTTTTGTTGGGTTTTAGTGGGTAGTACTGGCTGTATTACGCCGGTGAGTCCCACACGTCGTGCGTAAATGCATTTCCCAACGTTAAAAAAAAAAAAAAAGACTTGGGATGCCAATGCAAACAAAACAAGACCCATCCTTGTTTCTGTTACCCTCGAATGGCGTAAAATGGAAATGTTAAAGAATAAAAGATTCTTCCCACAAAAGGTCTACATTAGTGAAGATTTCTCAAAAGACATCCTAAACAAAAGGAAAGAGTTGAAAATACAGCAACAAGAAGAAATCAAGAAAGGAAAACGAGCTTATATCCGCTATGATAAACTGATCATAAATGAGAAATCAACATAAAAGCGGAAACGATCGCCGTCAAAGTCACGTAACATTGCAGCAGCTGCTGAAGAACAACCAACTACTGCCCCAACTAAAATAAACAAAACAAACAAGTTAGAACAAGTGCACCGAGTTAGATCGAACTCACTTTCACTAACCACACCAAGCAAGAAATAGCAACAACTGAAACGACAGGACCGGGTGACAGACACTTTAAACAACCAAACGCACAAAACCACAACTGAAAAAAACCTTTCCCAAGCCGGCTGGTCACCGTGGGAAAGTACGACCAACTCCCTCCAACTGAAATAAACTATACAGGAAAACAAATTCACAAACAAAAGGACCTCATGTATATCAGTACACTGAATACTCGAACACTGAGAACAGAAGAAAGCCTTGAAGAACTAGAACTGCCCTACGAGACCTAAACTGGGACATACTAGGTATCAGCGAAATGAGAAGAGAAGATGAGGGAATAGTAGAAAGAAAGGAATACGTCATGTACAATAAAGGCGGTACTGATGGTCACCGTGGAGTAGGCTTCTTAGTTAAGTCTAATTACAAAAACAAGATAAGAGAATTCGAAGGGATATCGGACCGAATAGCAATTCTCGACATCAATATCTCCAACCACAAAAAAGACTGGTCTATTATCCAGGTATATGCGCCTACAGAGCAAGCTAATGAGAACGACACGGTCCACTTTTATGAGTGTGTATCAGGAATCGTGGAAAAATACTCTTACAATCACCTTATAGTGATGGGAGATTTTAATGCTCAAGTTGGCATGAGACAAGCGGGAGAGGACTTAATCATGGGGAAATTTGGCCACGGAAAGAGAAGCACCAATGGTCACAAGCTGGTCGAATTCTTGCTCCAAAACAATTTGACACTGTTAAACTCGATTTTCAAGAAAAAACAAATGGACATGGATATCCCCGGATGGGCGGACTAAAAACGAAATTGATTTTATATTAACGAACAAACGCAAACTATTTAAGGACACACACATAATTCAGAACCTAAACTTCAACACAAACCACCGCATGGTACGAAGTTGTCTAAACTCTGCACGACCTAAAATGTCTAGAAAATTCATAATCAATAGAAACCTCCTACCTTCAGAACAAGAACTCATTAAAATTGGATAAACCTGATACCAAACCTCTTCTGGAAATTGTTAAGTCCGAAATAGATGTACTAGAAAAATACAATAAGGTAGAAAACAAACTCACCAAATTAACAAAAACCAGCATAACAAACAAAAGAAAACCAAAACACAGCGAGAAAACCTTAAATCTCCTAAGAAAGAAAGAAGTTGTTTTCGGAAAAAGATCACGTAAACAAAATCTCTGCGCTTAGCAAAAGAATTAGGGAAAGTATGAAAAACGATAGAAAAACAAGAAGACTTCAAACTTTAGAAAAACACATAGTGAAAACAAGGCAAAAAGAAAGCCCTAAAAGAGTTAAGAGAGAAAGGGAAAGAATGGATACCCAAAATGAAAAAGAACCAAACTAGCATTACTAATCGAAAAGATATACAGAGATTAGCGACAGACTACTTCCGCACATTGTACTCCAAAAACCATGCTAATGACGTAAATCAGCAAGACAAATCTGATCCTCAACTCAAAGAAGACCCAATACTATCTATACTTGCAGGAGAGGTCGAGAAGGCCATAAATTCCCAAAAACTAGAAAGAGCCCCAGGACCTGACAAAATCCCGAATGAGCTAATGAGAGGATCAATAGAGGAATTAAGCCCAATACTAGCAGTGCTATTCATTCCAAATCAATGGGGCGAATCCCACATAATCCTTATACACAAGAAAGGCGCTAAAGATGAGATGGGTAACTACCGGCCTATAAGCCTAAAGTCTAATATATATAAGGTGTTTGCCAAAGTCTTACAGGATAGAATATCAAAAACGCTGGACGAGAATCAAACGATGGAGCAAGCAGGGTTTAGAAAGAATTTCAGCACTATTGGCCATATCCATACTGTGAAATAGATCATCCAGAAATACAACGAATACCAGAAACCCCTATACGTGGCTTTCATTGATTACTCAAAGGCCTTTGATACGCTCAACCACAACCACATATGGTCAAGCTTAAGACAGCAGGGTGTTAATGAAGTGTATATAAATTTAATTAGAAACATCTATAGTATAAGTAAAAGTAGCATAAAACTAGAAGAAACTGGTCACCCATTCCCTATTAACAGAGGAGTTAGACAAGGGGACCCACTATCCCCAAAGCTCTTCTCAGCTGCTTTAGAAAGTATATTTAGGAGTATAAACTGGACTGGCTTAGGTCTAAATATAAACGGCTGTCGTCTTAACCACCTGCGATTCGCTGATGATATTGTTCTGTTCGAAGAGGATCCCAAGAAACTAGAATTTATGATCAAAGATCTGGCTGCGAAATGCAAGGAAGTAGGGCTAGAAATGAACAAGAACAAAACTAAAATAATGACCAACTCCAAACATGTAGACATAACAATCAATGGTGATCTTTTCGATTATGTTACTGAATATTTTTATTTAGGACAAATAATTTCTCCAAGCGACCAAATGACTAAGGAGATCAACAAGAGGATAGCATATGGTTGGAAGAAATATTGGTCTTTGAAGGAAGTAATGAAGAGCAAAGTGCTGGGAATCCATCTTATAAGGAAGACCTTTGACATATGTATCTTACCATGCTTGACCTACGGATGCGAGACCTGGTCGCTAACAAAGTTCCATAGGGAAAAACTTTCAAAGTGTCAGCGTGCAATGGAGCGGAGTATGTTGGGAGTGAAATTAAAAGACAAGATCCGCAACGATGATATCAGGTCCAAAACAAAAGTTACCAACATACTCACGCGAGTTGACCAATTAAAATGGAGGTGGACTGGGTACCTACTAAGAAGTAGCCTGGAGAAGTGGAGCAAACGTGTAACGGTCTGGTACCCCAGAGACGGTAAACGCAAAAGAGGGCGCCAGATAAGGAGATGGGAGGATGAAATCCGCCAAACTCTGGGGCCACTGTGGAAAACGAGTGGCGCTAGATAGAGCCCAATGGAGACAGATGGAGGAGGCCTTTGCCAAAAGGCACGCAGAAATCAGAGATATTTTGTAAATCCTAAAACAACTTTATCTGAATAACTCTGTAACTCTGACTACTGTAATAAAGGCTATTTTATTTTATTTATTTAAATCAGTTGTACTTGTCCTTTCGACGAAAAACTTTGTTTCATTACAACCCCGTCCCGATAACATACCTCGCGAATTTCCAAAAAACAAAGTAACAAAGTAGTTTCATTTAAAATACCTCGAAATTTTAAAAGCAGTCTAGTGTCTACTAATACCATAAATAACCCCATACCTATTAGCTTCAATGGTCTTTTGTGACGAGCGAGTGGTGCGCTGCGAGGGCTCGGGCTGCGCGGAGTGCGCGGCCCTCAACACGGGCGCCGCCTCCTCGTCGGACGAGAAGTCGTAGGGGTCCTGGGTGTCCGTCTGTGGGACATGTTATGGTTAAAACATAAAAAATTCGAACCTCCTTTTTTGGAAATCGATTAAAAATGTACACAAACTCTTTTTGTATGGACCATGGTTTTTTTACACATTGTCTGTTTCGTTGGTCTAGTGCTTCGAATGTGCGGCTGCAGATCGGAGGTCCTGCATTCGAGTCCTAAGTCGGATTCAAACTTGAAAGGTATTGTTTTGCTATATTGTTTTTTTCATTATTACTTTATCTTAAATAAAAATTCAATATTGATTAATGTCATGACTAATCGTCTTTTTTTTACGATTCATTCGCATAAATATTAGTCTTAGTAATTTTAAAGGTTTTCATTTTAAGTAGTAATTGTAATTAAAATAAAAACAAATGTTTATTAAAATCGCAACAAGAACAAGTATGAACAATTAATTTATAAAATAGTACCGTTTTTCTGGACTTTTTAGGTCGCGGTTGTGACGCCTGCTCGCTGTCGGACGCGTTCTCTTCCTCGCCCGACAACGCGCGACGCTTGCGACGCTTTTCCTTTGTTAACACCTAAAATAAAAAAAATATTTATTACTTGTGGTCGAGTTTCGTGGATATAGATTCACTAATAAGGAATAATAATTATAAATCAATAATTTCATAATATTTTTAAACGACAAAACACAATTCGACATTGTGCTCCTATTTCAGTTCGTTTTTGTTCATTGCTTGTCGGATCGGACAAAATTAAATCATACGTTGTTTCGTTTAAAAAAATACTATATGTGGTGTGCATAAGCTCAAATTTGTGTTTAGAACTACCGATTTTTTAATTTTATTCTTTGGTTTGACTTAATGTCATATGGCACTTTTTAAAGAGATAATCTAAATAACTTCCTAACAGGAAGTATAATTGACGGGATTGAACATGTAATTCTTTTAAGCTGTGTGTGTAAACATATTTAATTTAATAAAATCCAAATGTGTACCTTTTTGAAGTAAGCGTACTGCACGAGCTCGATGGCGACGTGCGCATCGTCCTGCGTCACCTGGAAGCTGAGGCGGCACTTGGCGTGTGCCGTGGCGAGCCGGATCAGCGTTTCCAGCGTGCGCGCCGTCACCGGCTGCGTCTGGATGTGATAACGACAAAAACTATGTATTCAGCCCTTTTTTCATTTTTATAATTAAACTTTTTATAATGCTTTCTTTAGGTTTACGCGAATACTTGACATAAATAAAACTATCTTTTCGGATTTTTCGCGGCTTTTTTTTTATTTTTGGTTCCCGACGTTTCAAATGCTTTAACAGCAACCATGGTTGTTACAGTACAAGTAGGATGTACTTACCTATTTGTTATTTTGTGGGTAGGCTGTCTGTAACAACTATATAATGCCTTTGAGACTACTACAACCTAAGTCTCTCCAGTGACCATGATGCTGTAAAGCATTCAAAATGTCAGGAACCAAAAATAATAAAAAATCCTCGAAAAAATCCGAAAAGATAGTTTTATTTAAAAAATCAATAAATCTATATAAATAAAAATGAATCACCGAAATATATATACGCGTATAACTTCCGATCGACTGCACTAAATTGGATTTTTTTTTTGTGTTAGTTATTTTCAGGAAGTTTTGCATAGAAGAAAATTAAAAGAATTTTTTTTTTACTAAAATAAGATTTTTTTTAATCTCATGATATGAAAAGTGAGTGAGTGAAATAGTTTTTATCCCGGAAACGAGCCCGAACGAAGCGAGGCTGAGTCGCTAGTATTCGCATAAATCTAAGAAAGAGTCACCGATGGTGATAAGTTATAGCTTACCCGAGCCACCCCCACATCATCCCCATCCTGGTTCCTCAGTCGGGCGTACTCGTCAGCAATGGCGTCGCAGGCGTCCTGGGTGAGTTTGGGCTTCATAAGACGAGCGATGTGTATGTACTTGCGCATGAACTTGGTGCTCAGTATATGATCGCTTCTGCTGCGCGTGCGCCCGTGGAGGAGGGGGTCATATTTTTCATATATAGCCTCGTTTGTATCCTGGAAATATTGTCCATTGTGTTTTAGAAGGTTTGAGTACGTTTTTTAAATTTTATGTTCAAGTTATACTTCTCTTGGCATGTTTGGACACAATTATGAGACTTACAAACGGAGAGTTGCGACACACGGGATGAAATCTTTAGATATATTTTATAGAGACCAGAAGTATGTATATCAATTTTACATATTGAATACTTAAAAAAGTGAAAAAGGGCATATTTAATATTTAAAATACAAACTTCTTCATCATTATCTGGATTTTCAGTAGATAGCATTTCCACTAATGAACCCATTGGTAGAACTTCTCCATCCTGTTCCTTTGGATTTCTGTAACAATAATATCATCAAATAATTTTGCTCAAAATTACAATAATTCAAAAGTGCATAATTTACATTAATACCGCCTGTTATTAAATAACATACTTAAATATTAAAAAATATTTTTTTACAAGACATACATAAGTTATCTCCATTCTTAATTTCACTCAAATTCTTCGAGTTAGAACAAATAGAGTACAATTTAAATTTTATTACCTGTATCTATGCATTCTCAGCACATGCTCTGATATCATGTTGTCGTGGTCTGCTTCCGCGATGTCCAGCATCACGAATAGCAGATCGAAACGGGAGAGGAGCGAGTCTTGCAAGCCAATGTTCTCCATTGGCGTTTTATATTGGTCGTACTGTAAAAAAAAATTGCATAAATAAAAAATAAATTATTAACTAAAAAAATTCCGGACAAGTGCGAGACGGACTCGTCCACCGAGGATCCGTACAAATTTGTAGGAAATCTGTTTAACTTTAATGTTCAACATTTTTATTTTTTGGAATCTTTCCTTTATTTGTGCTGTAAGACCTTGCTTTTGCCAAATTTCGTCATTCTAGGTCAATGGGAACTACCATATAGGTTTACGACCCAAAACTTATAGAGTACTTCCGGTTGACCTAGAATTGTCAATTTTGGTTAAAATCCTAGAACTCTCAAGTTCCCTTCAAGTAATTCTGATCATAATTTTTTTGGGTTGTATTATAACATATTTTCCCGTAGGAATGAGATGATCTCCCGCAAAAAAAAGTTGCCTATGTATATACTCTCTAGCTGTCCAACTATCTTCACACTAAAAATCACGTCAATCCGTCACTCCGTTTCGACGTAAGAGAAAGACAAAGAAACACACACTTTCACATTTATAATATTAAGTATAGATATCTTACCCGGCCGTACACAGGGTTAGCAGCAGCCAGCACGGCGCAGCGAGCATTCAGCGAGGCGTGCACCCCCGCCTTGGCGATGGTGACACGGCCCTGCTCCATCACCTCGTGTATGGCGGTACGATCGATGTCCGACATTTTGTCGAACTCATCTATACATACCACGCCACGATCGGCTAACACCATTGCGCCTGCTTCCAATCTGTTGGCGAAATTGAATTTTATTAACCGACTTCCAAAAAGGAGGAGGTTCTATGTTCGTCTGTATTTTTTTTTTTTGTATTTGTTCATCGATTACTCAAAGACGCCTAAACCGATTTGGAAAATTCTTTTTTTGGTGTCAAAGCGTATACTTCCCAGGTGGTCCAATTTTAATTTTATCGAAATCGGTCGAGCGGTTTTTAAAAAAACCGACAATTAATTATCTTTAAATAAATGGGTTAATTGAATATGTTATTAAACAAAACTTTCTTCTTACAAATTATCTGCTTATTACATCTGTCCCAACATATTATTTATAAATGTAACTAACCTTCGATCGCCAGTTTCAGGATCAGTAGTGACAGCAGCAGTCAAACCAACTCCCGAGGAACCTCTACCAGTTGTCGTGATCGCTCTCGGCGCCGTCAACAACACATAACGCAGTAGCTGAGACTTAGCTACTGATGGATCACCAATCAGCAGTATGTTGATATCACTGAAAAAGAAATGTTTGATGTTATAGAAATACAAATTTAAAAGCTCACCAACATAATTTATGTGATTTTCACAAGTAACAATTATTTACAATGGAGTATTGGTTTAAATAGTAATTAAATTTACAAATCATCTTGAGTAAGTACTAAATGCAATGATAAAAAATAGACCATTGTCACTACATAGTATAAAACAAAGTCACTTCCCGCTGTCTGTCTGTCTCTATGTATGCTTAGATCTTTAAAATTACGCAACGGATTTTGATGTGGTTTTTTTTTAATAGAGTAATTCAAGAGGAAGTTTTATATATTATATAATACATGCATAGTATAGTACCGAAAAGCCGAAAAATTCAAAGATATGTATTTCATACTAACGAACCCAAGCAAAACGTGTCACTAGTACAAGATATAACACTACTACTGTACTAAACAATTATTTTCTTCATTTGCATGAAGGCCGTTTTGAAATTGGCCATCTTGGTTTTTTATTTTTTGATGTTATAGCAGCAATAGAAATATACACTTGGTGGAAATTTGAGCTCACTATCTATAACAGTTCATGAGATACAGCCCACTGACAGACAGACGCATCCATAAAGACCACTAGAGGAATTTTCATGAAATTTGGTATGATGGTAGCTGGTTATACGGGTCAACATATAGGATACTTTTTACTGCGGGAAAATATCTCATTTCTGAGAAAAAATACAAAAACTGCAACATAAGAGTATACTAATATGTAAAACCTAAGAATTTGGTTTTTGGTCATCTGAACGCGGGCGGAGCCCCGGGCAATGCTAGTACTTAATAAAAACTTACCCTCTCAACCTAGTACCATTAGGCAGAATTTTCTCCATACCTCCCAATAATTGACACAAAATTGCCTTTTTAATATATTCATGTCCATGAATAGAAGGGGCTAGCGACTTACTTAATAACTCAAACATATCATTTGTTGCTCTTTTTGCTAATCTCTTACATAGTTTAATATCTTCTATAGTAATATTGAGATTCATTTCTTTATTAATTTGTGTTACGTTATTGGCAATGAGGATTGTTCTGAAAAGATACAATGCATCTGATTATTTTTGTTTGAAACTGTAGCCTAAAAAGTATCCTTGTATGAGTTTTTAGAACACCTTTACTATGAACAGATGGACTTATTCTTCTAAACTTAATTACCTGAAAGTACCAGCAGTGAAACTCCCTTGCTTTGATGGTAAACATCTATAATTTCCAACAACCTGCACTCTATCTCCAGGTTTACACTGGTCTACCAGGTCATCGTCACAGATCACATCCACACTTCGTGGTAACTGACCCGCTGGAGCCCTTTCAGGCATTTCTTGCACTGTAAGAGTCTGATGATCTTTGTAGCGAGACAGACCATATTCAGTCTCTAGTGGGTTTCCTTCATCATCCTACAAATCAAAAATTATTTGCAAGTTAGTATTGCAACAAATAAATTAAAAGAAAATTATAATTTTAATTATATATTAATTGTATTAGGTAAATTATTAAATATTTATACCTTTGTAGGATAAATTGCTGTGGTAGGAAACGCTTCGAAGGATGTAAGATCTGTGTACTTTCTTTCCATTACTTTCTTGGTGGCTGGGCAATAGTGAACACTGCGTACAACCTTGGGGCGTACCAGGGACACTCTAGTTACTATACCTTCAACACATATCAAGTTTCCTAAATACCTGCAGATAGTTTAAGAAATTTTGAATAACGCTTAAAACAAGTATTTACTAGGCCTTTTAAGTTTTAATTACCTTGAAGTTAAGCTTCTCGGAGTAACATGTTTTGTACCAAAGCTGCCAGAAAAAGCAACAAAGAACTCTTCTTGTTCTTTAGCATACATTGGATCTATAGAAGAAACATATTCCTTTAAAGCTTTCTGAAATGCTATTTGCTCTTCAAATGCATTATCCAGTAAAGTCTTCGCCCTTTCTGGATTTTTTCGTCTCAGGTCATTTATGTTAACAACAAGTCGTTTACTTTTTTCTCCTATCATTTGTTTTACTCTTTCAACATACACGCCTTGATCCTCCTAAAATATATAAAAGTTAAAATAATTTTAAAACTACAATAATAATATTATTATCATAATATTGTTAGGTTATGAATCAATCATTACTTCATCGTCTAAAAATTCTAGGTACTCCCTCTGAAGATCTCGCAAGCGTTGATCGAAATCACCTTCTTCCATAATTAAAATAATTCTTTATGATAAAACCAAAACTATTTAATTATTACAATTACAAAACACAACACAGCAGTTTGACAATGCACAAAATTTGGCGCCAGAATTATTTAGGGCTGCCAGTAGAGCCAACTTATTTTGTACCGAATATATCAATATCGACTTCGATGTCCCGAGGAATAAAATATCGATATATCGGTCAAATTTCAGACAGTTTTGGTTTTAAAATAATAATGTACCTATTTAGTTCAGTCTGGCTCAAAAATAGGGAATAGTATTTTTATATAAAATGCATATCATTTTATTTCATGAAAATTTTAATAAATTCGAAGGTATTTTACCCCCTTCCAATAAACTGGTTTTTACGGCATTTGAAAGGGAGTGACGTATGATGGCCGCCGCATAGAGATTACATTACATTAGATTACATTATATTAGATTACATTACATTATATTAGACCCTTAGAGTATACATAAGCTATAGAGCACGCGCTAGCAAGTATAAATTTTATTTGTCATCTATGATATGAACTGTGGGCATGGGTATGAACAGTTTCGAAATGTCATGGGCGACGCCGACGCTATTAGTCACGAAAAGTCAATCGCCCTGACTGTTTCTCTCATCGGTATTTATTTGAATTTATGTAATCATGGGGTAATGTGCAGTTCCAAGCTGTAAAAATGATTCACAAAAGCAAACTAAAACGAACAAAGATATTTCTTTTCATTGGTAAATAATATTTCAATCAGAAAACGCTGATTACTGTTACTGTTATACTGAATTTTACTTGGCCGACCTGACCTACTTCTGAGATAGACTCGTAATAAATTATTATTTAATTATGGAACGCGAAAAATTAAAGAGAATAATATATAATTTTAATTTAGTTTATAATTATTTAAAAAAATCTAATTATTAAGCAACACTATTTCTACATAGATTTACAAATGAAAGATATTACTTTGAAATACTGTGATTTTAGATAATAAAGTCTATATTATGTGCGTGAATAAATAGTTCTGTTAAATTGTTTATTTTAATATACTTCTTTTTTAATTAAATTCTAAAAGTTTTACTAGGCGCATCACTATTCAACCGCTTCATCTACAAGTATTTATCAATAGGTGTGTTTAGAGCATTGCTTACGTTTCGCATAAATCATAATGCACAATGAGCGATACGCGTGCTCTATAGCATATGTATACTCTAAGCATTAGACACATACACGCAACACCAACAAAACATACAAACTAGTCATTGTCAATACTATATTTTTTTCCGCTCGTTCCTATCTTTACATCATTAAATTTTGTAATAAATTCCGCTAATAAATTGAATTTAAAAAAAAAATCGATATTGAAAAATTTGTATCGATTGTGCTCCCGAGTAAAAGTGTTCTGTGGGTTTGTGATCCATACGATCTATATAAATTGAACATTCGTCATTCACTATTTAGGATAAACTTGTGATGTGCCAACTCGGAAAAAATATAACTCGAGTTGAAATTCACATAACTCGAGTTGAACTCGAGTTACGTAACTCGAGTTAGCTCTAGCAAATAAACAATATCGCAGTATATTTTTAGCATTTTGTTCTTTTATTACAAAAATAGCGAATAAACGACTTAGCACTAAGACTTAGAAAAAAAAGAGTGCTATATCCATTACAATGTAAAACAATATAAGTATGAAAATTGTAAATCCACCATAACAACATTATGATGGTATTGTACGTGAAATTTAAATATAAAAGTAAAATGTTAGAGATAGAACTAAGTAAGTATATGTAATAGAAATAAGGAATATGTAATAAGTTATAAAAATAACAAATACTTGTAATAATAAGATAAATCATAAGAAACATGTAAAAATACTGTAAATCTAAAGCACAAATAGAAAGTAAGACTATATGTAGAATACCGCTTAAAAAACAATGTAATAGCAAATAAGAAAAATTGTAAACAAGGACTCCGACTCCCACATCGGAGGTGTGTCAGTATAAATAAAAAAAAAAACTCGAGTTAACTGGATGAAAAACGAAGTGAATGATTTGTTTTGCTTGTACCAATTTAATGACTCGGCTTCGCAATAATATTAAAAAAATGGTACAGATTCTAAATGAATATTTATTAGGACAATTATAATTATTTGTATTTTTTATATTTATTTATTTATATTATTACTAGCAGAACCCGCGGCTTCGCTCGCGCTAAAACTCCAAAAAAACACTAAAAAGGTAGGTTTAATACAAAACTTCATCCGCTATTTTACCCCCTTACGGGATAAATTTCGAAGAATGCTAAAACATATATTTATTTAATTGTATTGAAGAGCGTTAATACCAAGTTTCAAGTAATTCTGATCATAAATATTTTTTTGGGTTGTATTATAACGTGTTTCCCCGTGGAAATGAGATAATCTTCCGCGTTAAAAAGTAGTCTATACCACTCTCCAGCCCTCCAACTATGAACTATTTTCACCCAAGAAATTACCCCAGTCCATTACTCCGTTTCGACGTGAGAGAAGGACAAACAAACAAACATACTTTCACATTTATAATATTAGTATGGATATTATAACGCTGTCATTCTGTTGAAACGCTATGACGGGAGTACGGACGACAGCGATTAAGTTAAATACTATGGCATCTTATTCGGTTGTAATAGGAGCGATTTTGCAACATAAATGTATGTTCTGAAGTCCTGACGACTGTACAAAACATGAACACAACGAACGAATCACCGCGTTTGTGTAAGGTCAATCGCGTACTCACTCGATTCGTTCACTTACCACGCAAATCCAATTCGAGTCAGAGAGAATTCAACTCGAGTTAGTAACTCGAGTTGACACATCTTTAGGTTAAACATTAAACAATTTAGATTTTAGCAGTTTATAACTATACTCTTTGTTTTAGATACCCTTTACCTTTAGTCTTTTGTACCTAGTTTTCTGCATGGATGACAAATAAAAGTTTTCTGCTTCTATTGGATTCGTCTTACTTAGTGTGAAATGTATTGTACCTGGAAGTTAGACCAGCTTAAGGAAGAATTGAGGAGGAGAGGTGAATCCTTTAATGGTAAAAAGGCAGACCTTGTAGAGAGGTTAGTAAATTTAGTCAAAATCACTTTTTTTTCTATATTGGCTTATAGAAAATCACTTTTATTTTTTCTTTTATGTTAAATGTTTTAACTGTTTATCTTTTGGTTGAACTGACAGGAATAATTCAGTGAAGATTTTATTTCTTCTATTATTTGCGAAAAAAATGTTCTAATCTGTTTTATAATTTTTTTAGGTTGGAAGCTTACGATGGAAATTTCAACTTCGCTGGTAAATCAGATACTCCAGAACCACAACAAGTTATGGTTATACCAAATGACGAATATTATAAAGATATAAACGACAATACTCCATTGCCTCCTTTACAAAAAGATCAAGTACAACAGTATTTTGAAGGGTAAGTATATTTTACTGTTGAATTAACTTTAAAGGTTGATTGATGTTTATCAGTTTATCTTCTATTTCAATATAAAATTTTAATTTTTCAGATGTAATCAAGCATTAGTTAAAGGAAAGAGTTTATATGAAAATAGATATTTACGTTTATTGAGAGCTGTCACCATTAAAGATTTTATATTTGTCAAAGGTATCTGTAAAGCAACAATGAAAAATACTCAATATGAGGTAAACATAAAATTACACAAAAATGGTGCATTGCAAGAGACTCACTGTGAATGTACAGTGGAATCAGGAGTTCGTGCCCTGTGCAAGCATGTTGCTACAGCATTATTGGCCACAGTTCATATGAATCAAAATAAAACAGTCCTTTTAGAAGAAGTACCTACTCGGACACTACAGACTAGTCACCATCCTAAGAAAAAATATTTTTCCTTGCCTTTAAAAGCTCAGAGCTTACCTTATAAAGGAATGAAAGAGAACTATGATTTTCATCCTTTTAAAGGTAAAATAAACCAAGAAAAATACAATGAAAGAATAAGGAATCTCGTGTTGAGCTATACAGACAGTACTATGCCTTTAAAACAGCTGTATAAACCTGCTAATCTTAATGCAGTTGGGTCGGATCATGGTAGTTATAATGTTTCACCAAAAAATGCAATTTTAGAATCACTGTGTTTAAAAAAAGTTACTACAGAAGATGTAAATATTGAAAAAGATAAGTGAAAGTGAAAAATGGAAAAGGTACAGAAAAAACCTACTTCCGCTAAGCAATTTTTATACAATTTGCCATTCGCATGTCGAAAGAATGTCAAGCTTTGCAGAGAACTTACTATCTGCACAAAGTGTTTCATATAAAGCTACAACCCATGGAAAAATTAATGACAAAATGGTTTTAAAACAATATAGTGAAAAATATGCACTTGATGTAGAGGAATGTGGCTTATTCATTAACAAAGATAAGCCATATTTAGGTGCTTCGTCTGATGGATTATTAGGAAATCAAATAATAATTGAAATAAAATGTCCTTACTCCACTAGACATAGCTTAATAAACCCAGTTATTATACCTTATCTGTATTTTGAAAATGAAGAGCTACAATTAAAAAACAAATCCTTACTACTTCCAGATACAGCTGCAACTTTTTTGTACATATAGAACATTTTGTAATTTGGTCATCTATTTATGCATATGACGATCTCCAAATTGTGTATATCATAAGGGATGAAACTTCTATTGTAGGAATGATAGAAAAATTGGACTTTTTCTATGAAATTTACTTTGAACTAATTAATATAGATGATTAAATAAATAATTGTACAAGTACTATACAATAAAATGTTAATTATTTTATTCAAATGTATTTATTTAAACTTAACTTAACACTTTCCCTAAAATTACATAGCATTACACATACAAAAAATATTTTTGAAGTTAAAGGCACATAGAAACTATTAACTTCAGTGTTAAGAATTGTGTATGTTTTTGTTAATCCAATAAGTCTTTCAATGTGCACTCTTTTCTTTGGTAACTCCCTATGTTTTTTTAAATCATGCATAGAAAGTTGTGATGCCCTCTTTAATTTTGATTTTGGTATTTTATCTCCCATAGCTTTTGGAGCAAAAATTTCTTGAATATTAAACCTTTCATCAGCCATAATAGTATCTCCTGCCTGACATAAGGTAGTCAATTGAGACCTCTCAATTAACTGCCGATCACTTGTTGCACCACCATAACCATCAGAACAGTATGAAATTAGACCACCTGGAGTAGCACCAATCAAAAATTTAATTGTGTTCTTGTTTTTATATTTACTGAATGTGGCCTGTCGTGATAAAGGGTTTTTAGGCTTACATATAGGCACTTCTGTGGAATCAACGATTATTCGAGTATTTTGAAATTTTTTAAAGCTCTCTGGTGTATAGTACCGAACCACATCTTGTGTAGCCCATAAGTTAATTAATGACCAAGTATCATACATAAAATTAAGCCAGGTTACAAATATATTTGATACTATAGATTTGCTGACACCAAATATTTTGGATAGTTCAAAATCACAATAATTACGTTTCAATTTCATTAATGTTAATAGAAACTGGTCTTCCACACTTAGTGAAATTACATTGCATGATTTATAACATAGATTATAAGCCATTGGACATAAAGTACTGAAGACAAATTTAAATTTTTTATATGTTTCAAGTCCCGTAAAAAAAATTATGGATGTGTCATCAGAAAGTAGTTCTTCTGTAGAAATTAATCTTAACGATACAGAGGTCTGTGTTGATTTATTGTTGGTATCTTGAATTTCAATATCACTACAACTTAAAGATTGTTGTTTATTTATGTCCAAAAATTCAGTCTCTGGAACTTCAGTATCATTATTACTACAATCTGAAAATTCTTGTGGCTTTAACTTGGACCAAGGGAAAACAGACGGCACTGCGTTCTCTTTTAACTTTCGACGTTGTAAGTTAAAACCTGCAAATTAAACAAATAAGGTAGTTTATATATTACCTATGTATCTGTAAAATACCAATTTCCAATGGCACTAAAAAAGAAATAAAAAAAAATATTCACCTGTAGACAATTTGACAGTTCTATAGTCACTTTTTGTAAAATGATGTCCACATATCTTTAAATATAAAGATTGTGATTTCGCCAATTTTGGTCGTTTTATTGCTTCAGCCCACAATTTCTTCAGTTTTTTGTCTTTAGGGAACAAATGAGATCCATTTTCTTTGCATCCTGGCACTGCACAATTTGTCATTTTAATTTAATTTTGAAGTAAAATTAAAATATCTTAACCACGCTATACAGCTTTAATATATTATGATTTATAAAGTTAAAAGTAAGGATCATAATTCAGAAAAACAGTTGTAGTTTCCATTATACAGTGATCATAGTGATCGCGACATCAGGCGGGAAAAAATGGCAAAATTCTTCCCACGGGTGACAATTTGACAAATAAAAATTCTTTCCCATTCCTGAGTTGACCATAGAGTAGGCCACAGATTAAGAAGACTACAGAGTAGGCAAGCCCATCAAAAAATGTGATATCCCGATAGAAAGAGAAATTACCCTTCTTTACGTCGTGCACTCGGATCTATCTCCTTTTATTTTTAATTTTATTAATATAATTTTAAGAGAATTAGAATGTATTATAATAAATTAACCATTTTAAGCAATAAGAATTATTGTGCGTGATAATGCATACAAGATTTATGTTGTATTAAATGTAAAAAAAACTAAATAAAATTTAATTTATTAAATAAAACTATCTTTTCGGATTATTTCGCGGATTTATTTTGATTTTTGGTTCCCGACGTTTTGAATGCTTTATAGCATCCATGGTCACGGGAGAGACTGAGGTGTTACATGTCTTAAAGATATAGTTGTTACAGACAGCCTACCCACAATCAACAAAATGAAAATTGCACCAATTACATTATAATATTTTTACTTTAAACATTTTTATAATTTTAATTATAATTGAATATGGAAAATTATTTATTTAATTTTTGCTATTATTTTTATAATTATTACAATTTTAAAAATATTAATTAGTAATCCATAATTAGTGTTGCCATTATTATATTTATAACCATAAAGAAAAATATAAAATATAGTATTAATTATTTAAGCCATATAATATATACTTTTACAAATTAATAGTGTTGCTTAGTAAGTTGTTTTTAAATAATAGCAAACTAAATTAAAATTATAATCCTTAATTAATTTTTAACTTTTTAAATTACACATTGAACAATTATATGGCTTAAATAATTAATACTATATTTTATATTTTTCTTTATGGTTATAAATATAATAATGGCAACACTAATTATGGATTACTAATTAATATTTTTAAAATTGTAATAATTATAAAAATAATAGCAAAAATTAAATAAATAATTTTACATATTCAATTATAATTAAAATTAAAAAAATGTTTAAAGTTAAAAAATATTATAATGTAATTGGTGCAATTTTCATTTTGTTGATTGTGGGTAGGCTGTCTGTAACAACTATATCTTTAAGACATGTAACACCTCAGTCTCTCCCGTGACCATGGATGCTGTAAAGCATTCGAAACGTCGGGAACCAAAAATCAAAATAAATCCGCGAAATAATCCGAAAAGATAGTTTTATTTAATAATATCAAACATTCGCGTAAATCTAAGAAAGTAAAATTTAATTTCATAAACTATGATTTTAATTTATTACAAAAATTCAGATTTTTTTATAAAAAAATAATTCTTCGTTGCATATTATGTATTTCTTTTGAATTAAGTAATGCGCCAAATAAAAAGATATTAAGCAGATATTTTGCCTTTTTTTTACGCCTCACCGTCACCGTAGGTGGTGAAAGACAGTTTCCTACTCTATGTGTATTGAACTCTATGAAACTAAATTCTAAAATGACATTTTGTTTGTGTCAAAAATATTTTGAAATGAACACGACGCTAAATTTTATAATATTAAATTTTATCTTATAATATAAGGTCTTTATTTTTAAAATATTATATGGGTTAGTATTTACTAGAAACAGACGTATAGTTTCATAATGGCAGAGCATAATTCAAATTCTAACCAATCTATGGCTTCTAATAATAAGGAAGATAAGCTTAAGTTGAAAATACTAGCTTTTCATGGATATCGGCAAAACGGTGCTTTATTTAGAGGAAAAATAGGATCTTTCCGGAAAACTGTTTCAAAGTATGCACAGCTATTTTTTGTATCTGCACCTCACAAGATTTTCAGTGAGGAAGGTGGTGGCGATGAAGGTAAAATTTAATATTATTTCTCTATATTTCAAAATATATTATAAACTGTTATTGTAACTTAAAAATATATATCACAACATACTAATAGTTCTGTACCTATCTCAATTTTGCTTGAATCTATAGATTTACCACATAATTTCTTAATTTGATTAATAAGTTAATCAAATCAAAGACTGCTATGGGCTTAAACATTTCACTTTTTATAATCTATTAAAATACCTTGACTTGTTTCGTTCTCCTTCGCAGTAGACTCTTGATTTTTTTTGTACAAAGTACTTATTACCTTGAGCAATCTCATGAAGTTTCAAGCTTAAGAAATATATACTTTCTGAAATAAAAAATATCAAACTTTCATAAATATAACCTGAATTTTTGGGCCCCGTACACTTCATGATTACACTGTTTTCAACCGACTTCAAAAAGGAGGAGGTTCTCAATTCGACTGTATTTTGTTACACTGATGTAACTACTAAGAGTATCTAGGACATTATTATATCAAAGACTACTTATTAGGTATATGTATAAAGCAAACAGACAGTCATATATGGTTGAGAAGGCTAAGGCGGGATCTATGTGTTACTCGGAAGAACTCTTTCTTTCTTAGTTGGTTATAACAATGACCACAACGCCATAAACAAGTAGAACTTCGACTCAGGGGCATTCAGGCATGAAAGAGTGACAAACATCCATACTATATAATATACAACTTTCACATTTATAATAATATGGATTAAATGTAACTTAAAATCATATACAATTTATTTTTTAAATTGATTTTAGACACTCGTGCCTGGTGGTTCAACGCAGAAGATAATTCATTTAGTGGAAAATGTCTTGGAGGTCCCGCCATTGGTTTTGAAGATACTTTACGCCTGATAGAGCAAGTTGTGCAAGAACATGGTCCATTTGATGGTTTCATGGGATTTTCACAGGGTGCCTGTTTAGTTGGATTACTTGCAGCTATGCAACAAAAGGGATGTTAGTAAATATAAGAATTCAATTATTTTTTTAAAGTATTTAAATAAAATGATACAGAGTAAATACTCATTGTACCATAATAATTGTGAAATATAAAGCCATACAGGTAATAAATTTCAAAACATTGAATTTTTCAATTAATTTTTTGTTACAGATTTACAATATAGATTTAAATTTGCAATATTTGCATCTGGTTTTCGCTCTGGTAGCTTGGTTCATAAAGGATTCTATGATGAGGATATTAATTTACCTTCACTACATGTATATGGAGAAAGTGATTCTATTATTCCAAAAGGTTCATAATATTTAAATTATTTCATGTCTGCCATTAAGAATTAACTAAAAGTTTTAATTAAATAAATGTTATTTGTAAAAACCTTTACATAACATGTAGAAATGCTTTTATGATATAATGAAATTACATGCCTTTCAATAATATCATTGATCTTACTTTTCAGAAATGAGTGAATCACTCATAAATTTATTTGTAAACCCAGTGGTAGCTGAACACTCTGGAGGGCATTATGTAGCATGTTCTGGGTCAACCAAAGATGCATATTTAGACTTTTTACATGAAAGACACCAAGACCTATTAGAATATAAACACAAAGATGGGGACTCAAGTTCATGAAGTGTATTAAATAATATTTGTAAATAATAACTAAAACTAATTGAGCTAATACTAATGGTACACTGTACATAAATAAGATGAATAAAAAACCAAAATTTAATTATGATGATAAACTTTGATTATTTCTGTGCAATAATAAAAAAAAACAATCTTTTCCTTTTCGATTAAGCAGAGTTTTTAAACGACTAGCAACTCACCCTCGTTTTTTGTATTGCAAAGAAACAAAAAATTTCCTCTACAATATATGTATAGCAAAAAATACATTATCCTTATTTTAGTCATTTGAAATTATATTTAGCAATTTTTTATCCTAAATTACTTTTAAACATATAGTTTTTATAATTTTTTTCATCTATTATGGACGTTTTTTTTAAAGACAAATTGGCGCCTAATATCCGCCATTTTAATCTTTAACTATTTTAATGTGGCCTTATTATCAACGTACGAAAATGGTCTCTAGAACGCCACATAAGAACTAACATACATACATAGGCTGATAAACACGTTATCCTCCTATGCGTCGCGCAGTCGGTTAAAAATAGTTAGGTTTTAAACTAAATTCTACACTATTAAAATCAGCAGACCTAAGTATTTTTATATCAGTGTTAAGTTGCGAGCGGTGTAAACACGACGCATTCATATCGCTTGGAGTAATTAACTATTCTTTAATTCTGAGAAACGATTAGTGCGAGTGCGTCTTATCGCTGTCCGTATTTTAGCTAGCAAAAATGATCTTTATTGATCATGGCGGAGGACTTAATTCTAAATGAAGATGTTAACACAGTGAATTCTTATTGCAATATTGGAATAAACACATTTGAGGAACAAACAAATTTATATGAGGAGACGATGGATGATTTGGGAAGAAAACGAATAAGAGATGAGGAAAATGGTGGTGAATGGCAACAAGTTGTAAGTCACACGAAGAAAAAAACAAAAATAATGGATAGTTCAGAGAGTGATTTTATACAAGTTTGCATTACAGGCAAGAATATGTTACCGAAGGCGTTTACTTTAGCAAAATTATTCCGCGAACAAAAAATTTTGGATGTTATAAAAGTAAAATACATTAATCCATATAAAATTAACGTAAGTTTCAGTAATGAATCTAGTGCGGAAAAGTTAATAGCATGTGAGGAATTTATAAAATTGGAATGGAGATTTCAAAAAAGCTGGGAAGTTGGATTATCATTTGGTATAATTAGAAATATTGATACAGAGTTGTCTGAAGAAGAAATAATAAAAAATATTTCTTGTGACTTTGAAATAGTTGTAGTTAAAAGACTAAACCGTCGATTCGAAAAAGAATGGATTCCTAGTGATACTGTTAAGATTGGATTTAAGGGTTCTAATCTTCCTGGATATATTTACATACTAGATCTTAGAGTGAAAGTAGAACAGTATGTTTTCCCCGTTACACAATGCTCTAAATGTTGGAGGTTTGGCCATGTACAAAAGATGTGTCCATCAAATAAACCTGTTTGTCCAAAATGTACTCAGAACCACCCTAATTGTGATACATTAGTATATAAATGTGTGAACTGTTCCGGAAATCACATGGCATTGGAAAAAATTTGTAGCGTATATAAAAAAGAAAAAAGAATACGAGAAATTATGTCAGAATTTAATTGCCCGTACAAAAAAGCGATTAGTATGTACACCCATCCCCAGATACACAGATAGTAAATTCAACTCCCTCTGCAAAGGATTACGTATACATGCCCCAATGTACGATAGATGCGTCCCCATCATATTCAGAAGTTCTAAGAATGCCACAAGAAAATCATAAAGCAGACTCTCCATCTCAGAATGTTAAAAAACCTAGTGCTAAGAAAAAGAAGAAACGGGTACAAATTTCCGAAAATGTCTACGCAGATTTTTCTACAGATTCTGATATAGACTTAGAGAATGAAAATAAAACTCCCTTTACAACAAGTGAAGAAGAAAATAAGCAACGGGAAGAATATCAAAAAGTCATACAAGATCTACTTAATAAATTAAAAAATATAATTTTTAATAATAATTTAAAAATAACATCTAAGTTGAAACAGATAGCTAAAACAATAATTGAATGTCTAACTTTAGTAGTTATAAATTTTTGTTCTGGCTTACCTATGGTTAAACAATTTTTTAAATATTTTAGTGATGGATAGAAAAATTAGTAAAATTATTAAATTAAATATCTTGCAATGGAATTGTAGAAGCTTAAAGCCTAAATTAAAATCATTCGAACAGGTCTTGTTACAGGAAAAAGTTCACATAGCAATCTTATGTGAGACATGGTTTGAACCAGATGCCTTTATTAAAATTAAGGATTATAATATTTTTAGACTCGATAGGGATGACGGTTATGGTGGTGTAGCAATTTTAACACACAAATCAATAATTGCTCACAGACAAGCCGTTCAAGGAATATCTAGAGGAATCGAAGCAGTTTGTGTTAAGATTTTAAATTGTCCTCAAATTAATAATATATACTCAATATACTGCCCTAATGGTATTAACACGGTACAAAGAGACTGGGAATATCTTTTTTCTCTAGCTGAAAGTAAATCATTATTATTGGGAGATTTTAATAGTCACCACAGTTCTTGGTCTAATAAAACTGACAATAGAGGGAATCAAGTTTTCAATGCTTTAGTTCAATCGAATTTAATTCTGCTTAATAACGGTAGCTCTACACGTTTTCAACTAATGAATTCTAGTTTAAGGGAATCTACGCCAGATCTATCATTTGCATCCTCTGATATTTCGTTAAATTTTAATTGGGTAATTACTAATGAGTCACTTGGAAGTGACCACCTAATGATAAAAATTACTTCTGCATTACATTACGATGTTGATCTCGAAAAGAAAAGAAATTTCAAGTTAGCAGATTGGAAGGGATATTCGAGTTATTTAGAACTATTGTTAAGTGACTTTTCAGTAACAAATAATATTCAATACGATTACAATATTTTTATGTCTTACTAGCATTGCCCGCGGCTCCGCCCGCGTTCAGATGACCAAAAACTAAATTCTTAGGTGTTACATATTAGTATACTCTTACATTGCAGTTTTTGTATTTTTCCTCAGAAATAAGATATTTTCCCGCGGTAAAAAGTATCCTAGGATCGCGCGCTACATCGCCCGGTTTATATAGCTTGAGCAGGCGGTCGAGCGATGCGGGGCAGAGGGGATGGACTCGCCGTAGGCATCTCAATGCTCGCCAAGCATTAAAAATGTTTCGCTACTAATTACTTCTAACAACGATATCTCAAAAACTATTCATCTGATTGATTTAGTGTAAAGAGCAATTTTAATCTGCATTAAATGACTAAGCTAACTAAAATATTCATTTGGATAAGGATTAATACCGAACTAAAGAAAATAACTTTGAAAATAACGTAATGTTTTTAATTAAAAATGTTAACATAAAAGTGGTTATTGTAAGTCAACCGTAAGAGATAGAGATATGCTATCGCGGACTTTTTTGTAGCATTTTTATAGATTTTGAATTCTCTAGTACATTACTTAACTGTATCTTTGCTAGTTTACGCGGCGTTCGCGTGGAAAGTTCCCATTTGGCGAGATTTTTTGCGACCTCTTCAACATTTGTCGCCGTATTTCAGCTAATTTACATAAAAGCATAATAAATTATATACCTAAACCTTCCTCAAGAATTACTCTTTCTATTGTTGAAAACCGTATAAAAATCCGTTCAGTAGTTTTCGAGTTTATCGCGTACAGACAGACAGGAGGACAGAAAGACGCGGCCGGGGGACTTATTTTTATAATAAGTATAGATATAGATGAGGCTGCGAACAAATTCATCCCTTTCATTAAAGTATGCAATATTCCACATTCTAGATTTGTTCCTCGACCCTATTGGTCTGTTGAACTCTCTAGAGCTGTGGCTATCCGCCGAATTGCTCTTAGAAATTTTCGACGCAATCCCACACCTCGAAATTTAGAAATTCTTTATGAAAAAATTAAGCACGCCAAAAGACTTTTAAGGATAGCTCAGAATAGGTCGTGGCATCAATTCTGTACTTCGCTTGACAATAGCTGTTCTTCTCACGAGGTATGGTTTAAAATGAAGTGGTTTAAAGGTTACAAGACTACAAAGGCACATATTAACATTGAACTCATTAATGAGCTCCTAACAAAATTATGCCCCGATTTTGTTTGCCGTAATCGTCCTATATTTACTCCTGGAAATGAATTGTTGGAATCGATGATCACATTACACGAATTAGAAGCTTGTATAAAAAATAAAGATACTGCTCCAGGTAATGATTCAATTTCTTTTTCAATGATTAAACATTTACCCTATTCAGCTAAAATGATTTTACTTCATATATTTAATAATATTTTAACATTTGGTGTGATTCCTTCACAATGGCGTAATATTTCGATAATCCCTTTACCTAAACCTGGGCGTAACATTGAAGATATTTCATCAATAAGGCCAATATCATTAATATCTTGCATTTGTAAAATTTTTCATTCAGTTATAAATAAAAGAATAGAGTGGTTTTTAGAAAAATATAATTGTTTTCCTTCAGATATGGTAGGATTTAGGAAATCTCGTTCCTGCTTAGATAGTTTAAGTATTCTTGTATCTAGAATACAAATGGGATTTTGCAATAATGATGTAACTTTAGGATGCTTTCTTGATTTAGAAAATGCTTACAACAACATTGATACTTTTAATTTATTACAAAATTTGAATAGATTAGGTGTAGGCCCCCTAATTTGTAGTTATATTTGGAACTTTTTAACAGAAAGATATTTAGAAATTAAAATTAATAACTTGAGTGTTACTCGAAAAACTAGTCAAGGAATTGCCCAAGGAGATCCTTTATCCCCCCTTCTTTTTAATATTGCGACAATAGACATCTGTAAACTTTTTCATAATGTCAATGTTTCACAATTCGCTGATGATTTCCTGCTTTATACTACAAATAAAAATATAGAAGATGCCACAAATACAATGCAAATCGCTATCAATGTTTTCTCAAAAGCAATTGATCAGCTTGGGTTAAATATCTCTCCTTCAAAAAGTAAAATTTGCCTTTTTAAGAAAGGTAAAAATAGGAAGTCGATTAAAGTTTTTGTTAATGAAAAAGCATTAGAAGTTGTGGAACATGTAAAATATTTAGGATTATGGTTAGACAGATCTCTAAGGTGGGGTAAACATGTTAATGAAGTCTATGCAAAAACTTCAAAATTTTTAAATATTTTTAAAGTTTTAGCCGGATCTGGTTGGGGGATTCATCCCAAACACTTAAGACGAATTTATTTATCAATTATCCGCAGTCGCATGGATTACGCTAGTTTCCTTTTTGATGATTGCAGTGAAAGCCATTCAAAGAAATTGGATAAAATTCAAAATCAGGCTTTACGAGTAATAGGTGGGTTTATTAAGAGCACACCAACTCATGTAATGGAAGTCGAGTTGAGTATTCAGCCACTTCGTTGCCGTAGATATTACTTGGCTGGTAAATTTTGGCATAAATCATTTTCCATTCAAGATAATATATTAATTAAAATTCTTCAAGAGTGTAGTTCGTCTAATATTTTTGCTTTGTGGAAAAGAAATCGTATTCCATTGTTAACTGTAATTCATGATGCTTTTAAAGACACTATCATGCATCGTAGCAAAGAACTTGAATTGTTTTCACTAAACACTTGGGTTAGTAACATAAATTTATCGAATTTAATTAAATTACATATTGGTAATGAATTTAATCCTAAAAGGTTATATAATGTAAATGAAATGAAAAATAAATGTGAAAAATATATTGAAGACCAATTTAACGGTTTTTATAGAATTTTTACAGACGGATCAAAACAAAAAGACTTAAGGGGTGCAGCATTTTTAGACTTTCAAACTTTAGATTTTATTAAAATTATGATTGATGGACATATCTCAATTATGCATGTTGAACTATTGGCTATTTTGGAAGCATTATGCTACGTTCAGACAATAAATACCGATAAAATTGTAATTTTCTCTGATTCTAGGAGTTCACTTCAACATATAGCTCGATGTACATCTAATATTAGAAGCACACCAGTAGCTTACGAGATTTTGAAATTGATACATAACTTTAGTAAAGAGGGTAAAAAAATAATTTTACAATGGGTTCCGTCTCATGTTCATATATTGGGAAATGAGATGGTAGATAGATTGGCTAAAGAAGCGACATATGAAGGAAACTTATTGGTAGTTGCGCCGTATTATACAGAATGTCTTTATTTGGTTAAAAAAAAGGTTTTTAATATCTGGAAAGAGTTTTTTGATAAAAGGTCAAAAGAAAAAGGCATCTGGTATAGGACTATTCAGGCTGAACCAATAATTCGTCCTTGGATTGACATGACCTGTTTGAGTAGACAAGATACTGTCCTTGCTATGCGCCTCCGCTCTGGACACATTCCATTAAATAAATTTGCATTTTTAATGGGTAAAATTGCTACACCAAATTGCTTGCAATGTGGAATTGTAGAAGATGTTTTCCATATATTAATGGAATGTGTGCGGAATGAGGCGCAACGTCAAAATTATTTTACAAATAATTCAATTTTTTTAACGACTGGAGGTATAAATATTGTATTATCAAATCCTTCTTCTAATGTAGCAAGATTAATTTATAAGTTAGCAAAAATTGTAACAAATGCAAGTAATACATAATAATTGTACGGGTGTACCTCAATACAATTTGTTGTTAAATATTTATAAAATGTAATTAAGATACCATTGTAAACGTAACAGAGCGTCATAGTCGCATATTAAGCGACAAAGCTCTTTAAATGGAGATTAAAAAAAAAAAAAAAAGTATTTTTATATCATCCTTGTGAGAGAGTGTATATATACCAAGTCAACTGGCCGACAGTGTATGTAGGTTTTTGTTTCAAAAATTTAAGTTTAAAAAAAATGTTTAGTGTTATTTACACTGTCTTTTATCCTTCTCAGTTCTTAAGCAAAACATGTATTTGATCTAAGTCCTGTTGTAATAATGAAGAAGTAGAAGTAGCATTTTCATTATTTGCCAAGGTAGCTGTGTCATCTACAAACGTTGATGTGGTAATTTTGGTATCGTCGGTAGGTTACTTTGTAGTGTAGATGGTGTGTAAAATTGGACCAAGTAGAAACCCCTGTGGTACTCCTGCTCTACCGTTCTTAAAGCCCGATGTCGTAGATGGAAAATCTTTGACTAGGAAAAATCTATTTGTTAATTAAGAGGTAAAAATAATTTATTATTCATTTATACGGTAAGAGTTAAGAAATATATATGATGTATATATGAAAGATGAATTATCTGTTCTCTAGTTAATTGACATTTGACAAATTATAATTTACAAAAAGATATTTTGACATTTGAATTTGACATACACATCGTAAACAAACGAAATTAGGGTTATGTTAATTAATCCAATTTGATATATTTATTCCTTGTTTATTATATTCAAATTACTATTTTAATACTTTTTCGTAAATACTTATCAAATTATTACTCAGGCTTAAAATGTGGCGACGTTATTTACTATGGTTTGCTCATGAGTATGTAGATTTTCGATATGCAGTAAGTAATACATTGTTTTAATTCTAAACAACTTAATTCTAAAAATTAAGTAACCATTAATATTAAATTATAATTTATTATCAATAGGAAATGCACAGTATCCTATCTATGCTGAATATCCCTATAAAATTTATTGAGAAGCCATGTATTAATAAACCATATTGGTTGGTTGAGTTTCCTTCTGAAGATTGTGTTGAGAAAGTTGCATCAAGATCTGTTTTGTTGAAAAATTGTATCGAACTTTGGTCTCGAGCTAAAACAGAAGATTGTCTTCATGATAATTTAAAAAGAGCTATAGAAAATGTAAGTGGGAAATGGATTGAAATGAGTGGTGATGCACACATCTGCCCCAAAGAACTGTTACTAGCATGTAAAGATAAAAAGAAATCTTTTAAAGTAGAAGTAGAAACATTCTGTAAACATTTTACTATGAAGGAGAAAGTTGATAAAATTGAGGTAACTATTTTATATTACATAAAAATATCTTATTCTTTTACTAATGTAGTTGGTTTTTGAAGAACTTTAGAATTGTTGTGATTTGAAACTCGATGAAACAAATGCGGCACTTAAAAGAGACAAACATAAATATATAGGATTAAGCCGGCAAGAGAATGAGATAGAATACATTGCCATGTTGCCATGGTAACAATTGTTATTGTCTAACAAATATATAATATCATATTCTTTCCTTAAATGATATTCTATAAATATATGATTCTAATATGCCTAATAGTATGCCTTATTTTATTATTTTAAATAAACACAGACAATATAACCTAATGTCTATAGGAATATAATAGGTATGTTAAATGAAAAGTAATAAAATTAATTATCCTACTCCTAATACGGTATATTCATCTCATTCTCTCGTAGGTTACTGTTCTGAAATTTCACTTCTACCATGTGTGAATTGCACACACACACTTTTTTCTTTTCATTTAAGTTTCATTGAGAAATACATATCCAAGTACTATCCTTATTTGGTATTGTCTGTTGGTTTTTGGTAATATAGATAGAACTAATTAATAACCCTATTTAAAAACTCCAATAGGATCCCATCAAAAGCAACAAAAGCCACAAAGAAACCAATAAATATATATTGGTTGTGGCTTTTGTCGCTTTTGATAGGACTCTATTGGAGTTTTTCAACAGGGAACTTATATCAGATTTAGGCTCTTTAAGTATGAGTATTGAGTAATCACCACAGACAATAAATGTAAAACAGGTATTTTTTTCTGTATTTATATTTAACATAGGTAATATAATATAATTAAATTAATATTGAACTTATATTTTCCAGAAATTTAGTTATTTACCTCTGGGAGGTCCTGTGAAATTAAAAAATCCTGACATAACTTTAGCTTACCTTGAATTCTATGGAGTAGACCCTAATAATGTTCCTGATCAACCCCACGATTTATTTTTTGGGAAATGGGTATAATATAACATTTACTTTGTTTCTGTATCTGGTGTTCTATGAGAGAAACTTAAGTTTTAACAATTTATTACACATTTGAAATAATACCCCTTTTTATTCTTCTATTTATTTACATTTAATAATCTTCAATCAACAAAAAAATAATTATAAAAATTGTTTTACCTTTATACTACTAATAATAATTGTCAAGCCAAGGTAATGTGTATCATACACAAAAATTGAAAACTTCTCTTTATTTGAATTTCATTATAAATATATAAAATATTATCATCTTACAGTTATCGGATTTCTCTTGGTTGATAATTTATAACATGAACAGATATATTACAAGTAATTACTACATTATAGGTTGCAGATGGTCAGAGAGAGCTCATTCAAACACATTCTTTGAAGAAAAGACAGTTTATAGGCAACACAAGTATGGATGCACAACTCGCAATTATAATGGCAAATCAGGCTCAAGTTACCACTGGAAATATTATGCTTGATCCTTTTGTAGGATCTGGATCACTATTGGTTGCTGCTGCACATTTCGGAGGTAAATAGTATTTCTATAACCTTTTTTTTTCTTATGGTTTTGTTGATTAATCTTATATATAATTCTTCTGTACATGTGTTTGTCACCTCCACCTCCATGGAGGAGTACCTCCACCTCCAAAAGGGCTGGACCGATTTGGACGAAATTTTCTGTATGTATTTCAATGGGCCCCTGGATGGTTTGAAAATACAATTGGACCCGGTAGGTGGCGCTGCTGATAGCAGAGTTTGTTTTTTAGTAGTTTGAGCGCGGGTGAAGTCGCGGGTACTGCTAGTAAATAATATAAAAAAAAGAAGTTAAATAAAATAGGGATGTATCTATTTGATTTAAATTTAATTTTCTTTGTAGCTTATGTGTGGGGTTCCGACATCGATTTTATGATACTACACGCACGTTCACGGCCTACTCGCGTCGGGCAAAAGGTAAAAATGTATGTATTACTTGGTGTACGGTTAACTTCCACATATGGTGATATCAAATCTCTTTTTAACTCCCGACGCAAAGAGAGAGGTGTTATAAGTTTGACGTCGATGTCTATCTGTCTGTGTGTGTCTCTGTGGCATCGTAGCTCTCAAACGGATGGACAGATTTCGATGCAGCTTTTATTATTTGATAGCCAGTTTCATGCGGTGGCTCTTAGCTATGTTTGGTTAATATCGGTCCAGCAGTGTAAGAGTATCAACTCTTTTCCAAAATGATCTAAGGCATTTTGGCGTACGATTACTCGATTGAGAGCTTCACGTGTGCCAGTGTAATCGTTAAATGACAAGTAATTTGCGTAGGGAGTTTTTTAAATTTTTAATTTATTATTATGAACATTTTTGTTCATAAAAACTAAAAAATATTTAGTATGCTATTATATTACAATGTACCTACTTATTTGTTTAAAATTTTATAAAAGTTCACTGACATAAGACACAGACTGAAGAAGTCAGTACAAGTAACATCTCATAATAACGTAAAAAATATACATAAAAACTGACTTTAAAAAAAGTAAAAAGTAAAACATAACTGATTGGTAGTTTTCATTTGTACCAACAACCACCAAATCATTTACTATTAGATATCTAATCAGGATATTTTCGAAAGCGATGTGCTTTGATTTGTATCGGCTGGCACTGACTTCGAAAATATCTGATTATCTTATATTCGATAGTAAATGAAAACTACCGATCAGCAATTTTTTTACTTTTTCTCTCTCTCTCTCTTTTGAAGTCTGTTTTTATATTTTTTTATTCAATTTTAATTTTTTTTTTCAAATTTAAATGGGACCAAATTAAAAGTATACACTTTCGAACAAAACAAAATTGTCCAAATCGGTTAATACATAACAGAGTTCTGAAGTAACAAATTAAATCGCCTAATAATTGAGAACCTTTTGAAGTTGGTTGAAAATGTCTAACTGATTATAAATATAGTTGTTCTTTTTTTAAATTTGTATGTTATGGCAAACATTCTATTCACAGATATTATTAAAATTATTTTGTTAATTATACGTAAATTTTAATAATTTATTGTTTATATTTTTTTATTCTAATCAATTTTTTTTAGATAATGTAATACATATTTAGTTAAATCTTAGTTATCAACCGACTTCAAGAAGGAGGAGGTTCTCAATTCGACTGTTTTTTTTTATGTTTGTTACCTCAGAACTTCGTCATTTATTAACCGATTTGGACAATTTTTGTTTTGTTTGAAAGGGTATACTTCCAGATTGGACCCATTTCAATTTCAAAAAAAAAAACCACCCCTAAGGGTGGAAAAATAGCTAATAATGAATTTAACCTACTTCTAATTGTCATATTGACTTGAGACTTTGCAAGTGTTTCTATTTCCGTTAATAGTACAGTGGTTCGGTATTGTTGACCTGATCTGATGGTAAGACCAGAAGGTGGATAGGTGGAACTCTTCAACGACTAATAGTAGATACTTTGAGTTTGGGCTTATTTTGTTTGGTTTGACAAGCCTAACACTTTCGAATTCTTACTTTGCTACTACTGTCTACACTAAAAAGGGAAAAATAAAAACTTTTTAACAAAAAAATAAAAACCGACTTCAAACAAAAGCACTAAAAAGTAAATTATAACTGATTGGTAGTTTTCATTTACTATACATACCTAATCAAATATTTTCCAAGTCGGTGTGCTTTAGCTAAGTAATTAAAGCCTACCTATTAAATACATACCTAATCAAATATTTTCGAAATCGGTGCCAGCCCATACAAAGCAAAGCACACCGACTTCGAAAATATTTGATTAGATATGTATAGTAAATGAAAACTACCAATCAGTTATTATTTACTTTTTAGTGCTTTTGTTTGAAGTCGGTTATTATTTTTTTGTTAAAAAGTTTTTATTTTTTATAGAGAAATGGCAATTAAAAAAAATTATCCAGTATGTACTGTAAATAAGTTAATTATTATTTTTATGGTAATAATACGTATTTCAATACGAACAATACAATTTATTCCCAAGGTTCGCAAAAAAGAAGAGAGTATTAGAGGCAATATGAAACAATATAATACAGAGATGAGATATCTAGATGTTGTCGTAAGTGATTTCTCTTTGCCGATGTGGAGAGGAGACTTGAAGTTTGATGCGATAATCACTGATCGTAAGTTTTTTATTGTTTTATTAATATACTAGCGACTCACCCTCGCTCGGGTACTTCCCTAGCTTGCTTCCCCATACAAACTTTCACCCCCTTAGGGGATGATTTTCGGGATAAAAACGATCCTATGTCCTTCCCAAGCTCTCAAACTATCTTCTGACCAAATTTCATCTTAATCGGTTCAGTAGTTTTGGAGCCTATTCGATACAAACAAACAAAAAAACTAATTTTTCCTCTTTAATTATAAAATATATTCATTTTAAAAAAATGACATCTAAAGTGACGTAATAAAATTCTTGAAACATATTGCTCTAACAATGTTGTAGGTGCCAATAATAAACCGACAAAAATAATATTATATTATACTTGTATTTTCAAAATTTATTCGACTTTAAAATAATTGAAACAATAATCATTCTACATATTTTTCCAAATATAAATAAAATCCACATGGCATTTTAATGACTTTAAACATAAGAACAGAGTCCTACTTCTTTGTTTATAATCGTCTAGCGACTAGGTGTCTACGTCTTTCTTAGAGATATTTTCCCACAGTAAAAAGTAAACTGTATGTTAACTCGGAGTACCAGCTATCATCATACCAAATTTCATCAACGTCTGTCTAGTGGGTTTTTAGATAGACAGACAGACAAAAATTCTAAAAACGATAGATTCAACATCAGCATAGATATTAATGACTATTTCGTTAAGATTTTCCAAAAAATATTGAATGTACAGCGACTTAGGTAGAATTTTAAAGTATGTATAGATAATGATGTAGCAGAAAATAACATAACATAAAAAAAAAAAAAAAAATAGCAAAATTATTAAGAAATTCCAATTTTTTAAATTATAATTAAAAGTAATAATTAAAGTATTTAATTTTATAGCACCGTACGGTGTGCGAGAGCCTACAGAGAGGATAGGCATAGAGAGAGACAACTACACTCTGTCAGAAGAGCACCTCACCAACCACATTCCGTCTAAGGTGGAGTATGGACTGTCACACATGTACAGCGATTTACTGGATTTTGCTGTGAAACATCTTGAAATGGGAAGAAGGCTTGTGTGCTGGTATCCTGTTGTTAGGTGAGACATAAATATAAATGCTTTTTAATATTTTAATAAGATATTTAGTTTACAACAAACAAACATGTCCTTTATGAGAAAGAGTGTGGAACTTGATCTATATTTTTTGATATAATACTTTCTTAGATTTACGCGAATATTTGACATTTTAAATAAAACTATCTTTTCGGTATTTGTCGCGGATTTATTTGCATTTTTGTTTCCCGACGTTTCGAATGCTTTACAGCATCCATGGTCACGGGAGAGACTGAGGTGTTACATGTCTTGAAGGTATAGTTGTTACAGACGGCCTACCCACAATTAACAAAATGAAAATTGCACCAATTACATTACAATATTTTTTAACTTTAAACATTTTTTTAATTTTAATTATAATTGAATATGGAATATTATTTATTTAATTTTGCTATTATTTTTATAATTATTACAATTTTAAAAATATTAATTAGTAATCTATATTTAGTGTTGTCATTATTATATTTATAACAATAAAGAAAAATATAAAATATAGTATTAATTATTTAAGCCATATAATTGTTCTATGTGTAATTTAAAAAAGTTAAAGTTAATTAAGGATAATCATTTTAATTTAGTTTGCTATTATTTAAAAACAACTTACTAAGCAACACTATTACTATATACTTTTACAAATGAAAAATGAAAAATATTAATCTGATAAGCTGTCATTTTGATCTACACAGTAAGAACTTACTACATCTACCTGTCTGTTATGTTTATATTTATTATTTGATTTTATTATATTAATAACAGGATCCCATGACGATGGTAGTACCCAGCCATCTTCCCTATTGAAATTTGGATGTTTGATATTAAAATGATTCGAGAAGCCATAGAAATTAAAAATGTTCATCAATGTCACCATAAAGAAAGGCTCCTGTTACATCCATTTGGTATACTGGAAGTTTCTTTCTGGCTGCCACAGCTAACATTGTACGGAAAGTAGTCAAACTCGCAACGGGGGCATAAACTTCTGCACCATCCATATCAGTCTGCTCAAATCCCCTAGCAACTAATCGGGCCTTGTATTGAATTTCTTGGCTAGGATTTTCTTTTATTCTGAACACCCATTTATTGTTTATTGCCTTTATCCCCTTGGGCAGCATTGCTACTTCAGTCCATGTATTGTTTTCTTTCAATGTAGTTATTTCTCTGTTCATAGCTTCTATCCAATTTTCTTTGTCTTCGCATTCCATGGCTTCTTTTAAAGTACTAGGTTCATTATGCACACTTATAAAACCAACTTCATAGTCATGAAACCAGTTAGGTGCTTTTCTAGAGCGTGTTCTTCTAGTATTTTCTAAATTTACTGGCATACTTTCATTTACTTCTTGAATTTCTTCATGCTCTAAAATTTCCTCTTCTAGAAATTCCACTTCTTGCATCATATTGTCATTGACCTGACAATCCTCGAATTCTACACTTCCTTCAGTATCCGACTCAGACTGGTATACTTCATTGTTCAGGTTTTCTTCTATATCTAAATATATACACTTTTCTTCCTGCTCTTCTCTTTCAGGTTTATCATGTTTCTTCACAAACGTAACATCTCTTACTATTTCCACTGCATTTTTCTCTGGAAAATAGATCCTAAACCCTTTAGTGTATTCTCCGTAACCTACAAAAATACCTTTTTCTCCTTTTGCATCGAATTTCCTTCTTTTTTCTTTCGGTATGTACACAAAGACTTCACTGCCAAATATATATAGACCATTTACATCAAACTTCTTCCCTGACCATGACTCATAAGGTGTTTTTCCTTCTTCTTTGCTATGGTAAGTTCTATTCAGAGTGTACACAACTGTGTTAATAGCTTCAGCCCAGAATACTTTGTCCATTCTTTTTGCATGCAACAAAGTTCTTGCTCCTTCAACTAAAGTCCTCATATCCCTTTCAGCTTTTCCATTTTGCTCTGGACAATAAGTTACTGTAGTCTCATGTGTCACTCCATGCTCTGCTAATAAAGTTTTCATTTCTGCATTCACAAATTCAGTCCCATTATCAGTGCGAAGTGTACAAACTGTATTATTTAATGTTTTTGCCTTCATAATAAATTCTTTAATCTTTTCAACAGTTTCCGACTTGTAAGTTAAGAAATAAATTGTCCTATAGTTTGAGAAATCATCCTTTAATAAAAGAAAATACCTTGACCCTCCTATTGACTTTTCTTCCATCGGTCCACACAAATCAGCATGCACCAACTCGCCTGTCTTACTTGTAGTACTTCTACTGCTATCAAATGGTAATCTATGCTGTTTACCTTTTACACAAGCTGTACATGTGTCTATTGGTGATTCACTATAATCAATATTATTTTTCTTTAAAATGCGTTTAATTTCCTTATAATTCTGATGTACTAACCTCTCATGCCACTCGCTTAACTTAACTTTAGCTACATTAGCCTGCAAAGACTCTGACTTAAAATCCATTACATACAGCTTAGAACATGATTCCTTATTAGCAATAGCACACACTCTATTATTCTTTGAAAATACACACTTGTCATTTGTCATACTAACATGAAAACCATTGCATACCACACTACCTACAGAAAATAGATTAATTTTTAATTTAGGAACATGCAAAACATTGTTTATTGAGCAACAGACATATTCTTTACCATCAAATGCCATTATTTTTACTTTTCCTATACCTAAAGCATTTAGCTTTCGTCCATCGCCTATAATAACTTTAGGAGTAGATAATTTTTCATATTCACAAAATAATTCCTTCTGATATGTCATATGGTGACTAGCACCGCTGTCTACTAACCATTTTTCATCTATTGATCGATCACTTGCACTAACTAGCACTGTAGATACAAAAGCACTTTCAGTTTTCTTATTACCTTTGTCACTATTTTCTTTATCTTTCTTATCATTTTTACTAGCTTTACATTTATCCTTAAAATGACCTGGCTTGTTACATTTAAAACAAACATTTTTAAGCTTACAATCTTTCTTTAAATGACCTGGCTTGTGACATAAAAAACATTTAAAATTACCTTTATTTGTACCTTTTTGACCTTTAGAAAACAATGCTACACTTTCTTCTGCCTTACTACTACACTTATTATTAAGCCGTTCTTCTTCTACCAAGAGCCGTGCCGTTAAATTGTCCATAGTCTGTTTTTCTTCTGCACACGATTCCCAAGCACTAACAAAGTGAGCATACTTCAGTGGAAGTGACATGATGATCTTCGACATAGCCATCCTGTCGGTTACCGCTTCTCCCAGTCGTTTCAAGGTCTGCTGCTGCTCCTGCACTTTGGAGATGAAGTCCGCGACACTCATGTCATCTTCAAATTTTAGGGCAAAGAATCGTTGTTGTTGTAGCATCAGTGAAGTTTCTCCATTTTTTTCATAAATACTGTGTAGCCGACTCCACACTTCGTGCGCTGTTTGACAAGTAATTACGTGATGTAGAACTGGTTCCGCCAATCTTGTCACAATTGCACTCATCGCCTTTATATCCTTCTCTACCGACGCCTGCTCGGGCTCCGCCGACGCCTGACCGGTCTTTGTAGTTTCCGCCGCACCGCCATGTTTGACATTAGGACTCGAGACAATTTTGTACAATCCTTGATCCCGCAAAATCACGGTCATCTGGAATCGCCAGACACTCCAATTCCTCGCTCCTTCCAGCTGCACTACGCCGAGCTTTTCCATTGTGTTATTTTTGTCTCACAGTGACAAAACAAACGAGCGACGCAAATATTTCCGGCCGCCACCACGTTCCTTCTTGCTTGTCGACACCCGACCAAGCTCCTGCCGTACAATTCCAAGAATATCTTCACCTAAATACGGTTACAGACTGGGCCCATAACCTATTAGGACTTTTTGGAATAATAATGCAGATTTTACACAATGAACTTTTATTTAAATGAAGCTCACCAAAGTACAAATACACGGCGTCCACCATTACAGATTGTCAAGACAGAGTTGCCAGTGTTACAAATCAAAACCTACAGCATATTTAACACATCATAACCTGAATTATCCATTAAAAAGTAATAAGTATATTAATATAAAACATAAGTATTTGATTTTTATTTTTTGTTCATTTTCAGAGAGGAATATACGGAGGAGCAGCTGCCGTCGCATCCTTGTTTAAAATTGGTAGCTAATTCCGAACAAGTGCTGTCAAAACTCACAGCCCGAAGACTCCTCACATATGAGAAGATTAGTGAAGTGAAGCCTAATATGCATTTAGATTCTAATATTGGAACACATAATTTTAGGTAATTAAATTTTTTTTTTTATTTTTTTTCCAAATGATTTTTAAAATGTTCAAATAATCGTAAATTAAATCGATACTTATTATTATTATGCTTTTTTTTTAAAAACACTATATTGTTTTTCACGTGTATAATATAAAAAATGATAATAGTTTTAATATTTTTTTTATATTAATATTTTTGTAACTTTAATTAAAAAAATTGTAGCTATTTTCGTAAACTTATATTAAAAAAAAATTGTTTTGTTTTTTTTTAATACAGGGAGAAGTATTTTTCGATGGGAGAAATGACAAGACGGGAGAGGAAAGAGAAAAAAGCTGAAGAAATCGCAACCAATATGTTAGGAAACATGCTAAATATATGTAATAATACATGAGTGATACCTATAGTATCATTAATTTAGTTAATAAAGATCATTAAAAAAAATTATTGTATATATTTCTTCCTATTTGAAATGTAGGGGTGTAGAGTGGAGAGTTGCAAAGGGAAATAAAATACAAGAGGTAATTGTGATAGCACAGATTGAAGTTTCGGTTTTAATATAAAAATATATATATTTAAAAATCAAATTAATTAAAAACCGCTATAATTTGGCTAAGTAATTAAAGCCTACCTATTACATACATATCTAATCAAATATTTTCGAAATCAGTGCCAGCCCATACAAAGCAAAGCACACCGACTTCGAAAATATTTGATTAGGTATGTATAGTAAATGAAAACTACCAATCAGTTATTTTTTACTTTTTAGTACTTTTATCATATAAATTGTGTAATGTAATAAATGTTTAGGTTTGATTGAATTTAAAGTTTCTTTTCTTGTTTTTAGAGATTTTATTTAAATAATAAAAGCTTGTTTTTAAAAATATTTTTTTACTATTATTAAAATTTCAGTTTTTTCATGTATTACGTTACTAAAAAAATACTGATGAAAAGCCAGTATTTATAAATAAGCGTAGCGTAACCTGAGCAAATATGTAAATAGCATTTATAATGGTATGAGCGGTTGAGTGTTGTTAGAATTTTCACGTGTTCCATGATTTTATTTTTGAGTCTGATAAATGCCCTAGATTGATGAGGAAATGGTGTGACGACTGGTACCTAGAACCTACCTAATTATTTTTTAGTATTTAGTACACTATCTACTTATTATCTTGCTTTTCAATAAAACCGTTTTACTTATAAATTATTTTACCTATGTTATTTTCAAGTTTTTAGTTTTTATTTTGTTTAGTTTAATATTTCTCATTCCATTTAGAAATATGAAATCCGACATTTTGTACCGGCGGTACCATCTTATATTTGGAATTTTTCGTGGTGTATTCTACTAGTCAAACTTTTTCATTTGATACCCATATCGAGGGGTTGTGAAAAAATAGGTACTTATCCTCCATTTTGTCGCGACGGCCATCTTGAGTTTACAATGATACGGAATATATTCAATTATACGATGGACGATACGTTTGGCTCAGTTTGTAGTGACGCTACTTGCTGTGCCACCGGTCGCGGGTTCGAGTCCCGCTGGGGGCATTCATTTGTGTGATGAGCACGAATGTCTGTACTCCAGTCATGGGTGTTTATATTTATAATAATTATGTATGTATTTAAAATTATAATATAATATGTGTAGTTTATTAACTATCTGGTATCCATATATCACAAGCCTCGTAGTTTACCATGGAACTAAATAATGTTGTGTGTTAATGTCCCAACATATTATTATTATAATATTATTATTATTATTTATCTATACATATTATAATAAAATTCTAACTAAGTCAAATCTGTACATTAAATATTTTTTAGAAAATCTTATTGAAATAGACATTATTATCGATGTAGAGGCTGAATCTATAGTTTTTAGAATTTTTGTCTGTCTGTCTGTCTGTTACCGCATCACAGAAAAACTACTGGACGGATTTTGATGAAATTTGGTATGGTCATAGCTGACTATCCGGATCAACATATAGGATACTTTTTACCGCAGAAAAATATCTCATTTCTGAAAAAAAATACAACAACTGGTTAGAATAAAAAACTATGATACTATATAGATTTTAGCAAGCTAACTTACAAAATATGTCAAAAACTATTAAAAATAGCTAATCTTGAATTAGTATATCAATAGCACTATTTTATTCATTAAAAAAATATTTTAATGAATATTTGTTTTTGTATTATTTAGATATTTGTCAATAGATGTCGCCATGTGTCTTTAAAATACGTAGTTTTAATTCCAAAAAAATTAATGTACAAATTCGACCTTTCTATGATTTTATTAGAATTACTACTAAATTACCCGCGGCCCCGCCCGTGTTTCAATTATCATAAAACAATCTTTTTGGCTTTATGAATTAGTTACATCTATAGATACATTAAAATTTAATGAAGCAGTAACTGTGCTTTAAATATTTTTTGGAATTTTTTATTGAAATACACATTATTATCGCTAATAGAGGCCGAACCTATAGTTTTACGAATTTTTGTCTGTCTGTCTGTCAGTGACCCCATCACAGAAAAATCACTGGAGGGATTTTGAAGAAATTTGGTATGGTAATAGCTGGTTATCCGGGTCAACTAATATAATAATACGAGTATACTAATATATAAAACCTAAGAATTTGGTGTTAGCCATCTGAACGCGGGCGGAGCCGCGGGCAATGCTAGTTAATTAATATTATTTATTGTCATGAAAACTAAAGGTAAGAGGTACACCCTACCAAATATAAGATCAATCTGTTAACAGGAAAGAGGTAAAATTTCTATTAATAAATTTGACCCAAAAACACAGGTCAAGCTAAATAGGCAAAATCATTTAATAAAAGAATTTGTCACTATGACGGTGAGTTGTTTAAATTTTAAATAGCTATGAAAGCTATATAATATGTACCTAACTTATTTTGTTCATTCATAAGGTAAAGAGGAATAATGAAATGAGCAAATAAATCATAGTTACTTATATTATACTTATATTAATATAAAGATATGTATTTGATACTCGTAAAGTATCATAAATAAATGTAATCTTCATGATTTAAAAATAATATGGTAGGTATCTTACACACTTTTAATAATAATAATATTTAATAAAGAACAAAATACACGATTAATTACAGAAAAATAGTTTAAAACAAAATAAGAAGGCTTTATTCAAGTTTAAAATTCATACCCTTTGTCCCCTTCACTCCCAAACCCTTGACCATAAAAATATATCCCGAGGGCGGTTTTTTAGGACCGCCTATATTCAAACAGGCTGTTGTTACAAATAGAATATCCAAGTTATCCCCTCCAAAAGTAACTGAAGTGACCTGAGGAGCTGGAATTGGTACTTTCTGGAGTATTTTGCCGCTGGCTGGATCGATTTTGATAACGCACGAGCCGTGGAATATTGCAATCCAAAGATTGCCATCCGCGTCGATGGTGGAACCGTCAGGGAAACCCTCAATATTGTTTCCTTCTATGTCGAAAATGTATTTGAGGTTTGCTGGAAAATATTTATAAGCTAGTAAAAACTACTACGAATAACGTATTACACATAATAATAGTTTAATCGTTTATATAAGGACGAGCCCAATATTATAAATAATAAAAAACCCCACTGCGTAAAAAACGAATATAATGGAAACAAGTTGACAAAGGAACAATAAAGTACCTAATTAGTATTGTTTTATATTTGCTGCAAATTGCGTAGTTTTGTTAATGTTTTTTGATTTGATAATTTATTTTTTTAATTACAGTTTTTTAGTTTTACATTTGGAATTTTATTGAATTTCTTATCCTAAATTATTTTTAAACATATAAGTTGTATATATTTTTGGGATCGCCTCTTAAAAACCTTCATTTTGATATCCCACTCAATAGGATTAAAATAAAAAAAATAAAGACACGAATTAGCACCTGATACCTGCCATTTCCATTTTCAATAATATGGATAGCTATAGCCTACAACACCCACGTGATCAAGATGTATCTAACGACCTAAGAATCATTCAAATCCCTTAAGTCATTTAGTAATTACGAGGGAACATAGGATCGTACATACATACAGAACAGACATAACCTTCCTTTGGGCTTCGCCGCAGTCGGGTAAAAACCCACTTATAGACAAAGCTGCTCTCACCCGACCCGGGTTTGAACCGGGTACCTTATACGGTGCTAACTGGTGACTAGATAAATAATTAGACAGAATTTGTTTAAAAAAATAAAAATATGATAAAGTGTTATCAAGTTCTTTGTTGAACAAGCAAAAGAATTAAATATGCATTTTTAAGACTTACATATCTCTCCAGTCTCCACGTCATAGTCGTATCTTCTTATCTTCCTCTCCAAACTATCGGTGTAATAAAAAGCTTTCCTCTTAAGATCCCAGCTGAGACCATTAGATAACCCTATCCCACTGCACACTTTATGAATACCGGTTTTGTCCACACGATATAATGAACCTTGGCCTGGAACGTAAGCACCTGTTGGACCTTCGTATCCCATAGTACCTGAAATAAGATTATATGCTAAAGTAATAATTAGGTAGATAAGTACTAAATACTTAATATTTTCCTTTTACATTATTATCTATACATATAATAAAATTCTGAGTCGAATCAGTACAGTAAATATGTTTTAGAAAATCTTATTGAAATATTTACTTAGTCATTATAATCGATACAGAAGTCGCATTTATAGTTTTTAGAATTTTTGTCTATCTGTCATCCTTGATCGCATCACGAGAAAACCACAGGACAGATTTTGATGAAATTTGGTATGATAATAGCTGGTTATTTGGGTCATCATATAAGATACTTTTTACTGCGGGAAAATATCTTATCTCTGAAAAATCTATACTAAATGTTAAACCTTTACTAGGACCCGAGCGGAGCAAGGGTGAGTCGCTAGTTTTATTTATAAAGCTAAAGAGTTTGTTTTAAACAAGCTATAATTTCTGGAACTACTGTAGATTTGAATATTATATTTAGCGTATTTAATGTCAAAGATTATACGCTATATCAATATCATCGTGCTACGACCCTCAGGAGCATTTTCAACCGACTTCAAAAAGGAGGAGGTTCTCAATTCGACTGTATGTTTTTTTTTTTTTTTTTTTTTTTTTTTTTATGTTTGTTACCTCAGAACTCCGTCATTTATTAACCGATTTGGACAATTCTTGTTTTATTTGAAAGGGTATACGTCCAGATTGGTCCCATTTAAATTTCAAAAAAAAATACCACCCCTAAGGGTGGAAAAACAACTAAAAATGAATTTTTCCTACTTCTAATTGTCATATTGTCTTGAAACTTTGCAAGTATTTCTATTTCCGTTGATAGTACAGTGGTTCGGTGTTGTTGACCTGATCTGATGGCAAGGCCAGAAGGTGGATAGGTGGAACTCTTCAACGGCTAATAGTAGATACTTTGAGTTTGGGCTTATTTTGTTTGATTTGACAAACCTAACACGTTAGAATTCTTACTTTGCTACTACTGTCTACACTAAAAAGGGAAAAATAAAAACTTTTTAACAAAAAAATAAAAACCGACTTCAAACAAAAGCACTAAAAAGTAAAAAATAACTGATTGGTAGTTTTCATTTACTATACATACCTAATCAAATATTTTCGAAGTCGGTGTGCTTTGGCTAAGTAATTAAAGCCTACCTATTAAATACATACCTAATCAAATATTTTCGAAATCGGTGCCAGCCCATACAAAGCTAAGCACACCGACTTCGAAAATATTTGATTAGGTATGTATAGTAAATGAAAACTACCAATCAGTTATTTTTTACTTTTTAGTGCTTTTGTTTGAAGTCGGTTTTTATTTTTTTGTTAAAAAGTTTTTATATCTTGTGTAGAATATAAAATTGTGTAGATATATCTATATGTGGATAATGCAAAAGGTAACTATCTAAATACTCATTAAAGATTGCAACGAAGTGTGACTTTGTTGTGTAATAAAATACTTTTATTTTTTCATTTCAGTTCATTTCATACCCGAAAAGACTCTACCCCTTGGATCTGCTTTTCCATCATTGAGCCTGGTGAGAGCTACCACATCCTCGTCGACAATTCCTAGTTCCTTGATAACAGTAGCCGGAGTTCCGTCAACGCCATCCCATTGAATGATCACAAATTTAGTTTCCAATCCGACGATAAACTTGTCTGTAGTTCCTTCTACAGGCACAATGAAACTTACCTTGCCATCTACAAGAACAATACATATATTATTTATATAATACTAGCAGAGCCCGCGGCTTCGCTCGCGCTTGAACTACAAAAAAATATCTAAAAAGGTACATAGTTTCATACAATCTTTCATCCCCTATTTTACCCTGTTATAAGATGAATTTTGAAAAATGCTAAAACACGTGTTTATTTAATTTTACTGAAGAGCATTAGTACCGAGTATCAAGTATTCTTCACCATAAATATTTTTTTGGATTGTATTATAATAATTTATAACGTGTTTTACTGTGGGCATTAGATAATTTCCCGCGGTAAAAAGTAGCCTATGTCACTCTCCAGCCTCCTAACTATCTACAACCAAAAAATAACGCCAATCCGTCTCTCCGTTTCGACGTGAAGAAAGACAAACAAACAAAAACACTTTTTTTGTATGGATTCTCTCTTGTTTTTTACTTACCTATATGAAAAAATATATTTCAAAAGATTAAAAAGATGTACCTAAGTATGTAGCTATGTAGATAAATGATGTTCTTCTGGCCGATTCCGGCCACGGCGGCCAATCTTCCACTACACCACCGAGGCAGTTAAAACCCCGTTAACTGCCTCGGTTGTGTAGTGGCTAGCATGTACGGCTGCACACCGAAGGTCCTGGGTTCGAGTCCCGGGTCGGGTCAAGTAGTTATTGAGTCTTTCAGCATAGTAAGCCTCAGTAATAGCCCGGAATTGAGAAGTTGGCGGCGTTTCACCCCCGTGCCTCGGAGAGCACGTAAAGCCGTCAGTCCTGCGCCTTAAGTCTGGTCGTTTTGAGTGGTCGTCCCACCAGAGTATGAGAGTGACAGGAATAGAGAGTGCACTTGTGTCTGCGCGTACACGCGCTGCACTATAATATCTCCTGCGCAGTTGGCTAGTCTCAATGAGATTGGCCGCCGTGGTCGGAATCGGCGAGGGGAACATCATGTAGATAAAATAATAAATGTATCTTACAAGCTCTTTGTTGTTTCTCATATCATACCGCGGTATCTGACAACCATTATTGGTACAAATTATCATAATGTTAAAAGTAAATATTATATAGGTTTTAAAATGTAATAAATATCTTACTAAGTTTTGTTTTAGAGTGTTGTTTGGTAGTCGGCACGTACTTGTGGATCGTAAATCCTCTTATGTTCACGAAGAACAAAGCTTTCTGTTGTTCATCCCAATGCGGACCCTCGCCTAGCTCGAACGATTCGCTTAACATTTCCTCCACTTTAATCGACATTACTATAAAATACAATGATATAATAATAAATCAAAGAAAACATCATTGATAACATAGTGATAAACTGTTACAAAATAAACTACTTTTTACTTGCGCCTTTCCCGCTACTTTAATGACCGAGTTCAAAAAAAGGAGGTTTTTAATTCGGTTGATCCCCCTCGTATTTAAGGAAGGCCCGTGCCCAGCATATCTCCTGCACAGATGGCTAGCCCAGTCTCAATTAGATTAGCCGCCGAGCCATAGCCGAAACGGTCAGGAGGACATTATTTATTATATGTAATACTAGTGCCTAGCAGTGGGACGTTAAAAAGGGCTGAATACAAAACCACATAAATGTAAATAGTTTTTATTTACAAATTTTAATCAAACATTTAATTTGAATATTCGAAAATAAAAACTGTTTGTTTAAAGCTTTAAGTTTTCACTTCTGTCGGCAGTCAGCTTATGACTGCTTTTTATATTACTTTGAGCACAATTACCTGTAACAAAGTAGCGAATCACACTCGCTTTTCTTGGGTTCGTCCCAATACAAAATTTCATCCCCATTTTCACCCCCTTAAGGGATGATTTCCGGGATAAAATTTGTATTTTTCCCACTTACTATATTTTTTCGTTTAAAACAGGTATACCTACTTTAAGTGACTTCCATATTTAAATTTATTAACGACTCGTCAAAATTGCAAAGTTGGAATATTTACGGTGACATTGTATAAATAATGAGCGTCAAATTAAAAACTTAAGTATAGTATTTTTTTTTTGCTTTTTCACGCAAAATATATAATTGCTCAATAAAGTACCCTTTTTAATGACTATCAAAAAATGTAGTTTACAAAGTAAAAATTATCGATTTCTCCAAATTTTTTTTAATTTTTAAGGGTGCTTTTACAGGGCGGTCATACAATGTTTTTATTTCTTTGAAAACTAGAGTTGAAGACGAAAATAATTAGCCCTATCTGAAAATTAAAAGATTTTTTTAAATTAAACATTCACTTGAAGTTGAAGTAATTTTCAGCTTCACATGATCATAAAACATAAATTTCTCGAAAAACGGCTATTTATTTCAATTCCACAAAAGTTTTGATTATTATATGTATTTAGAAGATTAAATTTACCTAGTTTCATGAAAATATAAAAATTATTGCAGAAATTAAAAATAAAGAACCAAGAAAAAATTAAAAAAAAATCTGGAATATTTCGAAAGCTTTGAGGTTATTGTAAAAAGTGTAATCTATAAAAGTTGTAGATTTTTAATAGCCCTTCTTTTTTTGTAAAGAACGTTTTTCAATACGACGTCACAGTAAGCCTGAAATTGAAAAAAACTGTTTTTCATCCCCCCATTTCTCGGAGATAGCTAGTCATCGGGGGCATTTTAGGGATTTTTGTTCCTTATAATACCCGCTAACGTTTTAAAAACATAAAACTCCAGTTTTTAATAATAAAAAAAATCTCTTAAGAACAAACGGATTCCGATCGGTCTATAACTAACTTTATCAAAAACTATTTTTTTATGTAAAATTATATTCAAAGCATAAGAAAAAGCCAAATAGTCTTACCGAAATTATTTTAGGTATCTTCACAAAGAACCTTTATCTGGAAATTAATCAATATTGAATTTTCCAGTGTTTGATACTTTCTATGTATCGTTTAGGTTTAAGTAAGTGCAAGGTGAGAGACGTGAAGGAAGGCGAGAACGACAGTGTAATATACCAATCTCTTATAAGATAACAATTCGTTCTCAGTTGCAGGGTCGTCACATAGTAATAAAAAAGCCGGCTAAGAAAATAAACGACATGCAACGTCGTATGAAATAACAACTTGTAAGATGCAACCATAACGAATTTTTGGACACCATTTTTAAATTACAACTATAACGTATTTAACTTGTTTGAAATGAACAATTGGCTTCACGAAAAAACTATTTGTACCTATCTATCTCTTATTCCTATTTCAAGCTTGTAAAAAGATAATGCTCATTGAAAACCTTTGACATCGCAATAATTATCATATTATACCTAATAGGTAGGTGTTTAGACGGCAAATAATAATTAGTACCGATGAATACAGTGTTGATGGTCAATTATTATATATAAACTAGCGGCTCACCCTCGCTTCGCTCGGGTACGTCGCTAGGTGTGTTTTAAATAGATACAAATAGTTATTAGCCAGCTTTAGCCATATATTTTTTTTCGTTAATTTAAATTTTTTCATTTTTTCTCTTTATTAAAACTTTCTATGTACCTTAAGGAACACAAAAAAAAATGCGCTGAATTAGTCCAGCCATTCTTGAGTTATGCGCTTACCAACATTCATTTTTTTTACCTATATATTATATGGTTGTTAAGTATTCTTAAATAAGTATTCTTAAACTTTATAATTTTCCGCGCAATTTTTTAAATTTTTACTTTTATAAGAACCTTCTCCTGACAATAACAAACACAACAAAAAAAGTTAAATCGGTCCAGCCGTTTACGCGTGATGGCGTGACCAAGGGATATAGGGATTCATTTATATATATATATATATATATATATATATATATATATATATATATATATATATAGAATATAATAAAATTGTAACTAAGCCGAATCTGTACATTAAATATTTTTTGGAAAATCTTTTTGAAATAAACATTATTATCGACACAGAGGCCGAACCTATAGTTTTTTGAATTTTTGTCTGTCTGTCTGTCTGTTACCGCATCACAGAAAAACCATTGGAGGGATTTTGATGAAATTTGGTATGGTGATAGCTAGTTATCTGGGTCAATATATAGGATACTTTTTACCACGAGAAAATATCTCATTTCTGAGAAAAAATACAAAAACTGCAATGTAAGAGTATACTAATAATTAAAACCTAAGAATTTTGTTTTTGCTCATCTAGCGCGGGCGGAGCCGCGGGCAATGCTAGTATAAAATAAGAAACCTGTTAAAAAGTGTGTGTAGGTTATGTAAGCACCTAAGAAATTATACTTTGCCGGCTTCGATCAACAATACCTACTACTAGATAACGTGTCACATACATAAAAACTTTTTAACAAAAAAATAAAAACCGACTTCAAACAAAAGCACTAAAAAGTAAAAAATAACTGATTGGTAGTTTTCATTTACTATACATACCTAATCAAATATTTCCGAAGTCAGTACTATACTGTAATCGGTTTATAAAAATTTGATCAATAAAGGGCACTTCTTCAATGATAATTGAAAAAAATGTAGTTTACAAAGTAAAAATTATCGATTTCTCCAATTTTTTAAATTTTTAAGGGTGTTCTTATAAGATGACCATACAATGTTTTTATATTTTCGAAAAGTAGAGTTCAAGACGAAAAGAATGAGCCCTATCTAAAAATGGAACGAATTTTTTTTTAATGTAGACGCCCACACTTGAAGTTGGGGGTGATTTTCAGCCTCTCGAGACCATAAAACATACTTTTCACGGAAATGGCTAAACATTTCAATTTAATTTTTTTAAATTTATCATACGTATTTCGAAGATTACATTCCCTTAGTTTCATTGAAATCAAAAGATTATTCTAGAAATAAATAACGGGACAATAACGGGCCACTGTCCCTTAAATAGACACTTATTTAACATTGGCGAACGGACAGCCGTCTTTGCAGAGGGTGTTTTAGCGCTGTAGAATCAGTCGCTCACGTAGTCCTGGGGGCTTAGCCATGATGACTATCTACAATCGTTAACGATTTAGAAAACTAATGAAATGTATGGGCATTACGTATTTTGAACGATATGTCACGTGGTCAAAACGATCGAATTGAAAATTCATAGCCAAGTTTACAAGGTACATAGTTCGTTCTAAAAATAGAAACGAACTGAGCGATTCTACAATGTGGATCACAAGATCTCATACAAAATGGTAGCCAAGTTGCACGTTTGACAAGCGCTTGAGAATTCAAATCTAAGTTCTTTAACGCTATCTAAACGAACGGCGAGACCCTTGAGTTAACGCTAAAAAAGTGGCGTCTATAACTTTAAAGTTTAGAATCAGCTCACAGCTGCTATAAGACAGAAGTGTTTTGTTAATTCGCGTTGATTTTAGACTATTTATATTTTCTTTTTAGCATTTAAAAAGTATAAAATATATACCTTAAATATGTTGCGGTCCGGTCATAACGAAGAAGTGTGGTTAAAACGCCGGCAAAGAGATTTATATCTTCAGTATATCGAAACAATACATGAAATGTCGGGCACTTTGTTTATACAACGATTTCGGTTAAGCAAAGTGACTTTCGAAGCCCTCGTTCAAGACCTACGACGGAAAACTTCTTTAAAAGGATCCAATGAGATTCCACTAGAAGTTAAGGTAAGATATGCCAAATATGTAATTCCGCTGTTTTAAGTACAAGAATAAATGTGCCTAGCCTACCATTTATTTTGTTTCATTACATGAGTTCATGAACACACGCACGCATGGTGTAACTTGCATAAGACTTTTGTTAAATGTACAAAAAATGTGATATTTTAATTCAATGTTAAACAATACATATATACCAGCAAACAGTCCATTTAGTTATCGAAGCCTACACAACCCTAACAATCACTATTATTTATTTCTTTTTGGCTGTCTTTTATAGGTGTTGTGCGCAGTTAGTTTCCTGGCTACAGGGTCCTATCAACGAATTGTTGGTATTACTCACAATCTTCCTCAACGCACAACTAGTCGCTGCATCCGACAAGTAGTCGATGCTTTGAACCACCCCGCTATTATGGCAAAATGGATTGTGTTTCCGAAAACAAGGCAAGACAGAGGACATGTAAAACAAGAGTATGTATCATATTATATATTTACAATTTTACTCTTAGGTACATGTAATGCATTTAATAATATAACTTATTGTTTTAGGTTTCAGAGTAGATTTGGTGTGCCTGGTGTAATCGGGTGCATAGATTGCACCCATGTGGCTTTAGTTAAGCCCAATGATGAAGAACATGTTTTTTATAACAGAAAAGGGTATCATTCATTAAATGTTCAAATGGTAATTGTATTTATTTATGACTTGTTTCAGGTAAAATAATATAAAAACATTTCTGAATATTAGTTTCGCTTTACAGATTTGTGACAGTCATCTTCGCATCACAAATGTGAATGCAAAGTTTGGTGGAGCTACACACGATTCACATATATGGTCATCTAGTAAAGCTGAATCATACATGCGTGAACTTCATCAAAATAATGAACAAGTATGGTTATTAGGTAAGTGTTTACAAAAATAACATGAAAGATGTAATTGATATGTTAGTAGTAGTAGTAGTAAGTAGTAGTAGAAGAATTGGTTTGTTTTGTTTACAAAAACAATTTTTTCAGGTGATTCTGGATATCCACAACGCCCTTGGCTTATGACTCCCATCCTCAATGCAGTTCCAGGTTCAAGAGAAGAACTATATACCCAAAAACATGTGCAAGCGCGTAATTGCATTGAACGCTGTTTTGGATTACTCAAAGCACGGTGGAGATGTTTGCTTCGAGATAGGACACTTCACTATCATCCTTATGTAGCTAGCAAAATAATAGCGGCATGTTGTGTCCTGCACAACATTGCATTGAAAGCCCGTTTACCATTACCACAACCACTTCCAGTTGCACATGAGGATGAAAGTGATATACCCATGCGAGCTCCCATCTCTACCACTATAGATAGCCAAAATGAGCTAATCCAAGGTAGGGCCATGTTGAATTGCTTATTAAATAGGTTACATTAGGAGTATTATACAGTTTTAACTAGTTAAATAACTCATTGTATATCACAAAGATCTGAATCTAGAATTAAGACCTTTCTATGTTATTTTGTGCACCTGTGATAACAAAAATGATTTGATTTGATAGGTTTTAGGCTAGTTGTACATATTAATTAGTAATAGTAAGAAATATTCGATTTTTCACATTCGCGAATGCGAATTTTTATCTTCAATATTCACGAATGCGAATGTTGTTGAAATTAAATAAAAATAGGCTGCATGGAAAAAGAGCTTGAAATCTTTTATTTTTAAACTTTAGATTCCTTTACATCAATTTAATTACTAAAAATTTAAAGTTACAGCAAGTTTATTTATAATTAATATTAATTATTATTCTATTGGTCAACATTGTTATTAACATATAATTGTGTAGTTTATATTTCATTATCATTAATTTATAGTTATTATATAATACGTTTTAACGTTTAGTACAGATTTCTCAAAAATGAGATATTTTCCCGCAGTAAAAAGTATTCTTTATGTTGACGCAGCTACTATTATGCAAAATTTCATCAAAATCTGTCCAGTGATTTTCTCGTGATGCATTCTTAAACAGACAGAAAAAAATTCTAAAAACTACAAAATCCGCCTCTGTGTCGGTAATAACATATTATATTAAATATATAGAAGAAAATATATAGTGAAAAAATATATCGTTGGAACCGAAGGTTAAATAAAAATTATGGATATTAGAACTTTACTTTTGTTTATATAACCGTTAAAATATTGTTTTGTTTTCTGTTAAAAGAAATTATAACTTTATTTACAAACGGTTCAGTTAAGTATTCACTATTATTATTTTTTAGTTTATAATTCATTAGCCTTAATTCTTAGAAAAATATATATAATGGAATGGAAAAATATACATGAAAGCCAAAGGTTATATAACATATTGGATATTATAAGTTTAAGTTTGTTTCAAATATATTTTTGTTTTCTGTAAATGAAAAGTTTACAATCTGCTAAATAAGTACAAACCTTCTATAATTGTAATTGTAATCCTAGATATTGTTATTAATTTGATTAGTCTTCTCAAGTTTTTTTTTTAACATGTTGGGACATTAACACACAGCACCATCTAGTTCCATCGTAAGCTACGAGGCTTGTGTTATGTATACCAGATAGTTGATACACTACACATATATAAACTTTAAAAACATACATATTTTAAATATAAACACCCATGACTGGAGTTCAAACATTCATGCTCATCAGACAATGAATGCCCCCAGCGGACCTCGAACCCGCGACCGCTGGCACAACAAGTAGGGTCACTACACACTGAGCCAAACGTGTCGTCAATTCAGTTCGTTCTTCACAAAAGAGATAATTTAGAATCTTTTTTTAAATATAAGGCTGGATATTCTTTTTTTTATTTAGATGTGATATTTTTAAATTTTTCAATTAGACTAACTAGAACAAATGGGAAATTATTTCGTTTCAGGCAAATACTTGTCAAAAAATATTCGAATATTCGTTATCTACATCACTAATATTAATGTGAATATTTGCATTTTTCTTTTTTTACTAGGTATATGTATATTATAAAATGTATGAATATAATATTTAATAAGTAATTGTAAAAATGAAACAAATGTTTTCATTATACTAAATGCCTTTATTATTATGTAAACTCTTATTGTAAGGAAGACGAGGTTTTTAGCATAAAAATGTACTTAAAATGTATTAACAAAAATAAAATAAATTTAAAAACATTAATAAAAATCTGTATTTAAAAAAAATACCTATTTCCTTTTTGAAAAGAATTGCAAAGGATTGAAATAAAACATGCTGAAAATTCAGACAATTTGACACATTCACAAGTGAGGCCACCATTACTGGACACATCAAGACAGAATAACTGTTGAAGCCAGTGATGATGGTCTCAACTGAGTTAAAATTTCTGTCAAACTATCTAGAATCCCAGTTAAACGGTTAAACATTTGATTTTGGATTTCTTCCATTTCAATCCTTCGCGATTCCAATCGAAGGCGTTCCATCTCCCTCTGATGGTTATTTTTTTCGCGGTCTTCCTCCAATTGCAGTCGGCGATTCTCGACGGTTACGAACTCGCTCGTGGCTCGTTCGAATGGTGTCTGTACTCGCCTTGTGCGTGCTCGAAGCAGCCTATGCCGCCGCGGCGTAGACGTGGCAGGTGACGCCACGGGCGAAGGGGTCGCCGGACGCCTTCGTCGTTGTGGTTCGCCTCGTATAGTTGTATTACGAGACGTCGCTGACGGCATCGGCGTGGTCACAGAGGCGAGCGGTGGTGTTGACACTCGGGTTGGAGGAAGACGTGAAAGTATAGAGGGAGATGGCAGTTGAGCTGATGGGGCAGGAGACGCTGAGGAAACAAAACTTATAGTTACAAACTGATATATATATATATTACTTCTCAAATAATGCCCTTACCAATGAACAGCATTTAATTTTTATTTATATGACTTAACGCTTTGTTAACCCTTTGGGCAATACAAAGCAAGGTGTGAATTATACATTATAATCCTTCACGTGCAAATACATTTTAGCACATAATGAATACAAGTAGAAAGTACCTTCTATAGAATACAACATAATCTCGTCTGCGGCAGTTTGGGAGGGAAATTCAGTGTGGACGGTATCTCTGGATGGTGATGGTAGAGGGCTTCCTTGAAGTGGTGGTTCCTGAGAATATGACAAATATACATTAAAGAATTCAACCTAAACCCACTTATTAGTGGGTAGTAGTAATCTAATATTACTATTATTACAACTACTACTACAAAAATCACAAGGAAAGTAAATAACTAACATCAAATCCTCTCTCCTCAATTCCAACTAGACCAAAAACAGCAGACAAACCCATTATGCCCAACACCCTTTGTTCCGAAGCTGTGAGAGTTTGTCTGCTGCTTGGACCACCACCAGTACCACTAGCCTCGCGACGCATTGCCAAGGCCTTTTTTTTTGTTTTGGCTTTCCAATCCGCCCACACCTGCAGATATTAGTCAGTTAATGTTAAATAATGTAAGTTGTTATCTAATTATACAGTCAATTAAGTGAACAGATTGTTATATACACTGATATCTACTATTATTCTGTTTATTGATAATGAACAGATTTTATTAGTATGTTTAAAGTTGTGTGAGAAAGATGAAGGACATATTTTCATATAATTATTTTTGCCTCTTTTTACTATATAGTAAATATTTATTGTACCTTATGATTGGTTTGCAATTGTTTTAATTAAACTAAAATAGATAAATATGCTAACACTAGTCTGAGCTTGAAATACCTATAAAAAAATGTATAATTTTATTGAGAGCTTTTCTTGAGAATTAAAATAATGAATCTCACTTTTTTCCATTTTTCCATTGATCTATTGACTCCTCCACCAATGGAGTTAAGTAACTCTCTCAACTCCTGCCATAGATGGTCTGCCCTTATCCTGCCTTGAGCCCCTTGTTGGGGTCTTGCTATATCTCCATGGCTATAAATTAAAACTGTATTAGAAAAATAAAGGGTCTATTGATTAATCCCTCCACGAGCGCGGACACGCCGGCATGTCAGTTAACAATAAATTTCTTAGAATTTTAATTAATTTCTTAGAAATTTACCTAGAGGTGTCAAGCATCTTTGCTGGTGAATACAATAGTTTTGTTTGTTTTCTATGCAAGTAGTAAACCTATTATATTTTATTTATTTTTTGTCAAAGGCTTACTAACTATATTTACATAGTGACATGAGTTTAACACAATAATAGTTCTCTATTTTCTATTTAATTAATTTTCTTCTTTTCTATTTAATTCTATTTAATTAACTAAAAGGCACAGCTTTGTGTAGAAATATTTTAATTAAATTTTATGTGGTTGAGGAATAAATTAAAAAAGATCTTCAGTTACAATCCCCTATATAATGCGACAAAACGCAAATATGATAAATAATATACAACAAATAAATATATATATATATCATCAAATCAAAGTGCATTTTATCCTCCATAAATTGAAAAAAAAACATCCAAATCGGCCAAGAAACAAAAAATTTATGGCCCAATAAACAAAACTGGGCAAAAAGTGGATATTATATATTGACAATATAGGTACCCCGGTGTTGTCTTCTAATAAATTAAAATTGGTAGTGACATTGAAGTTGTTCAACAATTTAATCTTATCTAAATATTTAAATACATTTCTCTTTAAATAAACTTAAGGTGTTAGGGAAAATGTCTACATTACATTGTTGAAATATACAGTTATAGTTTAAAGCCTCAGTAAGAGTAGCCTCGTTTTTTTCTAGTTCCTGAGTATGACTATAAGCTGAGATAACTAATAATAATATACGTACCTTTCCATGAATTCTAGTAAAGCTGAAAATTGTTCTGGGCTAGCTCGGCATCTGGACTCCATCCTCACTATAATAATTTATTTATATTTGGCACTGTGATATTAACAACACACACAGACTCAGTACCCCAGCTAGAAATGTGTCGAACTTAAGCTAACTAACCCATTTTAAAGTAAAGCTCTTTCCCCTCCGTTGCGCACTTCCATCCCCGTAACACTAACAACTACAAAGTCAAATACATAAATATTTCAATAGACCCTTTTTAAGACAAAACTATTTTTCTTAAAGTGACGACTTACATTACGAGTCACTTCATTTTGTCAAATAAAATATAAATTAATTACTCTGAAGGAATGCTATACTTACTTAAGCGACGATTTTAAATCACTTATCAACCACTTGATAGGTGCTGAACAAAAACATCCACTCTACATCGACCTCACGTAAGCTGCATTCTTGACGTAAAATGTAAATATCCTTACGTTAAAATAAGAATATTGAACACTCAAGTATTTCCATTATAATTCACTCACTTTTTTATCACAAAACAAAACATATTTTGATTTTTCAAACAAGACCGTGACTTTGACGTGTATAGGAACGCTCACAATAAGCTATTTTTCGATCCACATTGTAGAATGAACGATTGACACTGTAGACACTAGTTTTGTTGATATGGCTAGCATCAAATCGTTTTCTAAAATAGCTATCGACAATACGCTACCAATGATAGAAAGAGATTAGATAGGAAACGTTTGTAATATGGCTAAGCCCCCTGGAATGCGTAGCGGTAACTTCCCAACGTAATGAAATCCTCGAACCAGTGAGGTCGCTCCGCGAAGCCTGTGAGCTCCCAGGAAGCTTTTGCGCTTTTGGACGGAGCTAGGCTGGCTGGACTAGCCAGGATTCGTAACGTACAACGGACCAAATGCGAGTCTAAGTGCGGAAAACGAGTCCAATATACAATACAAGCTCAAGTGCTCAATCATCTAAATAAAACCCCTTAAATGGTTATTATCTATCTTCTCGAGCATTAGGGAAAATCTTATATCAATAATTAAGTAGGTACCTGCTTAAAATAAAACTACTTATATGTGGTATTTACACTTAATTGTATAGGCAAGAGGTAGCTCCGCAAATAAATAATAAAACTCGTAAATTATCTATTATAAATAAATGTATTCTTCATGATTTAAAAATAATGTGGTAGGTATCTTACACACTCTTAATAATAATAAAGAATAAAATACACGATTAACTACAGAAAAATAGTTTAAGACAAAATAACAAGGCTTTATTCAAGTTTAAAATTCATACCCTTTGTCCCCTTCACTCCCAAACCCTTGACCATAAAAACGTATCCCGAGGGCGGTTCTTTAGGACCGCCAATATTCAAACAGGCTGTTGTTACAAACAGAATATCTAAGTTATCCCCTCCAAAAGTAACTGAAGTGACCTGAGGCGCCGGAATTGGTACTTTCTGGAGTATTTTGCCGCTGGCTGGATCAATTTTGATAACGCACGAGCCGCCGAATATTGCAATCCAAAGGTTGCCATCCGCGTCGATGGTGGAACCGTCAGGGAAACCCTCAATATTGTTTCCTTCTAAGTCAAAAATGTATTTGAGGTTTGCTGGAAAATATTTATAAGTTATTAAAAACGGCTACGTATTATACGTAATACTTAATAGTTTAATCGTTTACATAAGGACGAGCCTAATATTTTACACACATTCAATTATAAAATTAAAAAACTCGACATATAGCCCAGTCATTTGGTAGTTTTATCTGGAAAGCTTTCCAGGAGTTTTGAAAATTCAATCCATATCGGAAAAATTGCGTCTAGTTACAGTTTTCCGACAATATCTCTTTTCCCACTCATTTTACGATATAAACATCTATATTCAAAACTAGCATTGCCCGCGGCTCCGCCCGCGTTCATATGACCAAAACCAAATTCTTAGGCTTTATATATTAGTATACTCGTATAAGTATATTTGTTGACCCGGATAACCAGCTATTACCATACCAAATTTCTTGAAAATCCCTCCAGTGATTTTTCTGTGATGCGGTCACACACAGATAGACAGACGAAAATTCTTAAAACTATAGGTTCGGCCTCTATTAGCGATAATAATGTGTATTTCAATAAAAAATTCCAAAAAATATTTAAAGCACAGATACTGCTTCATTAAATTTTAATGTATCTATAGATGTAACTAATTCATAAAGCCAAAAAGATTGTTTTATGATAATTTAAACACGGGCGGGGCCGCGGGTAATTTAGTAGTAATTCTAATAAAATCATAGAAAGGTCGAATTTGTACATTCAATTTTTTGGAATTAAAACTACGTATTTTAAAGACACATGGCGAGATCTATTGACAAATATCTAAACAATACAAAAATAAATATTCATTAAAAAAATTATTTTATAAAATAGTGCTATTGATATACTTTTTCAAGATTAGCTATTTTTAATACATTTTGACATATTTAGTAAGTTAAATTGCTAAAATCTATATAGTATCATCGTTTTTTTATTCTAACCAGTTTTTGTATTTTTACTCAGAAATGAGATATTAAAGTATCCTATATGTTGAGTGTTGACCCGGAAAATCAGCTATGACCATACCAAATTTCATCAAAATCTGTCCAGTAGTTTCTCTGTGATGCGGTAACAGACAGACAGACAGACAGACAGACAAAAATTCTAAAAACTATAGACTCGGCCTCTGTATCGATAATAATGTCTATTTCAATAAGATTTTCTAAAAAATATTTAATGTACAGATTTGACTTAGTTAGAATTTTCTTATATGTATAGATTAAACTAGAGAAAATATCCTACAATTTATGTAATAACATTTTTTTTTGTAGAATCAATAATTTTGGCGTATGAGCGCCGCAAATTGTACTTCAACATGCGTTTTGGCTAAAAAACTCATTTCCACATCACTTTGAGGTAGAGCAAGCGGCGCGTTTTTTGTCGTGGTATTCTATCCCAGTAGGCCTAATCCAGACTGTACTACGAGTAAAAACTAACTAGTATGATGGGAACAAGTTGATAAAGATTTGCGAGTCTTGTTACGTGGTTGTTTACGTAAGGTGTTGTTAATGTTTTTTGATTTTATAAATTATTTTTTTATGTACGGTCTTTTAGATCTAGCCAGTTCAGGATACATTTGAAATTTTATTGAACAATTTCTTATCTTAAATTACTTTAAAGCAAAAAGTTGTATATATTTTTGGGATCGCCTCTTCTTTCTGCCTTCATCTGATATCCCACTCAATAAATCGACACTGTCGTAGAACAATGTCAGATATGATATTACAACGAAATTGACTTTTTTGCAAAATTAGCTTTAATTAATAATAAACTATTGATATATTCAAGAAAAATTAAAATATTCCTAGTACTTTCGGAAATATTCAATTGAACAAAGTATTATTTCAAAATTGTTTCCAAGAAAATTGTCGCGAGTTCAGTAGCGCCACTGTCGCTCGACTGTCATCGCTCCGCGTGCGCCGCACTCCGCGCGACGATCTTCACTAGTTGCGATGTTCGACGGCAAACCGGTCTTATTAACAACAATACATGATAGATTCTACATTGGCGTATTATTACAATATTTTTGTTAATTTTTAAAGATTTTAATACAAAAACGACCTAAAAATGTCTCGGTCACAAAAAATATTAAAGTTAGTGATAGATAAAGAAGAAATAAGTGACTATTTCGCCGAGCAGGACTTCAGAATTTCAAATAATTTAAACGAAAATACGGACAATCAAGGTAAGTTATTTTTATCAACATTTACTAAGTGTCTTTTATTATTTTTTCATACTAAAAACCGATTGGCTAACATTTTATATAGAATTATTCAATTTCCGTGTCGTATCTTAACAAACAACATTGTTCTATGGAAATGAAAAAAATTAAATTTATTTAATAAAAAATATATTTTGAGAATGTTTTCTTTATGTACTCTATTTATATTATTTATTTACCTAAGATATGGTATTTGACGTTTTTGGCGTCGTATGTTTCCTAGTTTCGTTTTTCACCCAAACTTATTTCAATTATACAGATTGTTTGAATACTTCCGGCGTTGTTCTTCGGAAACCTTATACATTTTTGATGTAGCGTATTGAGAACCAACTATGTTCTTCGGCATAAAATTATATAGGTTTTTGTTCAGTATGTTTGAATGCTAAATATAGATATATAAATGACTAGATCTTTTTATTTGAGACTTTTTTGTCTCAGTTAGACATATCTTTAAATATTTTACTATGTTACAGGCCTTGGAGTTGTAAAACCAGAATCACCATTACCCCCTGGAGCGGAAATTATAGTCGACCAATTAAGGGAAGTAGCGCAAGAAGTATTTGCAGATGGCGATGAAGATCAAAATTTAGTTGAAGACTTAACACCATTTGGTATAGAAGATGCCAACACCAGTTTTGAGGCTTCTCCTCCTGTGGTCATCGAAGAATTTGAGAACATTGTTGCCAGTACACCTAAATCACCCTTAACAATTCCTACTCCCATGCCTTCACCGACTAATAGTCACAAGACATGTAATGACCTATTTTGTGCTTTACACGATCACTAGACAGACGCAGTACCATCTTCTCCAAGTACTGTAAGTGGACTAAGTTCTTTTTCTGAATCAGATACCAATTCAGTACTATCTCCAGGACGAAAAAAACGTACAAAAAATAGAGAATCATGGTCTGATGTAAAAAGGAAATGCTTAACGAATTTGGGTAAAAAAATATGTTTCAAAGAGGGGTAAAGTTGTTGATGAAAAGGTTATGGGTATGCCTTGTAAATGTCGTTACAAATGTAGTGAGAAAATTACTAATGAACAAAGACTAAATTGTTTTAAAAGATTTTGGAGTCTTGGTAACAAAGAAAAACAGTGGAGATTTGTAGTTAAATTTTGTTTAAAAGTAAAGAAGCATCGATGTCTTAACACCGATCAACCTAATTTACGTAAATATACTTATTTATTTATAAGTACAGCTTACCAATAGCCTTTTCTTTGGACCCTTCTGCGTCTGACGTGATCGCAGTTTGCAAAACTATGTTTTTAAATACTTTGGCTGTGAGTGAAAGAATTGTTCAAACAGCTTTCCAAAAATTTGATGGCGTCTCTGATATATACATGGACAGAAGAGGACGTCATGCCAATCGTAAAATAGTAATAGATAGAGAAATGGAAAGAAGTGTCTGTGACCACGTCAATTCTTTTGTCCCAATAGAGTCTCATTACGTTAGGCAGAAATCGAACAAGCTATACTTGGACGGTAATCTTAGTATTGGGCGTATGTTTTTATTATACAAAGAATGGTTTAATCCTACAAAATATGTTAAGAGGGCTTCAACCGAACGTCAATATAGAGATATTGTTTCCAAATACTTTAATTTAGGATTTTATACCCCCAAAAAAGATGCGTGTGACACTTGTCACATATACGGCAGTAAAAATAATCATACAGAAGACGAGATTGTATTGTATCAAAAACACATTCGTACCAAAAAAATAGCTCGTAAATTAAAAAATGACGACAAGAATGCAGCAATTAACTCTGGTGGTAAAATAATAACAGCAGTCTTTGACTTCCAGAAGGTTCTAACTTGTCCTCAGGGTCAAATTAGTATATTTTATTACAAAAGAAAACTATCATGTTTTAACTTTACTGTATTTGATATGGGTCACAAACAGGCCATATGTTACATGTGGAATGAAACTATTTCAAAAAGGGGAGCTAACGAAGTCAGTAGTTGTTTATTGGATTTTGTAAAGGAAAAAGCTCATGCTGGTGTTGATGAGATCAGATTCTGGTCGGATAATTGCGCCGGGCAGAATCGAAACCGAATCGTTTATTATTTTTACACGTATGCTGCAAAAAAGTATGGTATTACAATAACACATAGGTTTTTAGAGAAGGGACACACCCAAAATGAGGGGGATAGTGTCCATGCCCTCATAGAACGTGCGTCTAAGTCTCGGATAGTTTACACTCCAGATGAATGGCGTGCACTTGTGAGGTGGGCAAAAACCGATGGTAATCCCTATATAGTTAAAAATATGGAGCAAAAGGATTTTTTAAACTTCAAAATTAAGGTTAATAACAAATTATGGCTTAAAAATTGCAAGAATGAAAAAATTCTATGGAATCAGGTAAAGGAAGTCCATGTCAATAAAAAAGATCCCAATAAATTATATTATAAATATGATCTCAATGAAAGTGGTTATAATTGTCTGGTCATAGGATCTAGAACCAGAAATTCATCATCAGCTCTACCTGATTTAACTCCTATTTCTAACAGCTTGTATAAAATATCGAAAGATAAATATAATGATCTTGTTCACATGTGCCAAACCGGTGTAATAATTTCTGAACATAGCATTTATTTCAAATCTCTACCATTTGAAAATAATCATGGTTCTAATAATAATGACAGTAATACAGATGATGAGTGATTTTTTTTATTATTTTGTTAATTTCATGACGTTTCATTTTGATAGTTTTGTTTTTGATTTTGTATAGGATTTAAACAGGTCTGAGACAATTTTGGAGAGAAGTATTTTTTGCTACTACTAGTTTTGGAAATATTTATTTTATTTTTTATTGTGAAGTGAATATTAAGTACCTGCTCAATCATGTTCCTAGTACAAACATTAAGTTATATTTAATATTTAATTATATATTATTATTAAATATTTAATATTTATTATATATATAATAGACTAACTCATATCTGTTGTTGATATAGATAAATAAATATTATTTCTGAGATCTCATGTTTGTTAAAGATTTTTAGTTATTCTAGTTTTGTAATTTGACTGATTTATTTTTTTACCTATTAAGACTTACCTATAAACGGGTCGCACAATTAGTATTAAGAGTTTAACTACCAAATGTCAAGATTTTAAATTAGATTTATGCCTTGCTTGTGCAATTTTTAAATGGTATTTTAGTCAAAAAATCGTTGATTATATTTTTCAATTCTTTAATTATATAAATATACCTTATGTTTAATCAATAAAAAGTTTTTTTTAAGAACCTACGCAATTTTAATTTATCTAGAATAACATACGACATCAATATCCCTTTTGTATTCCACAGAACAGCATGACATGTATATATATGTGGTACAACTTTCCATCGAACAACGTCGGAAAGTCACAACATACGTCCTAAGTTACGTAATATAACGTCGGATTATAATATACGAACGTATTTTTTTTATTTTATTAATAAAATGTTCTTATTATTATCTAGTAATAACCCTTAATAAATGACAAAAAGCTATTTATAAATATTTTTTCTATTAATTAACTAGGAGAAAAGTTATACTAAAAAATGTGACTACAAAACTTTAAACTGCTCTCCTGTAAAGTAGATATTTTGTAGATCCGATTTTGTTCTACGACAGTGTCGAAATATGCAAGAAAGAAAATAAAATATTGAAATTAATATAGAATTGAAAGAAAAAAAACACATTATGGCACCTGAGATCCACCATTTTGATTTTTAATAATATCCATATAGCCTGCACGTGTTATAACACGTGATGAAGAAATCATTCAAATCGGTTAAGTCGGTTTGTAACTACGAGGGACCATAAGATCATACATACCTATATACAGGTCAGAGACATAACCCTCCTTTGGGCTTTTAGCAGTCGGGTAAAAATTCACTTATATGATAGACAAAGCCGGTTTCGCTCAGCCCGGATCCGAACCGGGATTTATAAGGGACAAGATAAATGAGTCAGTATTTTTTAAGAATTAAAATATGATAAGCAAAGTGTTATCAAATTTCTTCGAAAAAGCAAAAGGATTAAGTCCAGATTTTTAAGACTTACATATCTCTCCAGTCTCCACGTCATAGTCGTATCTTCTTATCTTCCTCTCCAAACTATCGGTGTAATAAAAAGCTTTCCTCTTAAGATCCCAGTTGAGACCATTAGAGATCCCTATCCCACCGCACACTTTATGAATACCGGTTTTGTCCACGCGATATAATGAACCTTGGCCTGGAACGAAAACACCTGTTGGATCTTCATATCCCATAGTACCTGAAATAAGATTATATGCTAAAATAATATTAAGGTAGTATTTAATATTTTCCTTTTTTATTATTAACTACGAATAAATAACGTATTCGTAGATTATTAAGTGTTTTATTTAAAAAAGCTAAAGAGTTTGTTTGTTTTAAACAAGCTATAATTTCTGGAACTACTGCAGATTTGAATATAATATTTAACGTATTTAATGACGAAGATTATACGCTATATTACTACCATCATGCTACGATCCTCAGGTGCTTTATTTAGAATAAAAAGAATAAATCAGGATGTATATACATATATTGTATAGGTCATATATAAAGTCTAAGTATTAGATTGCAACGAAGCGTGGTGGTATAACTTAGTTATGTAATAAAATACTTTTTATGTTAATTTTATACCCGCAAAGACTCTGCCCCTTAGGTCAGCTTTTCCATCATTGAGCCTGGTGGGAGGTACCACACCCTCGTCGACAGTTCCTAGTTCCTTGACAACAGCAGCCGGAGTTCCGTCACCGCCATCCCATTGAATGATCACAAATTTAATTTCCAATCCGACAATAAACTTGTCTGTAGTTCCTTCTACAGGCACAATGAAACCTACCTTGCCATCTACAAGAACAATTATACATACATCTATACTTATAATAAAATTCTAACTGAGCCGAATCTCTACATTAAATATTTTTTGGAAAATCTTATTGAAATAGACATTATTATCTATACAAAGGCCAAATCTATAGTTTTTAGAATTTTTGTCTGTCTGTCTGTCTGTCTGTCTGTTACCGCATCACGAGAAAACCACTGGACAAATTTTGATGAAATTTGGTATGATGATAGCTGGTCATCCGGGTCCGGGATAGGATACTTTTTACCGCGAGAAAATATCTCATTTCTGAGAAAAAATACAAAAACTGCAATGTAAGAGTATACTAAAATGTAATACCTAAGAATTTATTTTTTGGTCATCTGAACGCGGGCGGAGCCGTGGGCAATGCTATTATTTATATGGGTATTATATTAGGGCTTATTTTTTACTTATATGGAAAAAAATATTTCAAAAGAATAAAAAAATATATTAGTATGTACTATGTAGATAAAATTATAAATGTAAGTATGTTATTAGTTTGTTGTTGTTGTTTCTCATATCATAATAATTCATATCGCAATAACTGACAACCGTTGTACACAAGTGTTAAAGTGTACATCGTATAGGTTTTAAAATTTTAAATAAAAAGTTTAATAAATATCTTACTAAGTTTTGTTTTCGAGTGTTGTTTAGTAGCCGGCACGTACTTGTGGATTGTAAATCCTCTTATGTTCACGAAGAACAGAGCTTTCTGTTCTTCATCCCAATGCGGACCCTCGCCTAGCTCGAACGATTCGCTTAAAATTTCCTCCACTTTCACTGACATTACTATAACATACAATGATATAATATTAAATCAAAGAAAACATAATTATGATAATGTTATATTTGTGATACTTGTGATAAACTATTACAAAATAAACTATGGTTACTTGAGCCTTTCCCGCTACTTTAACGACCGAGTTCAAAAAAGGTGGACTTAATTCGGTTGATCCCCCTCGTATTGAAGGATGGCCCAGCCCATCAGTGGGACGTTAAAAAGGGCTGAATACGACAAAAGGTTACATAGTCTCAATGAGATTGGCCGCCACAGCCGAAATCGGTCAGCAGGACATGACTTATTTATTATATCCATACTAATATTAAAAATGTGAAAGTGCGTTTGTCCTTCTTTCACGTCGAAACAGAGTGACGGATTGGCGTGAGTGTTTGTGTGGAGATAGTTGGAGGGCTGGAGAGTGACATAGTCTACTTTTTACCGCGGGAGATTATCTAATTCCCACAGTAAAACACGTTAAAATACAAACCAAAAAATATTTATGATCAGAATTACTTGAAACTCGGTCGGTATTAATGTTCTTCAATAAAATTAAATAAATACCTACGTGTTTTAGCATTTTTTGAAATCTATACATATAATAAAATTGTAACTAAGTCGAATCTGTACATTAAATATTTTTTGAAAAATCTAATTGAAATAGACATTATTATCGATACAGAGTCCGAATCTACAGTTTTTTTGGATTTTTGTCTGTCTGCCTGTTACCGCATCACGAGAAAACCACTGGACCGATTTTGATGAAATTTGGTGTGATGATAGCTGGTTATCCGGGTCAACATATAGGATACTTTTTACCACGGGAAAATATCTCATTTCTGAGAAAAAATACAAAAACTGCATGCTGCATAAGAGTATACTAATATGTAAAACCTAAGAATTTGGTTTTTGGTCACCTAAACGCGGACGGAGCCCCGGGCAATGCTAGTTTATCTTATAAGGGGGTAAAATAGGGGATGAAAGTTTGTATGAAACTACCTTTTTAGAGATTTTTTGTAGTTTTAGCGCGACCGAAGCCACGGGCTCTGCTAGTAGCATATATTTTTAAAAATGATTAGGTACTATCAAACTGAATTTTCCTGAGTGGTTTCGCTTTCACTCAGAACTTTTTGCTCAATGAAAATTATAGATATAACAGTGATAGCAAGAGGGTAAGTGCAGATATAAATTATGTCTGTGTACTTAACACCTCCAGGTAAATGTCTAAGAAATGTATTGTTAACTGTAACGCTGGCGTGTCCGCGGTCGTTGAGGGATAAATTATCACTGATTATTTATTATTAATATTAAGTTGATTTAATTAAGATATATGAAAAATCTTTCGGCCTACATAGTAAATGATCTGACACAACCAATATGTATCAATAAAAGGTCAAAATAAGTAATTATTAATTAGCTGTTTTTTTACTCTTGCCTAATTAACATCGCCACATTAAATTTAAATGATAGGACTGAAAAAACATTTTCAGTCCTACTCTCGCAAAATTTTACAAAAGGATTTCGATATTACCTTTAAAGTAATCATTTCGAACTGTTGTGTGAGTTTTTTTAATTTAATAATTATACAAATAGAAAAGAATAATTAAAATCGGTTCAAGTTTGGCAAAAACCATAACACATAAACCCTAAATAAGGAATACCCTCTTTTTATCAAGTCAGTAAAAATTATATACTTACTACGTAGTTAAGCAAAGTATTAACTAGTATTTTATTAACTATGAAGTGGCATCATATAAAAACACATTTTTGTGTAAAATTATATTCGAAGGATAAGAAAAAAGCCAAGTAGTCTTACCGAAATTATCTTAGGTGTCTTTACAAAGCACCTTTATCTTCAAATTAAACAATATTGAATGTTTAATTCTCCAGTGTTTGATACTATCGTTATAATGTTATCGTTTATAAGTAAGTGCAAGGTGATAGACGTGAGAGGGCGAGAACCACTATAATAATAAACCAATCTCACATATGATAACACTAGAGACGTCGTTCTCAGTTGACCGTGCGGTCACGTAGGAATATATAAGCCGGCCAAGAAAATAAACGACAATATAAATAACTGTTAAGACGCGTCCACAACGAATTTTTGGACACCGTTTTTTAATTCTAACTATATGTATTTAACTTGTTTGAAATGGACAATTGGCTTCACGAAAAAACAATTTGTATTTCATATTCCTATTTCAAGCTCATGAATATACATATAAGGCCGGTTTAAAACCGAAATAAACCAATTTTTTTTTCGATTTAAAACGGTTGGTGTTGATGACTATGTTTTTCTTTATTATAACTACATTTTCTTGATTTTACCGAGGTAGGGATATGACGGAATGACTATAAACTGTGTAAAGATTTTTTATATGTGTGATACACCTACTGATATTGATATCGCGGGTTTAGTAAGTAATTAGTTCTAGTTGGTCCGTGCGACCAAGCGTAAATAGGTATATTATAGGTATTATCTACCTAAGTTAACTGCCTCGGTGGTCTAGTGGCTAGCATGTACGGCTGCACACTCGGAGGTCCTGGGCTCGAGTCCCGGGTCGGGCCAAGTTTAGTTATTGAGTCTTTCTGTATATTAAGTCTCAGTAACAGCCCGGAGGTGGGAAGTTGGCGGTGTTTCACCCCCGTGCCTTGGAGAGGACGTGAAGCCGTCAGTCCTGCGCCTTAACTCTCACCGGTCGTGTCGAGCAGTCGTCCCACCGGAGTATGAGAGTGACAGGAATAGAGTGCACTTGTGTCTGCGCGTACACTTGTGCACTATAATATCTCCTGCGCAGTTAGCTAGTCTCAATGAGATTGGCCGCCGTAGCCGGAATCGGCTAGGAGAACATCATCATCTACCTAAGTTATAAAAACTCTATTGATGAGTTAAAAACTCTGTGTTGGTAAATAAACATTTTTTTCATTGTTTTCAAACGATATAAATAATTAATCTGATTCAGTTTAAAACCAAACTCACACTCGCACTCTCGTTGACGTCGTCAGTCGTGACCACAAAACAGAAAGATAATAATTTATGAAGCTACTAAATTAAATACCACCTTACATTTTAACATATTTGAAGTGCTCCATAATTTTGTTGCCTTTTAAAATCTGACTTTGCAGATTATTAGTTTTAAGATTGATGAGTTAGATTTTCAACAAAGTGGGAACTGGGAGACGTATGTAGTTTAAATGATAAATCAAAAATGTAATTCCAATATATTGTTTGATATTTTACAGACAACATCTTAAGATATTCTTATAGATATTTATAACACATAAATAACGTAAAATATGGTAAAAACACCTTCACCATCTTTTTTTTCATTGAACATGCAAAAAATAAATATTTAAAATGGCCCATTTCCCCCCAATATTATGTAGACATTTATAATAATGTCACAGTGTAGTAATTTAAATATGTCAATTGATATATGAAGGAAATTTTTTGAATTCATTTTGCTCGTGACTGAAAAAAAAACATACTTTACTTTATTTATTACATATTATTTTTATAAATAGCTCTTTAACTATAATATAAATATCCTAACAATTCAATTAAAATTAAAATTATAATTGCAATTATGGTGAAGTTTGTAACTTTATATTTTCTACAATGGTATAATATGTTAGTACAATATTTTCTATATTATGTATATAATTATCTAGTTTTTAATACATTAATCAACAATAGCTAAACTCAGCATCATGTTACTTAGGGCTGGAACAGCGGGGGAAGGTTCGGCTTCCCTCTTTTTCTTCATAGCTTCTGATTGAGCCCACTGAGACAACTTATACACTTCCTTACGTTTGGAACTGCCAGATGACTTATAATGGCTAAGCAGATTATTTGTGACCTGGAAGTAATGTAGTGTCATTTCTTTTTTACAAATCTACTTGATTTAGTAGGGATTTCAAATTATCAAGTATTATATTTCTCCTGATACTTCTCTTATATAATTGACAATGATCATCATAGCTCAAACTAATATTATACATGTGAAAGTAACTCTGTCTGTTTGTTACTTTTTCACACCAAATCTGCTAAAATAATTTTGATGAGTTGTGGTATAAAGATCGCAGAAGGAAATATCTTTTGTCACAAAATTAAAACAAAAAGGGGTAAAATATGGAATAAAAATTTGTATGGGGTATTTGTGATTTAACAAGTTCTATATATGTTTTAAACACTTATAAGTATGTCGCTCTAATTATGTCAAAAATTCTATTGCTTACAGGCTACCTATACATTACAATAAACAATTTGCTGACATCAACCTATTTCTATGACTCGAAAATGTTTCAAAAATGACATTCTGAAAAAACTTAACAACTCCAACGACATTAGTCACATACACACACACACACACACACACACACACACATATGTACACACACGCACACATAAACAAACAATACACATTTAACTAATTATAAAGACCATGGACATAATTTAATGTAAAAGTTTAGCTGTGGATTTTGAATAATAAATAATAAATAATAAATATAATAAATAATAATTATTACATGTAACATTCAATGTACTTACTAAGAATAGGCCAAGTAAAGCACGCATATTATCAGGATTTAACTTCAAAGCTTGGCAGTAGTAAGACTTGGCTAATTCCATGTTTTCTACACCACCCTGAAACAAATATCATATCATACTGTCAATTATTATTATTTTTTCAAAAAATATACAATTTGGGATAATTTTGGCCAGCAGTTCCACGCACATTGATAAAAAAGTAATTGAATAACCTTAACTTGGGCTATTTTTTTGCTTAGTTAGAAAATACATGGCATTGATCCAAAAACTGAAGAACTTTTTAATTTTATAAAAATGTAGGACTTAAATAATCCCACTAATATTATAAATGCTTAAGTTTGGTTAGATGTTTGTTACTCAATTACGCCAGAACGACTAGACGGATTTGGATGAAAGGTACAGAGATAGATAATAGTTTGGAATAGCACATAGGTAACTTTTTTTGGTTTACTGTGGGATAGATTTGATTTTGTTTTTTACAGAGTTTTTCTATTCCATATCCATAATATCCGTGAAAACGTGCCTACGCTACGCAATTAAATTTTTTTTACTTAACTACTTTGGCGTAGGCCAAATTATTTAGGCCTCCAACGTGCGTTCACCTTGTCGTAGTGGGGGGACTCATTATCGTCCAGCAGTTCTGCCGGGCGCGAAGCCAAAAAAAGCACAGGTAGGTGGCCTACTTCGGTGGGCAGTGTACCTATTATGCAAGTTGCTCCTGGTATTTCTCTGACAGCAGAGCAGACCGAGAAGAGTGGACCGTGGGAGCATCACCCTGGTTGTTGTGGTCTGCTTCAGCAGACCTGCTATCGGGGCGTCGTGGTTGAAAGCGTAACCGATCCTACGACGCCCCATTAAGACGGGGAAGGTATTGTTGGGTTTAAGTTTTTTAGCTGGTGAGTCCTACGTAACATTAAAAAAAGGCCAAACTAGTTAAGCCTGAAGTATTTAGGCCGAACTAGATTATCCTGACACACTTTGAATGAACCAGTTTGGCCTGAAATCTAGTTTGGCTGGTATCATATACATACACTAAGATTTTACATAATATATTCAATTATAAGACATTAGTGATTAAACTTAGTATTATATGTAAAGCTAAACACAAACATTCGGTTTCATAATATGTAATTTTTGTTTATCATACCATAGTGTATCTTATATCAGCAAGACGTTGATGCATCAAGTGATTATGGGGTTGATGAAGAATTAATTCCTCCACACAGAATGCTGCTTTGGAATATTCTTGAACCTGTAAATACAGCTCTGAAAGTTCCTGCCAAGCTTCCATGTCCGACATAAACCTTAAAATAATAAATAAAATATTATATACTTCAGAATAGTAGTGTAGTTGTAGTTGATCATAAACCATTTCTTAATAATAATGTACGGTTTTGTCAGAGTTTATAAAAATATACCTACTTTTTCAAATAATCAACCAATTCTTTAATAGCTTCATTAATAAGACCTTGAGCCTTCAAGATGGCCACACGACGCTTACGAGCAGATGCATTAGTTTCATCAGTTTTTATTATGTTGTCTAAAATTTCTAATGCTTCTTCATATCTGAAAAATATTATATACTTTATAAAAAACAGAATATCACTTAAATACAAATTAGATAGGACATGCATAATAATATATACCTTAATAAGTCATTTAATCACATTATGTATGGAATTAAGATATATTTAATACTACAGTCAAAATCTGTTATAACGACATCGAAGGGACCACTCATATTTGGTCGTAAAAACTGATAGTCGTAGCAGCCGGTGATGGTTTTTAGTTACAAAGTATTTTTTTATGAAGTGGTATTATTGAATGTGTACATATATAGAGAGAAAGAGAGCAAACGATATCTTCACCAAAACACTGAGCAAAATCGTTTGCTTTTTGTTGAAGAATTGGTCCATTTATTGGCACATTATTTGTCCTTTGATATTTAAACCACTTCATCAAGCTTCCTCGTTTCGATTTACAAAATTGCTGTCATAACAAGCGCGGATCCAGAGGGAGGGTCATGGGGGTCATGACAGCCAAATATATTTTTTAAGAACCTGAAGTTTGAGAATAGAAGGATTAATAGATTAATGTTGACCCGAGTAATAAGTTATTACTACACAAAATTTGGTTAAAATTTATTTATTATATGCATATTTCAGCCTATGACACCCCCTAAATTTAACTCTGGATCCGTGCCTGTGTCATAAAGGGTTTGAATTTTTTCCCACCAAATTCATTTACCAAGTCCTTGTTTGGAATTCCGATCTCTAGTTTTGATATAATATGCGATTTTTCCTTGATAATAATTTGTTTTCTTTTTCTTTGCGACATGTTAAAAGTTTCACAAATAACTTGACTACCTATGTTTTGGTGCGTCTTGTGTACAAATAAGTAAGAAACTGACTGAAGAGATATGTAGAAGCGGGTTTTGATTATACTGCATGCACGTGTATTTTGTTTCTAAGAATTACAAAAGACCCTAAACTCGACAAATTTTTTTGTACCTTTGCGAACTTAATAGCCATTGACCAATATGCTGAGCCCCCGAGGGCCAGATGTGGATAGTTACCTATTCAAATTGCTTACAATACAGCTGGTCGTTCTAACAGATACAATTCACCGAAGATATTAGTTAAATGTGGTCGCTTAAAGAGGTATTTCGTAATAAACAATGTCGTAAAAAGCAATATTTTTAATAAGGGGGTCATATAGCATTCAGCCGGGACCTTTGATTTTGGTCAATATAACCGATATGTTGTTCTAAACGATGTCGTCATAAACGGTTTTAACTGTAGATATATTGTTTAATGTTTTTAAGCGCTTACTTTTCTTCTGCCTCAAAACATAATGCTTTGAATGTCATAACTCTAAGGCTACCAGGAAATTCTTCAGATAACATCAATATTGTTGATTTAGCTATACCAATAAAATGGCAATCCAATGCAGCATAAATCATCTGCTCCATTATAACATATTCTGTAAAATAACAACAAATAAGATAAAGCTTAATTTTTTGGTTAAAATTAGACTTATTTTTAATTTAGTAATACAATTTTAACTAAAAATTGTGTTAATATGTATTATTTTATATTTCGTATAATTACTTTCGTTGCCTAATTTGTGTAGTGACTGCTCTACAATTGCTTCAAACATGTTTAATAAATCTTCACTTCTCCTTTCATTGTTTTCACGCCATTGCCGTAGCAAATCTAAAACCTCTGAAAATCAATTGATTTGTTTTTGTTAATAAAAATTTTAATATAATTTTGATTAGAATTGTAAAAAGGTAAAATTAAATATAATGATGTTTTAAAGAAATTTGTACCTGCACGGCTTAAATCTTCGTAATTGTAAGACATTTTGAGTGATTGTAGAAATTACAACAGTTAATTATACAAGAAGTTTACTTCTAGGTTAATATAATAGAATTACTAACATAAACTGGATAAATTCGTATGTATGCGCTTTAGATTATTATGAATGTGATTAGTGTCATGGATGACAAATAAAAATTAGTGTTAATTGTTAAACTCCAAAGTTCAAGTCATGGATGACATTTAAGTAATAATTGTTTGATCTTGACAGTTGACGTTGACATGGCATGGATGACAAATAAAATTTGACATCACAGGAGTCAGGATGAATTCTGATTTCATAAAACTCCAATGTCAATTTTAGTTCTAAAAGCTATAGACACAAACCTTGTTACATGTTTGTTTAAAGAATTAAAAATATTTGTATAATTTAAAATAACGAACCTCAAAAACTCCGATTAAGAGTTTCTTATAATCAGAGTTAGTTTTTTTTCATTTCAGAAAACAATGAATAGATACAAAACTGTTTCACACCATATGTACGTTGCTTTATAGTTTATTGACACTAAAAGGCAACTTCGTTTTACGCATACATTCAACATTGGCCGTGGGTAAAATCGATCGTTGGATTGGTTCAGACAATATACTATAATGTATTATGAGAGATATCGTTTATAGTAGGAATTCATCTGTCGTATATCGGAATATAAAAGTTTTTGTGTGAGCCCGTGAGCATTCTGTGGCGATGTGATGTGAACCTGTGATCGAGACGTCTGCAATATCACAATATGTCTGACTATTTGGAAATATTTATAGCAATATCGTAGTCTTAAATATTAAAAGGATCTATTTTAAAGGTGTCCATGATATGGACTATACATGACACATATTATAAAAAGGTAAGCCCCGTTATTATGTTAACATTACAAAGGTATTCATTTCTTTCTTCTCGCATTGGACTTTTTTATGTATCAATGGCCTTTATCTCGGACTTTTGTTTTCTTTTGTCACTAATTGGTACAGTGAACGAGTTTTTGGTATTTGGTCATGCGAATTTGTTCAGTTGATATTGACGTAGCTTTATTTTGTCCGACAGATCGATAAGGAGACGAGTTATAGTGAAGATATGTGTTGTGGGCCATTCGCCTTACGTGTGTATAGAGGATATGCGCGTGACGGGACTGAGGGGCGCCCTGCGAAGTGGTGCTTCAGTTTGAGTGCGCATTGGACGATATAACGTTTCACGCCTCGCCAGGGTCAACCTGCGCGACTCGTTTTTTGTATATATTTTTATTATATAGAAAATAAATATGGATCAAAGAGTTCAGTGCCCTGTGTGTACATTGTACCTTCACAGTGGAATGTCATTAGCATCACATTTGGATACACATCCAAAAGATCAAGTGATAAAAGCATTGTGTAGTCTGTCAGCAAAAAATATCAATTTTGGGAGCAGAAGTACTACTCCATTAAATTCGGAAAGATCGTATAGAAGCAGGTCACGAACCCCAGCAACAGATGACAGTGGACGATGGGTTAGCTCACATCGTAATAGTGAAAATGACAGATATTGGAGGAGGACACCCAGTAGAAATAAATCAACCCCACTTTCAAGTACTTCAAGGAATCCTACTCCAGATATAAGAATTGGAAATATATCATTTGAGAACCATAACTCCAATAACAACTCCAGTCATTGTTCCGATTCATATACAGTGAAGTCTGATAAAACACAGAAGACATTTGGTTCTAATGGACAGTCTTCAGTTTCTGATTTTGCTCCGCAATATCCTTACTATCCAGAGCAACAGGATGATACAGAAATAAAGTTTTCGAGGAGCTCAGAATACAGTGCACAAGTAGAGAATTCTAATCATTTATTTGGATATAATATGCCCATAATGGGGTCAGGAGTAAAGCTTCCAACGGGCATGATGCCAACAGTGTCAAGAAGGGGTGGTGAATATGTCAAGATTCTACCTAAACAAGGAAACTTACTTGTAAAAACTAATATGAGTGGCATGCAATATGTATCACCAGGAGTGAAACCATTGCATCTAATGATGCCCACCCCACCACCATATATACAAAAAAATTTACAAAATAGTATGATTATGGCAGGAAGCATGCCAGGATCTCCTATGCTAGATCCAAAACACATGACACCATCAATGAATCCTCTTACTAGTCAGATTAATACTCTAAGCGCTGGAGCATTCACTCCTGGAACTACTGTTGTTACACAAAACTCGCAAATAATCTATAGAGAGATGGTCCATAATATAGATGGTAAACCTTTTATGTCAAATATGCCACCTGTGCTTGGAGGTCCTGAAACTGTCACAAATGTGGCTCAAAGTAGTTCTATGTATCAAAATGTGATGGTTGTTGATCAATATGGTAATACTTCTTGCATGTACACTACACCACAACATTTGTTACCAAAACCATGCAGTTCTATGTTTAATGAGAGTATTCCACCATACGTGCAAAGTATGCCTGAAAAAGCTGCACAAAATGTAGTTGATGATGCAAATAAAACCCTTATTATTGAAGTAAGCCCTATGTCATCAGATGCTTCGATAACTGCCAATGAAGAAAGTCAAAATTCACAGCCTTCACAACACAGTATAAATCCTATGAAGAAAAAGCTTGAGAAAAAAAAGAGTGATCATAAAAATGAATCACCAGGACCTAGTAAAGGTTTAAAAATTCTTAGTAATATAAAGGTAGAAGTTCCTGTACAACATCATAAGAATATGCTTAACACTGTTATGGACCTGACTGGCTCAACTGATTCTGATTATCCAGAGCCTCCAATTACTCCAGAGAAAATTTTACCCGATTTAGATGATGACAACCCAAGTATAATAATTGATGATTGCACTCAACGGTCAAGTGCTAGTGTAGATAGTCTAGCGTCAAACACGTTTACAACTATAAAAAGTTCATCAAACCAATCATATAATAAGGATTCACCGCCTAAATCCATTACTGTTGAAAATAAACTAGATACAGAATTCTCAGACAGCTGCCCAGTTCCTGATCTTATTTGCAATGAAAAACCGTCTATATCTCCTTGTAGTGAACTATCGGAACATGGAGATAATTCTACTGATCGCATCTTGCCATCACCAAGACCTGAAAGTAGTCAACCATACCAAAGTTCGCTAAGTAATAATATTGAGGTTAATAAAAAACCTAGTAAAGCACAAAGGAATAATGCCCTAAAGCTCAATAATATTTTTGTGAAAAAACATAAAAAAATTCTGCAAATAAAGAATTCCAAATTGGGTCCGCCAGAAAGAATTGGTCAAACAGAGTTAGAGTCGAGGCCATCATCGTCTTCATCTCGTAAATCCCCAGAAATTTTTTCAATAACAAAAATCCATCAGCCATCAGCCATAGCAGAAACGAAACACACATTACAAACTGTTAATATTGAAAAAATCAAAGGCAATGATGTCGACGAACGTAACGAATTCGATGCTAATACAGAGGAACAGTCGATGGATATTGAACCAGTAACGCCGTCCAACGTGACCCATTCCAATCAATTTTCCAGCAGCGGATATATTATGGTACACATTAAAGAAGAAATAAACACAAGTAATGAGTTTAGTAATGAAGCTGTAAGATCCCCTGCGGATATTGCTCCAATGGAGACACTTAGACCCATTAATGTCATCAATTATAGTAATATGGCAGATTTTGATGACGATTCAAATCATAGGGAGCTATTAGAATTAGAGGCTGCTTCAAAAAATAAACAATTCGTGTCTATGATGAACGAAAATTACTTTGGTGACAATATTTATGCAGATTATTTCACTCCTGACCGAGGGGAGACGTTCGAAGCTCAAAAAGAATCAAATTATAGCAAAGATGTCGCTAAAGATGGGGTGTACGTTTGGGGGGAGCCGTCGCAGAAAGAAAGTGAATTTGTTTTACCCAATTTTATTCATGAGAGTTATAAAATAGCGGAGAGTAATGGTATAGACTATTCCGATGTAGGAACAGGGAATGTGCAAACAAATGGAGATGGAGAGAGATGCGAAAGAGATAGTAAGGCAGATGTGTTGAGTGAGAGCAGGAGTGAGGGTGAGCCACCTTTAAACATATGTGCGGATGAACGAATGCCGCCTAGAGGAGAGCTGAGCGGGCAGGAAAGCAATGGAGATATGGAGTCACCTTGGAGCGGGGTATGATTAGTAATTGAATATTTAGTAAATTTATTATTCACAATTTACATTCCACTATAAGACATTAACAATTATACAATTATTAGCTACGAAATTGCGGTTTGTGTGTCAAGGTCGTATATGCGATGCAAATAAGTAACTTCTACTTCGTTGAGATAGTCGATTTAAAGCTAATGTAGAAAAACAACTTAAGAAACCAACGCAATATCTTTATTTTTTGTAGGAGTTGATATATATTTTGGCTATTTACAATTTTGATTTTTTTATAGGTAGTTAAAACCATATTTTTTTTAGTTTTTGGGATCTGTGCCAATTTATTTTACTGCGAATAAAAAAAAAAGTTCAAAATCACGAATGGAATATATTATGTATCTATATAAAATTTTGTTTAATTTAAACACATAATTTTTAATTATATTATTCAATTATTTAAAATTAACTATGCGATTTTTTTTATAAATATATAATAATGAAACACAATTTTAGATGTATTCTGGAGTGCCTCCGGCGGAACCTTACGATCTAATGGCGCGCGAAAGTTGGGTGTCAGACGGGTCCGAAGTCGATGAGAATGAGAAAACAGAAAATATGTAAGTTGCTATTTTCTATTTTATATCCCATTAAAATGTTTTTTTTTTTTATATAATATTGATTCTATAATATGGGATTTGTGCTAATTTCTACGATTCTGCATTTCAAAACGATGATCTTTTAACTCCTTAAGTGTAGAAACTAGAATATTTGGAAATCTTTTCTTAGCGTTTGTTGCTTACGTTTGTTGTACGAGTATAAGGAACTTAATTTAATTCCAAGTTATGCATTGTCTGTTAGTAAACTAATTTAAAGTTTTTTTTGAATCAAAAATTTTGTAGTAAATCTTCTTTAGGCGTGACGGGACGTAAGTCAATACATTGGATAACTGTTCTAAATTGAGAATTAAAAAAAAACCAGACCATCTTGGACCGATTTTCATCAAACATAGCTAAGAACACTTCTGACTAATTCAACTGACTGACTGACTAAATCGGTTCATCCGTTCGAAAGCTACTATCCCACAACAAAGACACGTCAAAATTATTAATAATTTTATATAAATTATTATATTTAATTAAATTGCGGTATTTGCCACACCGCCAAAGAAGTTTTACTTCCACCGCGCGTAAAGGTTACACGCACTTATTTTTTTATTGTTTTATTTCAATCGGTTCATAAATAAATAAATTCCTCGCCGTTCTGAGTTTGTTTGGCCTAATCTTGGAAAATACTATAGGGATTTTCATTTTAAAGATACTGCATTCAAATAATTTTCGAATGTTTCATGAAAATAGCCTACGTATAAAGTCACTTAGGAGATTATGTGGGTCACTAGTACATATAATAATTAAGTTGTCGATATATGTATTGAAGTATGTAAGCATTAATACTAAACAAATGTTTTAAATAAAATAATCTTTTCGGATTTTTTCGCGAATTTATTTTGATTTATGGTTCCCGACGATTCGAATGCTTTACAGCAATCATGGTCACGGGAGAAAAAAAAATCCGAATAGATAGTTTTATTTAAAATGTCAAATATTCGCGTAAATCTAAGAAAGTATTATAACCAAACAAATGCTTATTCCAGAGAGGAAGATCATCATTTTCCCAAAGCTCGTATGTACAATTGTGCTCAATGTGGAGGGAAGTTCCCATCGCTTAAAGAGTTACGTGCACATAAAGCATTAGTTCATGCTTTACCAACTTGTTCCAATTCAAAAACATCTTACAGCCGCCTCATGACAGCACGGGCCATTAAGAAAGAGGAGAAGCCGTATGAACATGTTTTAGCAGGTTAGCGTTTAGTTTTAATTTTTTTAACAGACTTCATAAAAGGAGGAGGTTTTCAATTCGTCGGAACCTTTTTTTAAATGTATATTCACCACTTACTCGAAGACGCCTGAATCGATTTGGAAAATTCTTTTTTTGTTTCAAAGGGTTATAGTTCCCAGGCACCGACTTTGAAAGTATCTGATTAGGTATCTGTTCTAAATGAACCCCCGTTTAGTTATTTTTTACTTTTTAATGCACGTAATTCGGTTTTTTTATTCGTTAGTGCTTTGTACGGGGAAGTATTTCGTTTTGTGAACCGGTTTTTGTCTTGCGTAGGCAAAAGGTAAAAACGGAATACATAATATAATTTCGTCGTTCCCTTCTGCTTTATTACATTCATTTTGTGTTTTAAATATAGTTAATATCTAGAACTTAAGATTACTCTCATTATACTAATAACTAAGAAAATATGTAAGTAAAAAAATGATTGTTACGAACTCGCTTTCGCTCGATTTCTATTATGAATCTTGCTTTAAATACTAAAAACTGTAAATTTTGAAGATGGCGCACCTTTTTGTTATAGTATAGTTTTCTCATAACATCATATAATTAATGTTATGTTATACAACGTTTCATTGATACTAAAAGTATAGTTTTTTGGGAGTTACAAAACTATTGCTAATATAAATAATTCAGCCATGAAGGTTAATTTGTTTCCTGTTTAGATAACGCATGTGAGACAAAATGTCTGCCTATGTTATTTTAGTAGTTTAGTTACCTCTATCACATTAGTATTATTTTTTTCTGTAATAAAATCCGAGTACTAAAAGTTATTTTAAATGCGTTATAATAATGCCTAATGGATGCAATCCTCTCAAGCCAAGATTTTTATATAGTTATCATACAAATAAAATACCATTTAAGGCATTAATTACCGTGTACTTTAGGCCCTGTCTGTTATATTCTTTTAGTTTTTCTAAGTCTGTTCTAAGGCGTGAAGGAAATAGTATTTCCTTGAATCTAAATATGTATATACCAATTGTCATTGTTTATTAATTACACATTACATTGCAAAGTGAGAGTTTTCCTCTAGATAAATAAACTGGAACAAGCATTTTATTATTATTTATGACGTTTATTATTGATTTTGAAAAGTTAGGTAATATATAGATAGGTATAATATATAATAAACTTCATATGGACTCTAGCTAACACCATTCATATTCAGCCCTTTTTAACGTTCCGCTGTTGGGCACGGGCATCCCTTCAGCAGGAGAGGGAAGAGGCCATAGTCCACCACGCTGGTAAAGTACGGGCGGACTGAGCATGTTTTTCGAAAACTTGTTAGGTTCTCTCAGACAAGCAGGTTTCCTCCTGATGTTTTCCTTTACTGTAAGACTGGAAGAAGATTGGAAATCATGTTGGAAATAATTCACACATAAAAATATTAGAGGTGCGACACCCGATATATGAACCTGCTTCATTCCGTTTCCCAAGCGAGCGCTTTACCACTGGGCTGCTGCCTTTAAGTATAAAGTAACTTATTAATTATTAAATCACTGCATTAAGGTATAAATGTTAGTAATTTTATCACCTTTAACATTTGTTGCTATCTAATGTCGTTTTTGTTATACTTTATATTGATAAAAATAAGCTTAATTGAAGAATACTGGGAAATAAACGTAACATATATGATTTGCGACATATTCACTAGATTTATTTTTAAATAACACACAAAAAAATAATTTCAGGCAATCTGTCATTGGACTCGAAAGAAACGATAGCGTCAGCCCTGCTTCAAGCTTACAACCAATTTGAAGCGAAACCCCAAATTGAGGGTTTACTAAAGCGGCAAAATAAGAAACGGCGCAAAGATTTCGTTTGTCCGACATGTAAAGTGGATCAAATGACGGGTGCAGCGTTCCACGCCCATCTCAAGATACATCCCCTCGAGTGTCTCACCTGTGGCAAGTGTTTCACCCGACGAGCTAACCTGGCCCTACACATGAAAACGCATTTGGGGATAAAGAACTATAAGTGAGTTGTGCATGTACGTCCATTTCAAGGATCTTTGCTTGCTTAGTTGACTTTTGCGAATATCACTTGCTCTAATAATGCTAATTGAATTCAGTACTAACATATTAATACAAAGTTTATATTTATAAGTGAACTAGCGACTCACCTTCGTGCCGCTCGGGTTTGTTCCTACTTATGATTTAACGTTTAGATTGAGAGATGAGATATTTTCCCCCAGTAAAAAGTATCCTATATGTTGATCTCGAATAACCAGCTATCATCATCAAAATCTGTCCAGTGGTTTTATCGTGATGCAGACAGACAAAAATTCCAAAAACTAGATTCGGCTCTCTGTACTATATATATTTTAATAATGTTTATTTCAATAAGATTTTCCAAAAAATATTTAATGTACAGATTCGATTTAGTTACAATTTTATTATATGTATAGATAATAATTATTTGTGTTGTACATTTTTATTCAGAAAAAAATATATCATGTTATAATTTAATTTTATAGTGATGGTTTCCCTGTAATGCTTGTTTTGTGTGTGAATTGTTTGGTTTGGCTTGGGAAGGTCACAGGTACAAAGTATTTATTTTATACTAACGACATAACTCCGCGTTGCTTGGGTGCGTTCCTGAGCTTGAATGCTTTAGGAACGCATAAAAAACAAACGACCAAAGAAAAATTATTTTGTTTGCGCTAGGAACCTTCGCAGACGTATACAGAATAACCCACCAGAGTTTTATCGCAATCGGAACGATTTTCATGATATTTTAATCTTAATAAATATATTATGCTTAACGCTGCTTAACTTATTTATTAATTCAATTGAAGAATGCTAAAAACTACATATTTTAACTTTTTAGTCAAAGATTAACTCGTTAAGTCCTAAGAAGAGTTTTTAAATTAATGCAGCGTTTTAGTTAAAGATCAATGATAAAAAAAAACTAGCTTTACCCGCGTGTTCGACCGCGTTCAAACTTCTGATCGCTACCAAACTTCACAGGATCATCCGCTGGGCTAATCTGAAGATTGTCTGAAAATTTCAACAAAATCTCTCCAACCATTTTGGAGTATTTAGGGAACATACATACACCGACTTTTATATATATAAATATGTTAATATAGTTATTGATAATAAATTCCAGGTGTGATATATGCGAGAAGCGGTTCATAACGCGGCAGAAGCTGGCGGAGCACCACAACATACACACGGGCCGCACGCCCGTCAAGTGCACGCTCTGCGACGACACCTTCCGCAGATACTCCAACATGGTGCAGCACAGGTATATATACATCACCCGTAAATAATACTGTATTGCTTCAATCAGTCTTTGAAATTGACGACACGTTTGGCTCAGTTTGTAGTGACCCTACTTGCTGTGCCAGCGGTCGCGGGTTAGAGTCCCGCTGGGGGCATTCATTCGTGTGATGAGCACGAATGTTTATACTCCAATCATGGGTGTTTATATTTATAATATTATTTGTAATTAAAGTTATATATGTGTAGTGTATCAACTATCTGGTATCCATAACACAAGCCTCATAGCTTACCATGGTACTAGATGGTGCTGTGTCGAAACATATTCACATATAAAAGTATGTTATATTTATCAAATCCAATTCCAGGGACAGACACCATTTCAAGAAGAAAGCTAAGATCCGCGACTTCGTGTGCCACTGCGGGGCGGTGTTCCCATCGCGCGCCAAGCTGCACTGGCACAAGGAGACGCACGATGAAAAGCCCAAGGCGTGCCTCTACTGCAGCGACAAGTTCGTTCACGCGGCGCTGCTCACGCGTCACGTGCGCCGCTCGCACAACGAGCACTTCGTTGGCCAGCAGGGCAAGCTGGAGAACGTGCCATGTCCTGTTTGCAAGCAGGTCAGTTTTATCTTGTGTTATACTCAGACTAGCAACTAGCTTGCTTCCCAATACAAACTTTCATCCCTATTTTCACTCCCTTAATGGATGATTTCCGGGATAGAAAGTATCCTATGTCCTTCCCAGGGTCTCAAACTATCTTCTTACCAAATTTCATCTAAATCGGTTCAGTAGATTCAGAGATTACCCCCAACAACGTCACAAACTCACTACTTCAGAAACTCACAATTTACAAACTTTACCTCTTTATAATATTAGTATAGATTAAATTTATGGCCATGCCGCACTAATAAATACTTTTTTAATTATAGTGATATTTTCGCCAGTGGCGCCAACTGGTGCCGCCAGAAACGACAGTTTTTTACTAATATTATCAATTATTACTTGGCTTTATGTTTCGTTATTTACATTCGTAAATTAGCGAAAATATCCGAAAACATAGTATTATTTAAAATGTCAAATATTCGCTAATATAATTAGGTTTACATCTAAGAAAAACCTTGTTTTTACTAAATAAAATAAATTTATTCTAGATGTACCTACGATCGAAATTGCACGCCCATCTGCAAACGCACAGCGGCAAGCGGCCGTACAACTGCGTCATATGCAACAAGGGCTTCACTACCAAGTGGAACCTGAAGCTGCACCGCTGGACCCACCTCAGCCGCTCCGCTAAGCCCTACAAGTGTAACCTTTGTAAGGGTGCCTTCATACGACACACCGAGTACATCTCACACATGAACAGCCATAAGTCGGTCCGGCCCTATACATGCAACTACTGCGGCTGTCAGTTTATCAGAAAATACAACTGCCAACGTCACGTCCGCGAACACGAAATGGCAAAGAAGTACGTGTGTAAAGTGCCTGAGTGCGGTAAAACGTTTCATAGAAGTTATTATCTATCTGAACATATGAAAGTGCATAGTGGCGTGCGTCCGTTCTCATGCAATATATGTGGGAAGACGTCCAGTAATAAATCAAATCATAACAAGCATGTGAAGATCCACCATGCTCGGGAACCTGTGACCACTGAAGCGTAAATGGTATTTTTAAATAGTGCTGCTATTTCTTTTTATCTGATTGTTCTACAAAGTGAATAGTTAATTTTCAATTTGCCTAATGCAACATATGAAAAAGATTTTAAAAAATCGTAAATTGGTCAAGTTCTGTTGATATTAATTGATAATATAGTTGATTAATTAATTATTTAAACATTTACAATTTCTCTTCAAATTATGTTGATTAGTAGTGTACAATGGCAGCACTATTATACATTTTCCGCATATGGCGCCGCTACATTGTAAATATTTAGTTAAATTAAAATTTTATTGTGTAAATACAGGACCAAGTTTGCGTGTAAATTGAAGGAGTTAAAGCATTTGCAGTTTAACATTTGCATATTGTTGTGTTATGAGGTACTGAGTGTCTTAATTTGGCTTTTGTTTCTCGTTTTAAATTGCGTTGCTTATACTAAATACATTTTAAGGAAGTCTGTACAAAACAACAATAATTTACAATTTTTTTGCTTGTTTTATACATAGCTATATGTTACATTGATGTGTGTAGTTCCTTAAAATTCTTTTTCCATACAATATGGAAGCAAATTGTGGCGTCATTTTTGCGGTATTCACTAAACCTGTCATAAGCTTGAATATGACGCAATATTAACAGCTCCAGGTAAATTTCTAAGAAATTCAATAAAATTCTAAGAAATCTACTGTTAACTGACACGCCGGCGTGTCCGCGGTCGTAGAGGGATTAGATATTTTTTACAATTGAATCAACACATTAATTTACTATATGTACAATTATTAATTACATCAACATGTGGAATAAATCATGTTTCCAATAATAATGTTATCATATAAAAAAAAAATTAAACGCGGCTATCTTAACCTTAACAGACAGAAGCAGTCTATTTTCCATAAAATGAATTTGGTATAAGTACTAAATTATATATTCGAATATAAATAGGTTGTGAACACTAAATGAGTCCTACGAATTTTGTATATAGATGTAGTATTATGAGCCTTGTTACACAACAATATGTGAAGAAAGTATTATAGTCAAATTTAATGGGCATTTTGGTAGAGGTACCCCGCTTTTATTATTATTTATATACTTCAAAGTTTACTGAGGGCTTAAGCTTCTGTCATTGACAATATGAGTTGATTAATATTACATAAATATAATTGAAAGAAGTAGATCAATATTGTTTTTAAATTTTTTTCCATGTAATTAGTAACAGGTAAAAATCGAGTAGCAACATTATTATATGACTAGCGACTTACCCTGGCTTTGCTCGAGTGCGTCCCTAGGTATGTTTTTATTTATTTTAATTCTTTTTCTACAATAAAAGTAGTCTAAGTTACTCCTTATAACATCAGCTATCTGCCAGTGAAAATCCAGTCAAAATCAGTCCAGCCGTTTCGGAGATTAGCCGGAACAGACAGATAGACAGACAAAAATTAAAAAAAATGTGTTTTTCTTATAAGTACCATAATGTAATTTTATAAGCAAGTAGTAAAAAGTTGTTATTTTGACATTACAAACAGACACTTCAATTTTATTTATCTGTATAGATTGAAAAATATGTACAATGTACACAATATTAAATAACTAGGTTTATTTTTCTTAATATTCATATGGATAATTTTATTATTTTACAATTCGCAGACTTAAGCCCTCCTTTCTATTCAGTAGCTTTACTTTCAAACTTATATTGTACCGAAGAAAATTCTGTGAAAGTGACAAATACATATCAAATGTTTAATCTTGCAATACTAGATAGAATGTTTAAATTAAAGGAATTTTCATTGCCTAAGCTTTTAAAGGAATATGATATTCGGATTTATGAAAGCTACTAAATAATAGCTATTTAGATTATAGTACGGGAGCCCAAGAGGGGATTTTGGGATTTACTCAAGCGCGGCAAATTAATATAACACTGTTCTTCCGCCATATATAAGTTCTCTGTATAAGGTCTTAAGAATAATAAAAAAAATATGTTGATTACTTAGTAACACTTGAAATCGTCGGATTAAGGTGTGGTGGTCTAATTACATGCTGAAAAGTGTGCAATTCAATTTCCACAAGCGGAAGAAATAAAAATCGTCTCTTTTTTTGATCGGCTGCCCTATACAGAGCATACCTTATAAATAGGACTTATATATGGCGGAGGTACTTAGTGAGAGGGCAAGGTAATGCCACGCTTTACGAAATCCTAAAATCCCATCTTGGACTCCTCTACTATTAGACATATGGAATTGTTCATAAGTTTTAATTCATAATAAAAGTACTAGATTTTTTTTATGAAACAATACTTACTGGTATAATTACATGGTCAATATTAATAATACTAAGACATTATTAAAAATATTTTTTTTCTTTAAATAATATAAGGAAAAGTATTTACGTCTATAATTTTACCTGATTTCACAGGATTTTTTTCTAACAAATGAATACACATTAAAAAAGATTTGCTCAAAAATTCAGCCTTAGACAATTTTGTAATGTTGTCTATATGTGTCTCGATTACCTGTGGTGAAATTAAAAAAAAAAGATAGTTTTGTATTAATTAATATTATAGTAATAGCTTTATTTATTTTTAATTTTATTTGATATAGTTTAGTTATATTTAAAATGGACTGAATAACTTTTCACTTCCACTTCCGTTCCAGACGATGATAAATCAATATGTGTTTAATAATAATTTTAATTTGACAATGCATCTTTTTGGAAAAATAATGCCTAAATGTGCCATATCACACAATAATAATCGTTTTTTTTTTCATAATGTACTAGCTGTACATACTAGTATATGACTATACTAGTCATATGTTGCTGTCTCAACAGTGATTCCTAATAAGCTATCTATCTGTTTTTCTCCATATTATGGATAGAAAGTTGACATCACTTATTGGAACTTACATCAATTATGGAGGATAGATGTAAGGAGAACTATCCCTGTGATGAAAAAGTGTCAGTCGAAAAGCGTTAAATTAGGGTGGCGCCACGGTAGCGAGTGGGTACGTATTTATTAAAAGTTTACAAAAAATAAATCACTCTACGTTCATATCACCAGTTTTAGTTACCAGATATCGGTTATATTTACTTAATTATTTTCGACTATGTAAATAGTTTCAAGAACTACTGAAGTCATCCAAAATATTATTTTTTTCAACTTGGTACACTTTAGTCCGTTTAAAACATATCATTTTGCTACACTAGCGCCATTCTGGTGGGTTTTTGAAGTGTAATTTACCGCTTACAGGTGGACACATTTTCAACTTGTCTCCCATATAAGACGGTTCTTCTTACTTCTACCCTCCATATACTAGAGATAGAATATTGTTATATCTTGTTGGGACTTCTGTCAAATTTCTGACTATTTAGATAAATAGGTTACTGGGTAATACCGTAAACCTGTTGAACGTACAGCGCCATCAAGTAGCCAATAATATTAAAATTGATGGCATAAATATTAAATATCTTTTACATGTGAAAACAAGTATGTTTCCAAATTATAAATTAATCACTAAACTTTCGAAGCTACGTTTTGTCGTTTTGTTTGACGTTTTGTCGGTCACAAACGAACACTGTTTTATTTAGATTATTATATTTAAGAGTATATATTTTGTACTGAACAATATTAAATTTGTTCTAATTTTGATTAAAGATGTATAAATCTTAAGAAATCAATTAACACACAAACAGATATTCAGATGTTATAGTTGTTTATATTTTCATAATTTCATGGGATGGTCCATTTTGGCATTACAGACTCCTCTTGATGAGAACTTACTTTAAATGTTAATACCTTTATTACGTTAAATACGTATTTTAATGCTCTAATAATAATAACAGGATTTGGTACAAACTAATGTTAAAATTTAATGTTTTAATTCAGTGGCCAATAAAAATTAGCTTACTGTACATAAAACAAAAAAAAAGTTAAATAAAAGAACTAACACCCAATAATTGTAATAGATATATTATTAATTTTTACATTAGTAATATAAATTAATTTTAGAGATATTTTTTTTTATATGCATACATATTACATATGTATGTATGTTCGTCATCAGATGCGCTGCGCGAAGCGAAATAACATACGTTATATATGGCGCTTATCTTGTCACTTTATTTGGAATTTTTCACCGTTTATCTTCGCTTTAACTATGATTGTAGTTCATTATGATATAAATAATAGGCTATTTGACGGTGAAAAATATTGTTTTATTTATTGACATCCGCATATGTTAGGGGTTTTAAAAAGCGATATACGTATATCGATCGTATATGATCTAGATTGGCTGAATGTTCAATGACGTCATAAAAGTAAACTGTCAAACAACATGGATGTCAATGAGTGTGAAGTATTGACAGTACGTGAAATTGGCGAAGTAATCTGTGCTCAACTGGCACGCTTTGAAGCCATTGACATGAGAATTGAATTGAATATTGACAGACTTATGTAAGGTAATTGCCGTTCCAGCTTCCTTGTATTTTGACATTTGCGTAGTAAATTGTGCCCAAACGTCACTCGTAGAAGTAATTGAAAATATGAATTGAATTGTATTTGTCGTCTTTATTAGTAATAGTAAATAATAACAAAAATAAACGCTAACTCATCTTTTGTGTGACGCTTGATTGTTTATACTTCCCTGTGACGTCAGTGACGCCATGTTGCGCAAAATTATGTTCTGGTGACATATTTAAATTGTATTTTTTTAATTGCTATTTTTTAAGAAATACTTACTAGAATTAAGAATATACAGTTTGTGGGCTCAATTAAATCTACTAAATAATTTTTAGACGGTTACTAAAAATCTGTCAAATAGCCTATTAGTTTTTCTTAAATGCAGCAAAGCGAATTTTCACAGTTAGTACATTAGTGCTGATAGCCATATGTTAAATGTTTTAGATTTTTTGAAGTAAAACTTCTTTAGTCAATACATTGGAAAAAAAAAGTGTAACGGAAGTGAGAGTCAAATTTATTATTAATAATTTTTTTTTTATAAATAATGTACATTCT